GTGGACTGAGACAGGAGTCAGTGCATCAAGAGCCACCACGCACAGACCAAGGAGTGGACTGAGGCAGGAGTCAGTGCATCAAGAGCCCCCACGCACAGACCAAGGAGTGGACTGAGGCAGGAGTCAGTGCATCAAGAGCCCCCACGCACAGACCAAGGAGTGGACTGAGGCAGGAGTCAGTGCATCAAGAGCCCCCACGCACAGACCAAGGAGTGGACTGAGGCAGGAGTCAGTGCATCAAGAGCCCCCACGCACAGACCAAGGAGTGGACTGAGGCAGGAGTCAGTGCATCAAGAGCCCCCACGCACAGACCAAGGAGTGGACTGAGGCAGGAGTCAGTGCATCAAGAGCCCCCACGCACAGACCAAGGAGTGGACTGAGGCAGGAGTCAGTGCATCAAGAGCCCCCACGCACAGACCAAGGAGTGGACTGAGGCAGGAGTCAGTGCATCAAGAGCCACCACGCACAGACCAAGGAGTGGACTGAGACAGGAGTCAGTGCATCAAGAGCCCCCACGCACAGACCAAGGAGTGGACTGAGGCAGGAGTCAGTGCATCAAGAGCCCCCACGCAGAGACCAAGGAGTGGACTGAGGCAGGAGTCAGTGCATCAAGAGCCACCACGCAGAGACCAAGGAGTGGACTGAGGCAGGAGTCAGTGCATCAAGAGCCACCACGCACAGACCAAGGAGTGGACTGAGGCAGGAGTCAGTGCATCAAGAGCCACCACGCAGAGACCAAGGAGTGGACTGAGGCAGGAGTCAGTGCATCAAGAGCCACCACGCACAGACCAAGGAGTGGACTGAGACAGGAGTCAGTGAATCAAGAGCCACCACGCACAGACCAAGGAGTGGACTGAGGCAGGAGTCAGTGCATCAAGAGCCCCCACGCACAGACCAAGGAGTGGACTGAGGCAGGAGTCAGTGCATCAAGAGCCCCCACGCACAGACCAAGGAGTGGACTGAGGCAGGAGTCAGTGCATCAAGAGCCCCCACGCACAGACCAAGGAGTGGACTGAGGCAGGAGTCAGTGCATCAAGAGCCCCCACGCACAGACCAAGGAGTGGACTGAGGCAGGAGTCAGTGCATCAAGAGCCCCCACGCACAGACCAAGGAGTGGACTGAGGCAGGAGTCAGTGCATCAAGAGCCCCCACGCACAGACCAAGGAGTGGACTGAGGCAGGAGTCAGTGCATCAAGAGCCCCCACGCACAGACCAAGGAGTGGACTGAGGCAGGAGTCAGTGCATCAAGAGCCCCCACGCACAGACCAAGGAGTGGACTGAGGCAGGAGTCAGTGCATCAAGAGCCCCCACGCACAGACCAAGGAGTGGACTGAGGCAGGAGTCAGTGCATCAAGAGCCCCACGCACAGACCAAGGAGTGGACTGAGGCAGGAGTCAGTGCATCAAGAGCCCCCACGCACAGACCAAGGAGTGGACTGAGACAGGAGTCAGTGCATCAAGAGCCACCACGCACAGACCAAGGAGTGGACTGAGGCAGGAGTCAGTGCATCAAGAGCCCCCCACGCACAGACCAAGGAGTGGACTGAGGCAGGAGTCAGTGCATCAAGAGCCCCCACGCACAGACCAAGGAGTGGACTGAGGCAGGAGTCAGTGCATCAAGAGCCCCCACGCACAGACCAAGGAGTGGACTGAGGCAGGAGTCAGTGCATCAAGAGCCCCCACGCACAGACCAAGGAGTGGACTGAGGCAGGAGTCAGTGCATCAAGAGCCCCCACGCACAGACCAAGGAGTGGACTGAGGCAGGAGTCAGTGCATCAAGAGCCCCCACGCACAGACCAAGGAGTGGACTGAGGCAGGAGTCAGTGCATCAAGAGCCCCCACGCACAGACCAAGGAGTGGACTGAGGCAGGAGTCAGTGCATCAAGAGCCCCCACGCACAGACCAAGGAGTGGACTGAGGCAGGAGTCAGGGCATCAAGAGCCCCCACGCAGAGACCAAGGAGTGGACTGAGGCAGGAGTCAGTGCATCAAGAGCCCCCACGCAGAGACCAAGGAGTGGACTGAGGCAGGAGTCAGTGCATCAAGAGCCACCACGCAGAGACCAAGGAGTGGACTGAGGCAGGAGTCAGTGCATCAAGAGCCACCACGCACAGACCAAGGAGTGGACTGAGGCAGGAGTCAGTGCATCAAGAGCCACCACGCAGAGACCAAGGAGTGGACTGAGGCAGGAGTCAGTGCATCAAGAGCCACCACGCACAGACCAAGGAGTGGACTGAGACAGGAGTCAGTGCATCAAGAGCCACCACGCACAGACCAAGGAGTGGACTGAGGCAGGAGTCAGTGCATCAAGAGCCCCCACGCACAGACCAAGGAGTGGACTGAGGCAGGAGTCAGTGCATCAAGAGCCCCCACGCACAGACCAAGGAGTGGACTGAGGCAGGAGTCAGTGCATCAAGAGCCCCCACGCACAGACCAAGGAGTGGACTGAGGCAGGAGTCAGTGCATCAAGAGCCCCCACGCACAGACCAAGGAGTGGACTGAGGCAGGAGTCAGTGCATCAAGAGCCCCCACGCACAGACCAAGGAGTGGACTGAGGCAGGAGTCAGTGCATCAAGAGCCCCCACGCACAGACCAAGGAGTGGACTGAGGCAGGAGTCAGTGCATCAAGAGCCCCCACGCACAGACCAAGGAGTGGACTGAGGCAGGAGTCAGTGCATCAAGAGCCCCCACGCACAGACCAAGGAGTGGACTGAGGCAGGAGTCAGTGCATCAAGAGCCCCAACGCACAGACCAAGGAGTGGACTGAGGCAGGAGTCAGTGCATCAAGAGCCCCCACGCACAGACCAAGGAGTGGACTGAGGCAGGAGTCAGTGCATCAAGAGCCCCCACGCACAGACCAAGGAGTGGACTGAGGCAGGAGTCAGTGCATCAAGAGCCCCCACGCACAGACCAAGGAGTGGACTGAGGCAGGAGTCAGGGCATCAAGAGCCCCCACGCAGAGACCAAGGAGTGGACTGAGGCAGGAGTCAGGGCACCACGCACAGACGTATCCAGGAAATGGGCTACAACTGTTGCATTCCTCGTGTCAAGCCACTCCTGAACCAGAGGCAACGTCAGAAGCATCTTACCTGGGCTAAGGAGAAAAATAACTGGTCTGTCGCTCAGTGGTCCAAAGTCCTCTTTTCAGATGAAAGTACATTTTGCATTTGGCAATCAAGGTCCCAGAGTCTGGAGGAAGAGTGGAGAGGCACTGAATCCAAGTTGCTTGAAGTCCAGTGTGAAGTTTCCACAGTCAGTGATGATGTGGGGAGCCGTGTCATCTTCTGAGGTGTTGGTCCACTGTGTTTCATCAAGTCCAAAGTCAACTCAGCCGTCTACCAGGAAATGTTAGAGCACTTCATGCTTCCTTCTGCTGACAAGCTTTATGGAGATGCTGATTTCCATTTTCCAGCAGGACTTGGCACCTGCCCACACTGCCAAAGGTCCCAATACCTGGTTCAATGACTGTGGGGTTACTGTGCAAACTCGCCTGATCTGAACCCCATAGAGAATTTATGGGGTATTGTCAAGAGGAAGATGAGAGACACGAGACCCAACAATGCAGACGAGCTGAAGGCCGCTATCGAAGCCACCTGGGCTTCCATAACACCTCAGCAGTGCCCCAGGCTGGTCGACGAGCTGAAGGCCGCTATCGAAGCCACCTGGGCTTCTATAACACCTCTGCAGTGCCTCAGGCTGGTCGACGAGCTGAAGGCCGCTATCGAAGCCACCTGGGCTTCCATAACACCTCAGCAGTACCCCAGGCTGGTCGACGAGCTGAAGGCCGCTATCGAAGCCACCTGGGCTTCCATAACACCTCAGCAGTGCCCCAGGCTGGTCGACGAGCTGAAGGCCGCTATCGAAGCCACCTGGGCTTCCATAACACCTCAGCAGTGCCCCAGGCTGGTCGACGAGCTGAAGGCCGCTATCGAAGCCACCTGGGCTTCCATAACACCTCAGCAGTGCCCCAGGCTGGTCGACGAGCTGAAGGCCGCTATCGAAGCCACCTGGGCTTCCATAACACCTCAGCAGTGCCCCAGGCTGGTCGACGAGCTGAAGGCCGCTATCGAAGCCACCTGGGCTTCCATAACACCTCAGCAGTGCCACAGGCTGGTCGACGAGCTGAAGGCCGCTATCGAAGCCACCTGGGCTTCCATAACACCTCAGCAGTGCCCCAGGCTGGTCGACGAGCTGAAGGCCGCTATCGAAGCCACCTGGGCTTCCATAACACCTCAGCAGTGCCACAGGCTGGTCGACGAGCTGAAGGCCGCTATCGAAGCCACCTGGGCTTCCATAACACCTCAGCAGTGCCCCAGGCTGGTCGACGAGCTGAAGGCCGCTATCGAAGCCACCTGGGCTTCCATAACACCTCAGCAGTGCCCCAGGCTGGTCGACGAGCTGAAGGCCGCTATCGAAGCCACCTGGGCTTCCATAACACCTCAGCAGTGCCACAGGCTGGTCGACTCCATGCCACGCCGCATAGATGCAGTGATTCATGCAAAAGGAGCCCCAACCAAGTACTGACTGCATGTACAAGACCATACTTTTCAGAAGGCCGACATGTCTGTATTCAATTTCTCGGTTCATATTCTAATTTTCTGAGATACTGAATTTGGGGTTTTCATGAGCTGTAAGCCGTAATCATCAAGATTAAAAAAAATACAGGCTTGAACTATTTCACTTTTTGTGTAATTAATCCACGATATATATGAGTTTCACTATATAATATATATAATAGCTTATATACTGTAGGATATAATATATATAATAGGATGATGGTTGTGTTGTGTTCTGTGTTCCAGGTGGATGGGGCTGATGGTTGTGTTGTGGTCTGTGTTCCAGGTGGATGGGGCTGATGGTTGTGTTGTGGTCTGTGTTCCAGGTGAATGGGGCTGATGGTTGTGTTGTGTTCTGTGTTCCAGGTGAATGGGGCTGATGGTTGTGTTGTGTTCTGTGTTCCAGGTGAATGGGGCTGATGGTTGTGTTGTGGTCTGTGTTCCAGGTGGATGGGGCTGATGGTTGTGTTGTGGTCTGAGTTCCAGGTGAATGGGGCTGATGGTTGTGTTGTGTTCTGTGTTCCAGGTGAATGGGGCTGATGGTTGTGTTGTGGTCTGTGTTCCAGGTGATGGGGCTGATGGTTGTGTTGTGGTCTGTGTTCCAGGTCGATGGGGCTCTAGGGGCTGAGGAGATGGTGGAGACTCTAACAGAGAGGAATCTAGACCTGGAGGAGAAAGTCAGAGAGCTGAGAGAGACCGTCGTTGATCTGGTGAGAGACTGACCACACCACAGACTAACTAGGACAGACACAGACCAACTGAGACTGACCACACCACAGACTAACTGGGACAGACAGAGACCAACTGCGACAGACACAGACCTACTAGGACAGACACAGACCAACTGGGACAGACACAGACCAACTGGGACAGACCCACCACAGACTAACTGGGACAGACAGAGACTAACTGCGACAGACACAGACCTACTAGGACAGACACAGACCAACTGGACAGACACAGACCAACTGGGACAGACACAGACCAACTGGGACAGACACAGACCAACTGGGACAGACACAGACCAACTGGGACAGACCCACCACAGACCACCTGGGACAGACACAGACCACCTGTCATCGGTCCACTCTGTGACCCTATGCTGTGATTGGTCCACTCTGTGACTCTATGCTCTGATTGGTCCTCTCTGTGACTCTGCAAAGCAGTACCACAACACAATATATTTTAGCCCGAACGCTGCAGCAGAAGCGAACTCCTTCATCCTCGAACTCTTTCGTCCGCTCCCATGTGTGCATGCTCTCTCACCACTGCATGCCAAACACATTGTCTGGGGATCGGCTGATGGCTCGGCGGGGAAACTAATTTAAACCTGTCTAAAGGCTGATAGATAAGAGCAGGCTATATGAATGCAGCGCCAGAAAAACAAGTTCACAAACAAATAATCTAAGAATGTGCTTAGTGTTCTCGTAAGGATGAAAAAGGTTGAGATGAATCCCGTCTGTAGGTGTAGCCTTCATGCGGCAGGATATTCTTTCCATGCACAGAGAGGATACATTCGGCTTCCATTGCAGCTTGTTCTGACCTCCTAAGAATAATGAATGCTGAGGGTAGCAGTGCAAGCTCTTTTCAAGCAGAATATGTGGATTATTAGCATATTGCAATTCGATTGCTGGACTATCGAAGCCATCCATCTAACCCATTTATTTAAAAGCTGCAGATCCCGGCAGTTCGAAGATGATTGTTTCAAAGATATCGAAGATGATAGTTTCAGAGATAATCAATTGAGCCTATTTCTTGTTCATTAGCAGCTTAAATCTCTTCGCCTACTCTTCTTGTGCAATGTATAGCCCACTGTAGTGTTTATCTGTCTGGACTGTCTGTCTGTCTGTCTGGACTGTCTGTCTGTCTGGACTGTCTGTCTGTCTGTCTGGACTGTCTGTCTGTCTGTCTGTCTGGACTGACTGTCTGTCTGTCTGGACTGACTGTCTGTCTGGACTGTCTGTCTGTCTGTCTGGACTGTCTGTCTGTCTGTCTGGACTGTCTGTCTGTCTGGACTGTCTGTCTTGGTGAGAATGTTAAGTTAATCATTATTTTACATTGAAGTATGACCTCCTGAAACTAGAACCATCATGTGTTCTGTGCTTTTGAAATAGCCTAACATTTTCGTATCATAATAAGACTAAATTAAACGACTTAGGCCAAATGGATTTGGTGATGTTGTCCTATATTACATGGAGTTAAATAGACCGTTAAAATGTAGGGGGAAAGGCAGACATTAGATAAACACTGGAGGGAATGGAAGACATTTAGATAAACACTGGAGGGAATGGAAGACATTTAGATAAACACTGGAGGGAATGGAAGACATTTAGATAAACACTGGAGGGAATGGAAGACATTTAGATAAACACTGGAGGGAATGGAAGACATTTAGATACACACTGGAGGGAATGGAAGACATTTAGATAAACACTGGAGGGAATGGAAGACATTTAGATACAACACTGGAGGGAATGGAAGACATTTAGATAAACACTGGAGGGAATGGAAGACATTTAGATACACACTGGAGGGAATGGAAGACATTTAGATAAACACTGGAGGGAATGGAAGACATTTAGATAAACACTGGAGGGAATGGAAGACATTTAGATAAACACTGGAGGGAATGGAAGACATTTAGATAAACACTGGAGGGAATGGAAGACATTTAGATAAACACTGGAGGGAATGGAAGACATTTAGATAAACACTGGAGGGAATGGAAGACATTTAGATACACACTGGGGGAAAGGCAGACATTTAGATAAACACTGGGGGAAAGGCAGACATTTAGATAAACACTGGGGGAAAGGCAGACATTTAGATAAACACTGGAGGGAATGGAAGACATTTAGATAAACACTGGAGGGAATGGAAGACATTTAGATAAACACTGGAGGGAATGGAAGACATTTAGATAAACACTGGGGGAAAGGCAGACATTTAGATAAACACTGGAGGGAATGGAAGACATTTAGATAAACACTGGAGGGAATGAAAGACATTTAGATAAACACTGGAGGGAATGGAAGACATTTAGATAAACACTGGAGGGAATGGAAGACATTTAGATAAACACTGGAGGAAAGGCAGACATTTAGATAAACACTGGAGGGAATGGAAGACATTTAGATAAACACTGGGGGAATGGCAGACATTTAGATAAACACTGGGGGAAAGGCAGACATTTAGATAAACACTGGAGGGAAAGGCAGACATTTAGATAAACACTGGAGGGAATGGAAGACATTTAGATAAACACTGGGGGAAAGGCAGACATTTAGATAAACACTGGAGGGAATGGAAGACATTTAGATAAACACTGGAGGGAATGGAAGACATTTAGATAAACACTGGAGGGAATGGAAGACATTTAGATAAACACTGGAGGGAAAGGCAGACATTTAGATAAACACTGGAGGGAAAGGCAGACATTTAGATAAACACTGGGGGAAAGGCAGACATTAGATAAACACTGGGGGAAAGGCAGACATTTAGATAAACACTGGGGGTAAGGCAGACATTTAGATAAACACTGGAGGAAAGGCAGACATTTAGATAAACACTGGAGGGAATGGAAGACATTTAGATACACACTGGGGGAAAGGCAGACATTTAGATAAACACTGGAGGGAATGGAAGACATTTAGATAAACACTGGAGGGAAAGGCAGACATTTAGATAAACACTGGAGGGAATGGAAGACATTTAGATAAACACTGGGGGAAAGGCAGACATTTAGATAAACACTGGGGGAAAGGCAGACATTTAGATAAACACTGGAGGGAAAGGCAGACATTTAGATAAACACTGGAGGGAATGGAATACATTTAGATAAACACTGGAGGGAATGGAAGACATTTAGATAAACACTGGAGGGAAAGGCAGACATTTAGATAAACACTGGAGGGAATGGAAGACATTTAGATAAACACTGGGGGAAAGGCAGACATTTAGATAAACACTGGAGGGAATGGAAGACATTTAGATAAACACTGGGGGAAAGGCAGACATTTAGATAAACACTGGAGGGAATGGAAGACATTTAGATAAACACTGGGGGAAAGGCAGACATTTAGATAAACACTGGAGGGAATGGAAGACATTTAGATAAACATTGGGGGTAAGGCAGACATTTAGATAAACACTGGAGGGAATGGAAGACATTTAGATAAACACTGGAGGGAAAGGCAGACATTTAGATAAACACTGGGGGAAAGGCAGACATTTAGATAAACACTGGAGGGAATGGAAGACATTTAGATAAACACTGGGGGAAAGGCAGACATTTAGATAAACACTGGAGGGAATGGAAGACATTTAGATAAACACTGGAGGGAAAGGCAGACATTTAGATAAACACTGGAGGGAATGGAAGACATTTAGATAAACACTGGAGGGAATGGAAGACATTTAGATAAACATTGGGGGTAAGGCAGACATTTTAGATAATAATTGTGTTTCTGTGGTCCAAATTTCATAACCACAAACAGCAAAGTTTTCAGACGTTTTCCATTGGTAGGCCTACCCCATGTACTAACGTGTCTCTCCTCGTTCTGAAAGCCTGCTCACTGATGTCAGTAAATTAATGGGCAATCGATAGTCATACATAGCTGATAATTGTGACTTGACTCTTTTTCCACATTTTGTTACGTTCCAGCCTTATTCTAAAATGGATTAAATGAAATGTTTCCCTCATCAAACTACACACAATACACCATAGTGACAAAGCGAAAACAGGTTTTTTATCAATGTTTGCAAATTGATAAAAAATTTAAAACAGGAATACCTTATTTACATAAGTATTCATACCCGAAATTGAGCTCAGGTGCATCCTGTTTCCATTGATCATCCTTGATGTTTCTACAACTTGATCGGAGTCCACCTGTGGTAAATTCAATTGATTGTCCCCTGTAGCTCAGTTGGTAGAGCATGGCGCTTGCAACGCCAGGGTTGTGGGTTCGTTTCCCACGGGGGGCCAGTATGAAAATGTATGCACCCACTAACTGTAAGTTGCTCTGGATAAGAGCGTCTGCTAAATGACTAAAATGTAAAATATAATTGATTGGACATGATTTGGAAAGGCACACACCTGTCTAAGGTCCCACAGTTGACAGTGCATGTCAGAGCAAAAACCAAGCCATGAGGTCGAAGGAATTGTCAGAAGAGCTCCGAGACAGGATTGTGTCAAGGCACAGACCTGGGGAAGGGAACCAAAAAATGTCTGCAGCATTGAAGGTCCCCAATAACACAGTGGCCTCCATCATTCTTAAATGGAAGAAGTTTAGAACCACCAAGACTCTTCCTAGAGCTGGCCGCCCGGCCAAACTGAGCAATCGGGGGAGAAGGGCCTTGGCCAGGGAGGTGACCAAGAACCCGATGGTCACTCTGACAGAGCTCCAGAGTTCCTCTGTGAAGATGGGAGAACCTTCCAGAAGGACAACCATCTCTGCAGCACTCCACCAATCAGGCCTTTATGGTAGAGTGGCCAGAAGGAAGCCACTCCCAAGGACTGGGAGACTAGTCAGGATCGATGGAAAGAAGAACAGAGCAAAGTACAGAGAGATCCTTGATGAAAACCTGCTCCAGAGCGCACAGGACCTCAGACTGGGGGCGAAGGCTCACCTTCCAAAATGACAATGACCCTAAGCACACAGCCAAGACAACGCAGGAGTGGCTTCGGGACAAGTCTCTGAATGTCCTTGATTGGCCCAGCCAGAGCCCAGACTTGAACCCGATCACACATCTCTGGAGAGACCTAAAAATAGCTGTGCAGCGACGCTCCCCATCCAACCTGACAGAGCTTGAGAGGATCTGCAGAGAAGAATGGGAGAAACTCCCCAAATACAGATGTGCCAAGCTTGTAGCGTCACACCCAATAAGACTCGAGGCTGTAATCGCTGCCAAAGGTGCTTCAACAAAGTACTGAGTAAAGGGTCTGAATACTTATGTAAATGTGATATTTCCGTTGTTTTATTTTTAATACATCTGCTAAAATTTCTAAAAACCTTTTTTTACTTTGTCATTACGGGGTATTGTGTGTTGATTGATGAGGGGGAAAAAACAATGTAATCAATTTTAGAATAAGGCTGTAACGTAACAAAGTCAAGGGGTCTGAATACTTTCCGAAGGCTCTGTATGATGTGAATAATAATGAAGGTGAGAGCCCAGTAACAGATGGATGCATTAATCATAGAAGCTATTGCTACTTGGTGTCTCTAAAATCAGTGCTTCCATTTCTATTGTCATGTGACAGTTTTTTTAAATTGATACGTCCAAATGTCGGCCTTTTACCAGATACATTTTGTTCTCTCTGTTTATTTTCATAACTGATACAAATTCGATATGCTATAGCCTATAGATAATATTGTGCCCATATGAACACATGTATTTTAGGCCATATAAAGAACAGCTCTGCATGATTTAATGAAGAGCAGCAAACAGACACAACATTGTTTCACATTCTTTAATAAAAGACTCAGAAACACAAACAGGCAATAGGCTGTACAGCTGGTTTCACAGTTTCCCTGCCAAATATAGGGAAACTCGCCATATCTCTCCGTATTGTACAAACCGCAGTTCGTTGAGTACGCTGGTGGTGGGGGGGGACGGGGGGGGACGGGGGGGGGGGGGGGGGGGGGGGGGGGAGACTGTACGCAGCGTAGTACCTTCACTGACGCGTTTTGCTCGACAAAAAGGAACGTAAGCGTGACCTCGTGCTCTGTGATTGGTCCGTTCTGCAGGAAGCAATCAATGAAATGAATGATGAGCTGCAGGAGAACGCCAGAGAGACGGAGCTGGAGCTGAGAGAGATGCTGGATCTGGGCGGAGGCCGGGTCAGGGAGGCGGAGAAACGGGTGGAGGCCGCTCAGGAGACCGTAGCTGACTATCAACAGACCATCAAGAAGTACCGTGAGCTGACCGCTCACCTGCAGGAGGTGAACAGAGAGCTGACCAGCCAGCAGGAAGCCACAGCAGAGCAGCAGCAGCAACCTCCAGTTGAGATGTTTGACTTCAAGATCAAGTTTGCTGAGACGAAGGCCTACGCCAAGGTAAGCTTTACACACTTTCAGAATATCAGCACTAAAATACTCAGTGAAAAATCAGCATATCTTGGCTTAGTCTTTTATAAAGGGGAGTTGTACACAGAGCCCTGGTCAACAGTGTCCCGTCCACAACAGTGACATGACTACCTGTCCACTATCAGCCTGAAATACGCTGTGGACAATACATTGGTGTAGTCTAATCCATCTGGTTTTGCGTGTGTCTCTCTCTCTGTGTCGCTCTGTGTCTCTCTGTGTGTCCTCTCTGTGGTTGTCTCTCTCTGTGTCTCTGTCTCTGTGTGTGTCTTGCTCTCTCTGTGTCTCTCTGTGTCTCTCTGTGTGTCTCTCTGTGTCTCTCTGTGTCTCTCTGTGTCTCTGTGTGTGTCTTGCTCTCTGTGTCTCTCTGTGTCTCTGTGTGTGTCTTGCTCTCTGTGTCTCTCTGTGTCTCTGTGTGTCTCTCTGTGTCTCTGTGTGTCTCTCTGTGTGTGTCTCTCTGTGTCTCTGTGTCTCTCTGTGTGTGTCTCACTGTGTGTGTCTCTCTGTGTGTGTGTCTCTCTGTGTGTGTGTCTCTCTGTGTGTCTCTCTCTGTGTCTCTGTGTGTGTCTTGCTCTCTGTGTCTCTCTGTGTCTCTGTGTGTGTCTTGCTCTCTGTGTCTCTCTGTGTCTCTGTGTGTCTCTCTGTGTCTCTCTGTGTCTCTCTGTGTCTCTGTGTGTGTCTTGCTCTCTGTGTCTCTCTGTGTCTCTGTGTGTGTCTTGCTCTCTGTGTCTCTCTGTGTCTCTGTGTGTCTCTCTGTGTCTCTGTGTGTCTCTCTGTGTGTCTCTCTGTGTCTCTGTGTCTCTCTGTGTGTGTCTCACTGTGTGTGTCTCTCTGTGTGTGTGTCTCTCTGTGTGTGTGTCTCTCTCTGTGTCTCTGTGTGTCTCTGTGTGTGTCTTGCTCTCTGTGTCTCTCTGTGTGTGTCTTGCTCTCTGTGTCTCTCTGTGTCTCTGTGTGTCTCTCTGTGTCTCTGTGTGTCTCTCTGTGTCTCTGTGTGTCTCTCTGTGTCTCTGTGTGTCTCTCTGTGTGTCTCTCTGTGTCTCTCTGTGTGTGTCTCACTGTGTGTGTCTCTCTGTGTGTGTGTGTCTCTCTGTGTGTGTGTCTCTCTGTGTGTGTGTCCCCTCTGTGTGTGTGTATCTCTGTGTGCGTGTCTCTCTGTGTGCGTGTCTCTGTGTGTGTGTGTCTGTGTGTGTGTGTGTGTCTCTCTGTGTGTGTGTGTCTCTCTGTGTGTGTGTCTCTCTGTGTGTGTGTCTCTCTGTGTGTGTCCTGTGTGTGTCTCTGTGTGTCTCTCGTGTGTGGGTCTATGGGTGTGTGTCTACTCCGTGTGTGTGTCCTCCTCTGGTGTGTGGTGATCTCCGTGTGTGGTCTCTCTGTGTGGTGTCTCGTGTGTGTGGTCTCTGTGTGTGTGTGTCTCTCTGTGTGTGTGTGCTCGGTGTGTAGTGTGTGTCTGTGTGTGGTGTCTCTCTGTAGTGTCTCTTGTGGTGTCTCTGTTTGTGTTCTGTGTGTAATCTGTGTGTGTCTCTGTGTGTGTGTGTCTCTGTTGTGTGTGTGTGTGTCTCTCTGGTGTTTCCTCTGTGTGTGTGTCTCTCTGTGTGTGTCTCTTGTGTGTGTGTTCTCTCTGTGTGTGTCTCTGTGTGTGTTGTCTCTATGTGTGTGTGTCTCTGTTGTGTGTCTCTGTGTTGTGGGCTCTGTGTTGTGTGTCTCTCTGTGTGTGTGTCCTCTCGTTGTCTCTGTGTTGTGTGGTATCTCTGTGTTGTCTCTGTGTGTGGTTCTCCTCTGTGTGTTTGTCTGTGTGTGTGTGGTGTGTGTCTCTTGTGTTGTCTCTGTGGTGTTTCTGTGTGGTGTCTGGTGTGTGCTGTGTGGGTTGTGTTGTCTCTCTGTGTGTGTCTCTGTGTGTGTATCTGTGTGTGTCTGTGTGTGTGTGGTGTGTTGTCTCTCTGTGTGGTGTGTCCTCTGTGTGGTCTCTGTGTTCTCCTGTGTGTCTCTCGTGTTGTTCTCTGTGTGTGTCTGTGGTCTCTGTTGTCTCTCTGTGTGTCTCTCTGTGTGTGTTCCCCTGTGTTGTCTCTGTTGTGTCTCTGTGTTTTCTCTGTGTCTCTGTGTGTGCTCCAGGCCATAGAGATGGAGCTGAGAAGATGGAAGTGGCCGGCAACAGACAGTGTCTCTCCTCACATCCTTCATGCCGACTCCTTCCTGCGTCACGGAGGAGACCAGACTGTATCCTGGTGTGTGCTCATACCAGATCATCTTCAGGTAGAGAGAGAGAGAGATGAGAGAGAGGTATTAGTAGAGGTAGAGTAGAGGTGAGTAGAGAGGAGAGAGCGAGGTTAGAGGTAGAGGTAGTAGAGGAGAGAGAGAGAGGTAGAGGTAGAGGTAGCGAGAGGAACGAGAGGGGTAGAGAGAGAGGAGAGAGAGAGAGAGGGGGTGTGTTCTGTCATAGGTCTGTGTGTGTGTACCGAACACGAGTGGGTCATAGTTGCTCATAGTCACGTGACGAGATAAATCAGCGTCAGTCCTGGGACAAAAAAAGGTAATATCCTCTTGATCTAACGGTCAACGCATTGGTTTCTCCCGTGGGAGACCCGGGTTTAAATTCCGGCAGTTATGTATGTGTGTCTGTGCCCCCAGGCGGAGCTGATCAGTAAGCAGGCCCAGGAGAAGTTTGATCTGAATGACAACTGTGTGGAGAAGAGTGGGATGAGAGGAGCGGTGGGGGAACAGCTGAGCTTTGCTGCAGGACTCGTCTACTCTCTCAGTCTACTACAGACTACACTTCATAAATATCAACAGTAAGTCAGTCTACTACACTTCATAAATATCAACAGTAAGTATAGCCATTTACTTTTCTCTTTCACTACACTGCATTCAACATGGAAAGATGTCACTCAACTATTGTTATGTTTGTGTGTTAGAGCGCTGAACCAGTGCAGTGTGGAGGTATATCAGAAGATCGGGACGCTGTATCCGGAGATGGGCGTGCATGAACGTTCCCTGGACTTCCTGATTGACCTGCTGCACAAGGACCAGCTGGATGAGACGGTGCATGTGGAGCCTCTCACCAAGGCCATCAAATACTACCAGCACCTGTACAGCATCCACCTGGCAGATCAGACAGAAGACTGCACCATGCAGCTGGCTGACCACATCAGGGTACCTACAATCTTTATGCCAAGTGTGTGCAATGCCAAAACTTTTAAGTCACTGGTCAAAATCCAACTGGAAGGACCATGTAAAATGTGGTTCAACCTAGTGGGTTCCTTTAACTACAGTAGATGTACACTACCGGTCTAAAGTTTTAGAACACCTACTCATTCAAGGGTTTTTCTTTATTTTTTACTATTTTCTACATTGTAGAATAATAGTGAAGACATCAAAACTATGAAATAACACATATGGAATCATGTAGTAACCAAAAAAAGTGTTAAACAAATCTAAATATATTTTATATTTGAGATTCTTCAAAGTAGCAACCCTTTGCCTTGATGACAGCTTTGCACACTCTTGGCATTCTCTCAACCAGCTTCATGAGGTAGTCACCTGGAATGCATTTCAATTAACAGGTGTGCCTTCTTAAAAGTTAATTTGTGGAATGTCTTTCCTTCTTAATGCGTTTGAGCCAATCAGTTGTGTTGTGACAAGGTAGGGTGGGTATACAGAAGATAGCCCTATTTGGTAAAAGACCAAGTCCATATTATGTCAAGAACAGCTCAAATAAGCAAAGAGAAACGACAGTCCATCATCACTTTAAGACATGAAGGTCAGTCAATACGGAAAATGTCAAGATCTTTTAAAGTTTCTTCAAGTGCAGTTGCAAAAACCATCAAGCGCTATGATGAAACTGGCTCTCATGAGGACCACCACAGGAATGGAAGACCCAGAGTTACCTCTGCTGTTACCAGCCTCAGAAATTGCAGCCCAAATAAATGCTTCACAGAGTTCAAGTAACAGACACATCTCGACATCAACTGTTCAGAGGAGACTGTGTGAATCAGGCCTTCATGGTCGAATTGCTGCAAAGAAACCACTACTAAAGGACACCAATAAGAAGAAGAGACGTGCTTGGGCCAAGAAATACGAGCAATGGACATTAGACCAGTGGAAATTTGTCCTTTGGTCTGGATTCCAAATTTGAGATTTTTGTTTCCAACCGCCGTGTCTTTGTGAGACGCGGTGTGGGTGAACGGATGATCTCCACATGTGTATTTCCCCACCGTAAAGCATGGAGGATGAGGTGTGATGGTGTGGGGATGCTTTGCTGGTGACACTGTCTGTGATTTATTTAGAATTCAAGGCACACTTAACCAGCATGGCTACCCCAGCATTCTGCAGCGATACGCCATCCCATCTGGTTTGGGCTTAGTGGGACTATCATTTGTTGTTCAACAGGACAATGACCCAAAACACACCTCCAGGCTGTGTAAGGGCTATTTTACCAAGGAGGAGAGTGATGGAGTGCTGCATCAGATGACCTGGCATCCACAATCCCTTGACCTCAACCCAATTGAGATGGTTTGGGATGAGTCGGACCGCAGACTGAAGGAAACAAGTGCTCAGCATATGTGGGAACTCCTTCGAGACTGTTGGAAAAGCATTCCAGGTGAAGCTGGTTGAGAGAATGCCAAGAGTGTGCAAAGCTGTCATCAAGGCAAAGGGTGGCTACTTTGAAGAATCTCAAATATAAAATATATGGATACTACATGATTCCATATGTGTTATTTCATCGTTGTGATGTCTTCACTATTATTCTACAATGTAAAAAATAGTAAAAAATAAAGAAAAACCCTTGAATGAGTAGGTGTTCTAAAACTTTTGACCGGTAGTGTATCTCCACATGACTCCTTCTTACACGCTCTCTCTCCCGCACTCTCTCTCTTTCTCTCCCTCTTCCCCTCCTCTCTCCCTCCCCCTCTTCCCCTCCTCTCTCCCTCCCCCTCTTCCCCTCCTCTCTCCCTCCCCCTCTTCCCCTCCTCTCTCCCTCCCCCTCTTCCCCTCCTCTCTCCCTCCCCCTCTGTCCCTGTCTGCAGTTTACCCAGAGTGCGTTGGACTGTATGTCTGTGGAGGTTGGTCGTCTGCGTGTGTTCCTTCACCCGGGGCAGGAGAAGGCGGACCTGGCCTTGCTGCTGAAGGATCTAGAGACTTCCTGTTCTGACATCAGACAGTTCTGTAAGAAGATCCGCCGACGCATGCCTGGCACAGACGTGCCTGGGATACCTGCCGCACTCACCTTCCTACAGCAGGTAACCAATCAGTTTTACTGAGCTGCACTCTTGGTTAGGGTTACAGCGGGTAAATACTGACCACAGTTTTATTTTTTATTTTTTACAAACAGGTACAATATCATATAGACAGAGGCCTGAGCAGGATTTATATAGAAAATAATACATTTTAAAATATAATAAAAAGCATAATAATTGTCTTAAGTTTACATGCGTTTCTGTTCTTCATCAATATAAAGAGCCACTGTGTTTTTCTGTTGCTCATTAGAAAAAAACGAGATTTCAGTCTTGGAGGTGTGTTTCCTGACCGATTCCGCATTTGGTTAATGATGTTTGTCCCTCATGAGACACTGTAGACACGGAAGTCTGTTTCACTTCATCAAAATCCCCAAAATGAATCGAAGATAACTCAAGAAATCTGTAATTAAGTTTTTGCCAAGGATGTTTTTTGTTGCGCAATTTTACATCTAACTAAGGTGTATGTATTTCTCAAGTTAACAAATATGCAACGTGTTGTCTCATGTAAACAAAGTTGGAGCTGCTGGGCAGGTCTATCTCACTGATAGAGAGCAAATCAACACCCAACCTTAATTTACCCATTGTGATGCACGGATGTTCTAAACTCCGTTTTAGACAAGACTGACTTTATGACCAAAATTATCCTGTTTACACTTTGTAGTCAATTCTGACTCATATCGATACCAAACAGGCCGTTTTCAAAAGGATTTGTTGCTTATTAAAGGCTGTTGCTCTTTAAGGGATTCTGTAATACCTTTTGGAATTCATGTTAGAAAACAATAAAGTTGGGGGAAGTCTTCATTAATTTTGCTTTGTGGATGAAAGATTTTGTAAGATGTATTACAACATTGGTCAGAAATTCCATATTCCTATTAGAAAATCTAAAAGAAAGGCCTTAGGAATAGCATTAACGATGTTGCTGCATTGCAAAGTAGAGGGTATGAAATCAAATTGAACACAAAAATAATTATAAGAGAGAACATCCCACCCATCGTTCATGACATCTAATACAGACCACATATTCCTCTCCAACTAGTCAGCCAGAACATCCCACCCCTTCATTCATGATATTTAATACGGACCATCCAGTGCTCTGGATAAGATAGAGTAATTATGGGGTGTAAAGCGTCTTCCAGTAGAGAAGGGCTTGCTGGAGAAAGGCCGATAACTCGACAGGGAGCGTTGAGATACTGGCATCACATGAAAGGAGAAAACGTAATCCGCCCACTTTTCTAAACATTTCTCTACACATACTAAACCAGAAGGCATAACTGTTCCTCAAAAAAAGGACTTTAACCAGTTAACTTTCAAAGTGCCATTAAAGCAGTCCTAATCATTCTCAAACTACGTTCTTTAAAGTCTAACCCTTCTTGGTATAATGGGTTCGGTTATTAAAGATGTTTTGAAGTTGTCGCTGGAAATTCTAATCAATAACGAGGAGAGACAAGGTCAACCACCAATCAGGAACGAGGAGAGACAAGGTCAACCACCAATCAGGATATTACTTTATTCAAAAACGTATTAATAAGGCAGCAGGTCACACCACACACACCTGTGAATGGAGTGAGTGCTCTGCAATACTGAGGCTGGTCGACCCAACACTCTGAATGGAGTGAGTGCTCTGCAATACTGAGGCTGGTCGACCCAACACTCTGAATGGAGTGAGCGCTCTGCAATACTGAGGCTGGTCGACCCAACACTCTGAATGGAGTGAGCGCTCTGCAATACTGAGGCTGGTCGACCCAACACTCTTGAGTCTAGAGGCCAAGAGCTCTGACATTCAAAGATCTTTTACAGCACGATACACCCACTTAGTCTGTGTATGACAAACAACAGATGTGTGGAATGAGTCAAAAAGGTTAGGATTCATATGAAAGACATTAATAATTCACAGCAGACAGTATCTGCTGCGAAGACTGTTCTCATTGTATGGAAACCAGGGTTTGGCCCCCAAAGACAAGGTTCTTATCAACTATTCATAACAGATCTCGTCCCTGGTACCTTACAGACACCAATTCAGTCTATGAAAATGCAGGCTCAGTCAGACCAGAGACATCTCCCTCTCACACACCACGAATCATGAAATGAAAATGTGGCTGTTGGTTTTATCACCTAGTCATCACTCAATCAGTTGTCAGCTCCAGATACCCCTATCTCTAGTCAAACCCGTGTCCCTGACCACACGCCTAGACTAGTCAAACCCGTGTCCCTGACCACACGCCTAGACTAGTCAAACCCGTGTCCCTGACCACACGCCTAGACTAGCTGCAGGGATCCGGAGTAGAAACCTTCCCTTTACAAAAAAAAAAACACAGCATTAGTAGAACAGTATAGAATTGTTAACTATTAATATTAAACAAAGCAGGTAAACATGTTACACGTACATTTTTCTCTCACAATGTCCTTTATGTATTTAACTATATTTGGGGAGAGGCTAAATAATAGGCGGGGTATATGCATCTAGATAAACTTTCCATTTTAGTCAAGTATACTCTGCCCAAAACGGAAAGATCTCTTTGAAGCCATAAGTTTAACGTGGACATACACTCCTGGATTTGATTAAACATATTAATTGTATCACTTGTATCAGAATCTTTGGTGATATGAATACCTAGGTACAGTATTTTATCTCTAATCTAACTGGGATATAAAAAAAAAAAATAGCCACTGGAATTTGATGTTCATTTTTAAGAAAGACTGTGGTGTTGTCAGCTAGTTGGCTAACTGAGATGTCAGTACCCAGCACAGATGGCTTTTTATATCATTACAGTTCTTTAGCTGGATAGCCAGCATCTCAGCCGCCATGATGAATAGATATGGACTAATTGGACAACCTTGTCTAATACCAAGTTTAACGTCTAAACGAGGTGATGTGCCACCTGTTAATGACATAGTTATTTATGTCCCGGTAGCCTTGATCAAATCTATGAACGTATCCCCAAAACCCAATAGTTCAAGTACCCGGAAGATGAAATGATATTTGACCGTATCAAAAAGCTTTATAAAAGATAAAACAGTCATCCTCATTTAGGGTCTCTGTATTCAAGTAAGTCTAAGACTAATTTTATGTTGTTGTGAATTGATCTACCGTTCATGAAACCAGATTGTGTTTCGCTGATGACTTGTTCCATACCTTTCTTAAGGTGATTTGTGTTAACATAGGCTAACAGTTTAAAATCTGTCGATAGGAGGGTCTGTTATCCAAGAATTGGGGATATTTTCCAGGCTTGGGAATCAAGATGATTACACCTTGTTTCATAGTGGTAGAGTGTGTTTATTTATTTTTAACCTTTATTTAACTAGGCAAGTCAGTTAAGAACAAATTCTAATTTACAATGACGGCCTACACCGGCCAAACCCGGACGACGCTGGGCCAATTGTGCGCTGCCCTATGGGACTCCCAATCACAGCTGGTTGTGATACAGCCTGGAATCGAACCACGGGGGTCTGTAGTGACGCCTCAAGCACTGAGATGTAGTGCCTTAGACCGCTGCGCCACTCGGGAGCCCAGTGTAATCTGTAAGGATATCCACATATCGAAGGTTTTCCCAGAAATGCTTGTAAATGTTTGCAGTAAGGCCATCATTTCCTGGTAATAAGAAGATTTTAATTAAACTTCCAGTAGCCATTATTGCCTCAGATGTAATGAGATAATTGCATAGTTTGTTAATAGGGAAGCAGACAGATACTTCTGAAATACATTCTTAAACAACATTAGAATCTAACCAATGGTCAATTCTAGAAGAATGAGAAGCAATGGGTTTAAACCAAGATAATTGTACTATTTCAGGCTAAAGTCAGTTAAAGAATAGTTAACCGTTTAAATAGTTTACAATTATTTAAAGAAATAAGTGTAAACATAAAAATAAATGCTAGTCAAACGACTAGCTAAATGTAAACAAGAGAGGTTTTAACTTACTACTGTAGTAAGAAGAACAATGGCCCTTTTTAAAACTATAACATCTCTCCTCGTAATCAGGTTAGCTGACTGTAAACTATAACATCTCTCCTCGTAATCAGGTCAAGTTAGCTGACTGTAAACTATAACATCTCTCCTCGTAATCAGGTAAAGTTAGCTGACTGTAAACTATAACATCTCTCCTCGTAATCAGGACAAGTTAGCTGACTGTAAACTATAACATCTCTCCTCGTAATCAGGTAAAGTTAGCTGACTGTAAACTATAACATCTCTCCTCGTAATCAGGACAAGTTAGCTGACTGTAAACTATAACATCTCTCCTCGTAATCAGGTCAAGTTAGCTGACTAAACTATAACATCTCTCCTCGTAATCAGGTCAAGTTAGCTGACTGTAAACTATAACATCTCTCCTCGTAATCAGGTCAAGTTAGCTGACTGTAAACTATAACATCTCTCCTCGTAATCAGGTCAAGTTAGCTGACTGTAAACATTTCACTACCTGTGTTTAGTGTTTCCAAAGCTATGGGGTAATAGTAATGCGATGTCCGTTAATTAATCAGAATTCATTTGGAGGCTTTTTGCATTCAGGAGCTCTTCCATGGCGGGTGTGGGAGGGTTACCCACCTCTGTGTGGGAGGGTTACCCACCTCTGTGTGGGAGGGTTACCCACCTCTGTGTGGGAGGGTTACCCACCTCTGTGTGGGAGGGTTTACCCACCTCTGTGTGGGAGGGTTACCCACTTTAGCTAACATGTTGCGGTTGAGGGGCGCTGTGGACAATGTCTAATTTTTTCGCAGTTATTTTGTTGTTTGGCATTTTACAAGGTACCTTTTCGACATACAACTCAGCACTCTAAAAAAAAAATTAAGAGAGATAAATCTTAGAATATAGAATCTGGGACTTGGCCCAAAGAACAAACTAAAGTGTGACTGCTTGGTATGCCGCCATCTTGCCGGACAGCACAGAGTTTTTAACCCAGAGGCCTTCACTTCCTGGATGCAGATTAAGACCAGGGTTTGGATTCAACGGATGAGTCAACGGATGAGTCAATGGATGAGCGACAAATTCCTCCCTGGTTGTTAATTATTCTCAAAATCTAAATGAACAACACCAGCTTCAAGCTAGTTATTTAAGTAGCTGACTTCGGACTGTTTGACCCCCCAGGTGTGGTCTGATGTGGTCTCTGTGTTTTCTTTCTCCCCCAGGTGTGGTCTGATGTGGTCTCTGTGTTTTCTTCTCCCCCAGGTGTGGTCTGATGTGGTCTCTGTGTTTTCTTCTCCCCCAGGTGTGGTCTGATGTGGTCTCTGTGTTTTCTTTCTCCCCCAGGTGTGGTCTGATGTGGTCTCTGTGTTTTCTTTCTCCCCCAGGTGGCAGATACACTGCTGGACTGCAGGAAGCACCTGACCTGGGTGGTGGCCGTGCTGCAGGAGGTGGCGGCTGCAGGGGCGCAGATGGTTTCCCGTCTGGGGGAGCAGGAGGGGCTCTCCGCCCTCAAACTAGAGGAGGTGGCCTTTAAGGCTGGGGAGCAGGTACACACGACCAAACAATTCAGTCCCATTCAAATCCTATTTTCCCTAACCTTAAACCTAACCTTAACCCTAACCTTAACCTTAAACTGAACCCTAACCTTAAACCTAACCCTAACACCAAACACTTAACCTAAACCTAACTACAAACCCTAACCCTACGCACTAGCATTTTTCCTTGGTCTTCTCCACAACGATAGTAAAACCAAAAATACACACACACCTTACCTCTATATCTAACCTGACTGTCTCCAGAGTTATGGAATTCAGGGTGCTAAAACCTTACCTCTATATCTAACCCGACTGTCTCCAGATCTATGGAACTCAGTTTGCTAACACCTTACCTCTATATCTAACCCGACTGTCTCCAGATCTATGGAATTCAGGGTGCTAAAACCTTACCTCTATATCTAACCCGACTGTCTCCAGATCTATGGAATTCAGGGTGCTAACACCTTACCTCTATATCTAACCCGACTGTCTCCAGATCTATGGAATTCAGGGTGCTAACACCTTACCTCTATATCTAACCCGACTGTCTCCAGATCTATGGAATTCAGGGTGCTAAAACCTTACCTCTATATCTAACCCGACTGTCTCCAGATCTATGGAATTCAGGGTGCTAACACCTTACCTCTATATCTAACCCGACTGTCTCCAGATCTATGGAACTCAGGGTGCTAAAACCTTACCTCTATATCTAACCCGACTGTCTCCAGATCTATGGAATTCAGAGTGCTAACACCTTACCTCTATATCTAACCCGACTGTCTCCAGATCTATGGAACTCAGGGTGCTAACCCCTATGAGTGCCTGCGCCAGTCCTGCTGCATCGTCATAGCAACAATGAACAAGATGGCCACCGCCATGCAGGAAGGAGAGTACGACGCAGAGAGACCCCAGATCATGGTAACTATAGCAACATCTGACTGTAGATACTGTATTAGAGACACCAAAACATAGTAACATCTAGCAACAGCAACATCTAACCGTATTGCACTGTAGACTTCAGATCATGGTAACTATAGCAACAGCTGACTGTATTGTACTATGGCCCCAGATCATGGTAACTATAGCAACATCTAACCGTATTGCACTGTAGACCTCAGATCATGGTAACTATAGCAACAGCAACAGCTGACTGTTGGTTCTGTATTAGCGACCCCAAAACATATTAACTATGGGATGCATGTAGACAACATGACCAGGTGCTGTCATTGAAGACCACATAATGTAGCCTCAGTCCCAGAACTTAGCCTCAGGTTAAACATACTGATTGAAGACCGTCTGTGTCTGTCTTCCATGTTTAGTTGGAACTGGAAGATACACTACCGTTCAAAAGTTTGGGGTCACTTAGAAATGTCCTTGTTTTCCATGAAAACATACATGAAATGAGATTGAATAGGAAATATAGCAAAAATGCATAGGAAATGTAGTCATTGACAAGGTTAGAAATAATGATTTTTAATAGAAATAATAATTGTGTCCTTCAAACTTTGCTTTCTTCAAAGAATCCTACATTTGCAGCAATTACAGCCTTGCAGACCTTTGGCATACTTGTTGGTCAATTTGTTGTATCTGAAGAGAATTTCCCCAAATCAAAAGGGTTTTTTGCCCGGGGGCCCCCCAAAAACAGTCCCCCCGAGCCCCCCTTAAAAACCCCTTTCGTTTGGGGGATTTTTGGGGAAGGAAACCCAACACGGCCCCCGGGGGGGAAGGGTTGCAAAAAGGGAAAAACCCCCCCCAAAGAAACCCCTTACCCAAAATTAAAACCCCCCAAAAAACCCCCAAACCCCCGCCCCAACCCGCGAGGGCCCCCTCCCCGCCCATTTTGGGCTGGAAAAAAATTTTTTGATCGTCCCAAACACCCCAATTTTTTGGGCCCCCGGCTTTTGCCCACAAAACCCCTTTTTTTTTTTTTTCCGTCTTTGGGTTTTAGCCCCGCCAGAAAACCCCCCCCAACCCCCACGACGGGGGAAACCCGGGTTTTTTTTTTACTTTAAGAAGGGGGGGCCTCTCCCGTTTCCAAAAACCAAGGGCCCCGCCAAACCCGGGGTCCACCCTTTTCCCTTTTGGGAGCCATTTTTCCGTTCGGTCAAATCTGCTCCCACAACAGCTCAATAGGGTTGAGATCCGGTGACTGTGCTGGCCACTCCATTATAGACAGAATACCAGCTGACTGCTTCTTCCCTTAATAGTTCTTGCATAGTTTGGAGCTGTGCTTTGGGTCATTGTCCTGTTGTAGAAGGAAATTGTCTCCAATTCAAGCGGCCGTCCACCAGGGTATGGAATGGCGTTGCAAATGGAGTAATAGCCTTCCTTCTTCAAGATCCCTTTTAACCCTGTACAAATCTCCCACTTTACCTCCACCAAAGCACCCCCAGACCATCACATTGCCTCCAACCATGCTTGACCAGATGGCATCAAGCACTCCTCCAGCATCTTTTCATTTGGTCTGCGTCTCACAAATGTTCTTTGATCTGTCCATAACACTTTTTTCCAATCTTCCTCTGTCCAGTGTCTGTGTTCTTTTGCCCATCTTAATCTTTTATTTTTATTGGCCAGTCTGAGATATGGCTTTTTATTTGCAACTCTGCCTAGAAGGTCAGCATCCCGGAGTCACCTCTTCACTGTTGACGTTGAGACCGGTGTTTTGCGGGTACTATTTAATGAAGCTGCCAGTTGAGGACCTGTGAGGCGTCTGTTTCTCAAACTAGACACTAATGTGTTTGTCCTCTTGCTCAGTTGTGCACCGGGGCCTCCCACTCCTCTTTCTATTCTGGTTAGAGCCAGTTTGCGCTGTTCTGTGAAGGGAGTAGTACACAGCGTTGTACGAGATCTTCAGTTTCTTGGCAATTACTCGCATGGAATAGCCTTCATTTTTCAGAACAAGAATAGACTGACGAGTTTCAGAATAAAGTTGTTTCTGGACATTTTGATTCTGTAATCGAACCCACAATTGCTGACGCTCCAGATACTCAACTAGTCTCAAGAAGGCCAGTTTTATTGCTTCTTTAATCAGCACAACAGTTTTCAGCTGTGCTAACATAATTGCAAAAGGGTTTTCTAATGATCAATTAGCCTTATAAAATGATAAACTTGGATTAGCAAACACAACGGTGCCATTGGAACACAGGACTGATGGTTGCTGATAATGGGCGTCTGTACGCCTATGTAGATAATTCCATAAAAAATCTGCCATTTCCAGCTACAATAGCCATTTACAACATTAAGAATGTCTACACTGTATTTCTGATCAATTTGATGTTCTTTTAATGGACAAAAAAATTGCTTGTAGGAACTGTGCTATATCAAGTCTGATTGATTGATTGATTGATGTGGTTGTCCCTCCCCAGACCCTTCCTCCGGTGGAGCTGCGTGCGGCGGCCCTCAGAGCTGAGATCACCGACGCAGAGGGACTGGGCATGAAGCTGGAGGACAGAGAGACGGTCGTCAAGGAGCTCAAGAAGTCGCTCAAGATCAAGGTACGCTAAAACGTTTCCCCGGTGACCTCATCGATGAACGCATCACCCTGACAGAGTTAACCGCCTTACCAATAAGGCTGGGATTTCAATACCGTCGCGCTTGTAGACAATGCGGGCTTTTTTCAAGGCGATGTTACCGTGTTTATGGAGACCGCATTAAAAGGTAAATGCTGCAGATGTGGGTTCAATCGGAAATTACCTTTAAAATGTCAAACAGTGCGGTTTCAGATGTAAATCCCGACCTAAGGCTGAACACTGTAGGCTAAATGAACCCTTCCTATATGTTCACATTGAGAGATGGTTCCCTTGCAGGACAGTATCGCCAGGGATCATTACAGTTACTTGAAAATAACTGTCTAACGTGGGTGTCAAATCAAAATCTAATATTATTTTATTGGTCGCGTACACATATTTAACAGATGTTATCGCCGGTGTAGCGAAACGCTTGTGTTCCCAGCTCCAACAGTGCAGTAATATCTAACAATACAAAACAATACACACATCGTCCCAAAAATAAAAAATAAAGGAATTAAGACATAATTCTGAGCAATGTTAGAAATAACAACAACAACAAAAATTAGGAGCTAGGAACAGGGCGACCATGTCTTGTTGACGCCATCATTGAAATTGTGTGTGTCCCCTCAGGGAGAGGAGCTGAGCGAGGCCAGCGTGCGTCTCAGTCTGTTGGAGAAGAAACTAGACAGTTCATCTAAAGACGCAGACGAGCGCGTGGAAAAGATCCAGACACAACTAGACGAGACTCAGACTCTGCTCAAGAAGAAAGAGAAGTAGGAAACACAACACAATTATGTCTAGATGGGATACATGTAGTGGACATGAGTCATCTAGATGGGATACATGTAGTGGACACGAGTCATCTAGATGGGATACATGTAGTGGACATGAGTCATCTAGATGGGATACATGTAGTGGACATGAGTCATCTAGATGGGATACATGTAGTGGACATGAGTCATCTAGATGGGATACATGTAGTGGACATGAGTCATCTAGATGGGATACATGTAGTGGACCTGAGTCATCTAGATGGGATACATGTAGTGGGACATGAAGTCATCTAGATGGGATACATGTAGTGGACATGAGTCATCTAGATGGGATACATGTAGTGGACATGAGTCATCTAGATGGGATACATGTAGTGGACATGAGTCATCTAGATGGGATACATGTAGTGGACATGAGTCATCTAGATGGGATACATGTAGTGGACATGAGTCATCTAGATGGGATACATGTAGTGGACATGAGTCATCTAGATGGGATACATGTAGTGGACATGAGTCATCTAGATGGGATACATGTAGCGGACATGAGTCGTTCATTGTTGCTCATGGTCACGTGATGAGGTAGCCCCGCCTGCGACATTAAAATCAGTGTTTCCCTCTTGGGCCAAGGAACGACACTGTTTTTGAAGTCGCAGGCGGGGCTACCTCGCCATGAGAAACCATGACCGACTCATGTCCGCTACATACACTCTTAGAAAAAATGGTTCCAAAAGGGGTTTTCAGCTGTCACCATAGGAGAACCCTTGTTGGTTCCAGGTAGAACCCTCTGTTGGGTTCCATGTGGAACCCTCTGTAAAAAGGGTTCTACATGGAACTCAAAAGTGTTCTACCTGGAACCAAAAAGGGTTCTCCTATGGGGGACAGCCGAAGAACCCTTTTAGGTTCTAGATAGCACCTTTTTTCTAAGAGTGTACAGCAGGGCTCTCCAACCCTGTTCCTGGAGAGATACCGTCCTGTAGGTTTTAACTCCAACCCTGTTTCTGGAGAGATACCGTCCTGTAGGTTTTTCACTCCAACCCTAATCTAGCGCACCTGATTGCAATAATTATCTGGTTGATAAGCTGAATCAGGTTAGTTACAACTGGGGTTGGAGCGAAAATCTACAGGAGGGTAGCTCTCCAGGAAGAGGGTTGAACCCTGGTATAGAGAGAATATGGAGGATAGTGTTGACATATCCAACATTGCTCCAGTTTATTTTCTGAATTGACTGAATTGAAATGGAATTGATCCCAACCCTGGTTATCACCAGTGTATCCTTACTATAGAGGGGTCATTGTCAATCAGGCTGATCCAGAATCAGTTTATAACAGATGTATATTTCCTCTGTAGGGAGTTTGAGGAGACCATGGACGCGCTGCAGGCTGACATCGACCAATTGGAGTCCGAGAAGGCGGATCTGAAGCAGCGTCTGAACAGTCAATCAAAGATGACCATGGACGGGCTGAGAGGAGCGCCAGCGTCGGGCATCGCCTCCATGGTCACGGGGATGACAGGAGGTTAGTGGGGCATCATCTTCCGAATAGGGCCTTGAAACCATTTAAGACTTGTATGTTATTCATACTCCCATCTGTTAGGGGCCGATTCAGACTTAGGAAACCTTTCCTACTAACTTCTCAGTAGTTGGTATTCAGACTTACCTTATGCAGGTGCGTAACGGCTTTGCAGGCGTGGTTCCCTTGCGCGCTCTGAATAAATTTCATTCAACTGCTGAAACCCCCCCCCCCCAGATTGCAGTTTCTCTAGAGATAAATCAGATCCAGCCTGAACTGTGAGATGTAGTAGGGAGTTGTAGTTTTCCAACAGGCCAATATTCTACATAGTGTAGCACATAAAACCTGGTAATTAACTACAATGACCACAATCCATTGAGCATCTACTTGTCTGGTCTGTTTATTTTACTCCTGCTGTGGAAGAGACAGCAGAATGCGATTGTTAAGGGATGTAGAGATCAGCTGTCGCTTCGTGAGGCATCTCTACCTGGAAATACATGATCTGAGTGGTTGATAGTAGATATTCAGCAGTCAAAAAAGTCTGCCTTATTTACTTTGAAGAAACTACTAAAATAGTGATTTAGTCAGACAGCACAGGCAGCTGCTCTATAGAGATGAGATGATGACTTGGAATGAAATAATACAGTCAAATAAAACAAAAGTAATATATACAATGACTGAAATATTTTATTAAAGTAAAGTAATGTGAATAAATGATGGTTAAGTGATAAGCAGGAATGGGCAGTCAGCACCATCACGGGGCTTGTATTAATTGGTTTATTCTGTGTTACAGCATTCAACTCAAATAATCGAAACTGAAATCGAAAACAATCGAACCGACCTCAAAAAGCACTAATCGCTCAGCACTATTCTGTAATTAAGACATTCGAGTGCCCAAGTTAAAAGGCTGGTCAATTTAAATTCTGCATAATGGCACAGCATTTCATCAACTTTACTGTGGGAAAGGTGACATGTTGATATGCTTCAGTTTGCTGCCATATGACTGGTTTCATCTTTGTCTCCAGGGATCAGAAGGTAAAATAATCTAAAACAATTGTACTTTATATTTCCAATTCCCTTCTCCAAACGGATTACTCATTTACCTAGCTCTTACCAATAGCTCTTATCAAGTTGTAAATTACGGTGCATGGAGAATGGTGTTATTTCTATTAGAAAAAATGAAGTAGATGCTTTTTCCCCACGTGGAACTGGGAAGTTCGCTAGACCTTATTATTATTCATGGTTTCCTGGCGCGTAAAGGTGGTGGCATTATGAGGGAATTAAGTCCAGGTCAGAATACGGCGTATCTGTCGACCAGAGGAGGCTGCTGAGGGGAGGACGGAGTCCGTTCCAGCCATTACTATGAGCCGTCCTCCACTGCTGTAGACGCACCTTCCAGCCATTACTATGAGCCGTCCTCCACTCCACTGCTGTAGACGCACCTTCCAGCCATTACTATGAGCCGTCCTCCACGGCTGTAGACACACCTTCATTCATTCCATCTCCACCCCAAATAAATAGCAGGTGAATTTCATGCCATTCTCATGCTTCAGTTCAAGATCAGAATACGCAAAGAGAGAAAAGTCCATAAAAAGGGAACTATGTTCCATTAACCCACGCTGAACTCAGGTCTGAATTCCCCCCTTGGATGTTACTGAAATAATTTCACTGTTATTCACACTCAGATCTGTTCTAGATAAACACTGTTATTCACACTCAGATCTGTTCTAGATAAACACTGTTATTCACACTCAGATCTGTTCTAGATAAACACTGTTATTCACACTCAGATCTGTTCTAGATAAACACTGTTATTCACACTCAGATCTGTTCTAGATAAACACTGTTATTCACACTCAGATCTGTTCTAGATAAACACTGTTATTCACTCAGATCTGTTCTAGATAAACACTGTTATTCACTCAGATCTGTTCTAGATAAACACTGTTATTCACTCAGATCTGTTCTAGATAACACTGTTATTCACACTCAGATCTGTTCTAGATAAACACTGTTATTCACACTCAGATCTGTTCTAGATAAACACTGTTATTCACACTCAGATCTGTTCTAGATAAACACTGTTATTCACTCAGATCTGTTCTAGATAAACACTGTTATTCACACTCAGATCTGTTCTAGATAAACACTGTTATTCACACTCAGATCTGTTCTAGATAAACACTGTTATTCACACTCAGATCTGTTCTAGATAAACACTGTTATTCACACTCAGATCTGTTCTAGACTAACACTGTTATTCACACTCAGATCTGTTCTAGATAAACACTGTTTTACACACTCAGATCTGTTCTAGATAAACACTGTTATTCACACTCAATCTGTTCTAGATAAACACTGTTATTCACCACTCAGATCTGTTTCTAGATAAACACTGTTATTCACACTCAGATCTGTTCTAGACTAAACTGTTATTCACACCAGATCTGTTCTAGAAAAAACCTGTTATTCACTCAGATTGTTCTAGTAAACCTGTTATTCACTCAGATCTGTTCTAGAAAAAACGTTATTCCACCGACGTTCTAATAAAAAGTTTTCACATCAGTTGTTCTAGATAACACTGTTTTTCCTCGATCTGTTCTAGATAAAAACTGTTTTCACACTCAGATCTGTTTCTAGATAAACCTGTTATCACACTCAGATCTGTTCTAGATAACACTGTTATTCACCTCGATTTTCTAAAAAACACTGTTATTCCCCACTGTCTGTTCAGATAAAACTGTTATTCCACTCAGTCTGTTCTAGATAACAGTTATTTCCCCCCTCAATCTTTCGACTAACACTGTTTTTCACACCGATCTTCTGATAAACACTGTTTTCAATCGTCTGTTCAATAAACTGTTTTTTTTCAATCAGACGTTATGTTTTTCAATTTAATTCACAGTTCAGAGATGGTGTGAAGAAAAGGATGCCCCTTTGGGCCCAAACTGAACCCCCCTCCCCCCCCCCCTTCCCCCCCCCCCCCCCCCGCTCCCCCCGCTCCCCTCCCCTCCCCCTCTCCCCTCTCTCCCCGCCCCCTTTTGTAGGAGTTTGAGGAGACCATGGATGCGCTGCAGGCTGACATCGACCAATTGGAGTCCGAGAGGCGGATCTGAAGCAGCGTCTGAACAGTCAATCAAAGATGACCATGGACGGGCTGAGAGGAGCGCCAGCGTCGGGCATCGCCTCCATGGTCACGGGGATGACAGGAGGTTAGTGGGGCATCATAGCGTCGGGCATCGCCTCCATGGTCACGGGGATGACAGGAGGTTAGTGGGGCATCATAGCGTCGGGCATCGCCTCCATGGTCACGGGGATGACAGGAGGTTAGTGGGGCATCATACGTCGGCATCGCCTCCATGGTCACGGGGATGACAGGAGGTTAGTGGGGCATCATAGCGTCGGGCATCGCCTCCATGGTCACGGGGATGACAGGAGGTTAGTGGGGCATCATAGCGTCGGGCATCGCCTCCATGGTCACGGGGATGACAGGAGGTTAGTGGGGCATCATCTTCCGAATAGGGCCTTGAAACCATTTAAGACTTGTATGTTATTCATACTCCCATCTGTTAGGGGCCGATTCAGACTTAGGAAACCTTCCCTACGAACTTCTCAGTAGTTGGTATTCAGACTTACCTTATGCAGGTGCGTAACGGCTTTGCAGGCGTGGTTCCCTTGCGCGCTCGGAATAAATTTCATTCAACTGCTGAACTCAACTCAAATAATCGAATCTGAAATCGAAAACAATCGAACCGACCTCAAAAAGCACTATTCGCTCAGCACTATTCTGTAATTAAGACATTCGAGTGCCCAAGTTAAAAGGCTGTACAATTTAAATTCTGCATAATGGCACAGCATTTCATCAACTTTACTGTGGGAAAGGTGATATGTTGATATGCTTCAGTTTGGTGCCATATGACTGGTTTCACATGTGTCTCCAGGGATCAGAAGGTAAAATAATCTAAAACAATTGTACTTTATATTTACAATTCCCTTATCCAAACGGATTACTCATTTACCTAGCTCTTATCAATAGCTCTTATCAAGTTGTAAATTACAGTGCATGGAGAATGGTGTTATTTCCATTGGAAACAAATGAAGTAGATTCTTTTTTCCCCACGTTGAACTGGGAGGTTCCGCTAGACCCTTATTATTATTCATGGTTTCCCTGGCGCGTAAAGGTGGTGCATTATGAGGGAATTAAGTCCAGGTCAGAATACGGCGTATCTGTCGACCAGTGGGAGGCATGCTGAGGGGAGGACGGAGTCCGTTCCAGCCATTACTATGAGCCGTCCTCCACGGCTGTAGACGCACCTTCCAGCCATTACTACCAGTGGGGGAAAAAAAAGTATTTAGTCAGCCACCAATTGTGTAAGTTCTCCCACTTAAAAAGATGAGAGAGGCCTGTCATTTTCATCATAGGTACACGTCAACTATGACAGACAAAATGAGAAAAAAATTCCAGAAAATCACATTGTAGGATTTTTTATGAATGTATTTGCAAATTATGGTGGAAAATAAGTATTTGGTCAATAACAAAAGTTTTCTCAATACTTTGTTATATACCCTTTGTTGGCAATGACACAGGTCAAACGTTTTCTGTAAGTCTTCACAGGTTTTCACAACCACTGTTGCTGGTATTTTGGCCCATTCCTCCATACAGATCTCCTCTAGAGCAGTGATGTTTTGGGGCTGTCGCTGGGCAACACGGACTTTCAAACTCCCTCCAAAGATTTTCTATGGGGTTGAGATCTGGAGACTGGCTAGGTCACTCCAGGACCCTTGAAAATGCTTCTTACGAAGCCACTCCTTCATTGCCCGGGCGGTGTGTTTGGGATCATTGTCATGCTGAAAGACCCAGCCACGTTTCATCTTCAATGCCCTTGACTGATGGAAGGAGGTTTTCACTCAAAATCTCACGATACATGGCCCCATTCATTCTTTCCTTTTACACGGATCAGTCGTCCTGGTCCCTTTGCAGAAAAACAGCCCCAAAGCATAATGTTTCCACCCCCAGGCTGTCACAGTAGGTATGGTTGTTCTTTGGATGCAACTCAGCATTCTTTGTCCTCCAAACACGACGAGTTGAGTTTTTTACCAAAAAGTTCTATTTTGGTTTCATCTGACCATATGACATTCTCCCAATCCTCTTCTGGATCATCCAAATGCACTCTAGCAAACTTCAGACGGGCCTGGACATGTACTGGCTTAAGCAGGGGGACACGTCTGGCACTGCAGGATTTGAGTCCCTGGTGGCGTAGTGTGTTACTGATGGTAGGCTTTGTTACTTTGGTCCCAGCTCTCTGCAGGTCATTCACTAGGTCCCCCCGTGTGGTTCTGGGATTTTTGCTCACCGTTCTGTGATCATTTTGACCCCACGGGGTGAGATCTTGCGTGGAGCCCCAGATCGAGGGAGATTATCAGTGGTCTTGTATGTCTTCCATTTCCTAATAATTGCTCCCACAGTTGATTTCTTCAAACCAAGCTGCTTATCTATTGCAGATTCAGTCTTCCCAGCCTGGTGCAGGTCTACAATTTTGTTTCTGGTGTCCTTTGACAGCTCTTTGGTCTTGGCCATAGTGGAGTTTGGAGTGTGACTGTTTGAGGTTGTGGACAGGTGTCTTTTAAACTGATAACAAGTTCAAACAGGTGCCATTAATACAGGTAACGAGTGGAGGACAGAGGAGCCTCTTAAAGAAGAAGTTACAGGTCTGTGAGAGCCAGAAATCTTGCTTGTTTGTAGGTGACCAAATACTTATTTTCCACCATAATTTGCAAATAAATTCATTAAAAATCCTATAATGTGATTTTCTGGATTTTTTTCCCTCAATTTGTCTGTCATAATTGACGTGTACCTATGATGAAAATTACAGGCCTCTCTCATCTTTTTAAGTGGGAGAACTTGCACAATTGGTGGCTGACTAAATACTTTTTTTCCCCACTGTATGAGCCGTCCTCCACTGCTGTAGACACACCTTCATTCATTCCATCTCCACCCCAAACAAATAGCAGGTGAATTTAATGCCATTCTCATGCTTCAGTTCAAGATCAGAATACGCAAAGAGAGAAAAGTCCATAAAAAGGGAACTATGTTCCATTAACCCACGCTGAACTCAGGTCTGAATTCCCCCCTTGGATGTTACTGAAATAATTTCACTAGTATTCACACTCAGATCTGTTCTAGATAACCACTGTTATTCACACTCAGATCTGTTCTAGATAAACACTGTTATTCACACTCAGATCTGTTCTAGATAAACACTGTTATTCACACTCAGATCTGTTCTAGATAAACACTGTTATTCACACTCAGATCTGTTCTAGACTAACACTGTTATTCACTCAGATCTGTTCTAGATAAACACTGTTATTCACACTCAGATCTGTTCTAGATAAACATTGTTATTACACACCCATCTGTTCTAGGATAAACACTGTTATTCACACTCAGATCTGTTCTAGATAAAACACTGTTATTCACACTCAGATCTGTTCTAGATAAACACTGTTATTCACATCAACCTCCGATCTGGTTCTAGATAAACACTGTTATTCACACTCAGATCTGTTCTAGATAAACACTGTTATTCACACTCAGATCTGTTCTAGATAAACACGTTATTCACACTCAGATCTGTTCTAGATAAACATGTTATTCACTCAGATCTGTTCTAGATAAACACTGTTATTCACACTCAGATCTGGTCTAGATAAAACATGTTATTCACACTCAGATCTGTTCTAGATCAAACACTGTTATTCACACTCAATCTGTTCTAGATAAACCATGTTATTCACACTCAGATCTGTTCTAGATAAACACTGTTATTCACACTCAGATCTGTTCTAGATAAAACACTGTTATTCACACTCAGATCTGTTCTAGATAAACACTGTTATTCAACACTCAGATCTGTTCTAGATAAACAACTGTATTCACACTCAGATCTTGTTCTAGATAAACACTGTTATTCACACTCAGATCTGTTCTAGATAAACAACTGTTTATTCACACTCCGATCTGTCTAGACTAACACTGTTATTCACACTCAGATCTGTTCTAGATAAAACACTGTTATTCACTCAGATCTGTTCTAGATAAACACTGTTATTCACACTCAGATCTGTTCTAGATAAACACTGTTATTCACCTCAGATCTGTTATGTTATGCACTCATATCTCACAATTTAGATGACTGGTGTGTAAGAAAGGAATGTCCACTGGACCCCAACACTGTCACATTCTCTCCCCCTCTTCCCCTACCTCGTCTCTCCCCCCTCTCCTCTCCTTTCTCCTCCTCCTCTCTCCCTCTTTCCCCTCCTCCTCTCTCCCTCTTTCCCCTACCCCCTCCCCACCTACTCCTCTCTCTCCCCCTCTCCCCTCCTCCTCTCTCTCCCCCTCTCCCCTCCTTCTCTCTCCCCTCCTCTTCCTCTCTGTCTATCTCTACCCTTCTAATCTACAGAAGAGCAGAAAGGTATTTGTTGCCACCCTGCATGTTTCTGCTACTGTAGTTCTGCTTCTTAGTAGTCTGTGTTAATAGAAGTCTGTGTGTGTGTTAGTCTGTGTTAACTGTGTGTCCCTGTGTGTGTGTGTGTGTGTGTGTGTGTGTGTGTGTGTGTGTGTATATTGGCCTGTGTTAATGTGTGTGTGTGTGTGTGTATTGGCCTGTGTTAACTGCGTGTCCCTGTGTTAACTGTGTGTGTGTGTGTATATTGGCCTGTGTTAACTGCGTGTCCCTGTGTTAACTGTGTGTGTGTGTGTATATTGGCCTGTGTTAACTGCGTGTCCTGTGTGTGTGTGTGTGTATATATTGGCCTGTGTTAACTGTGTGTGTGTCTCTGTGCCTCCCTACAGTGACTATGGCCAGTATTGGTCCCGGGTCGGGGGTCCAGGTGATAGACTCTCCTCTCCTGACGCAGCAGATTGAGGCTCAGAGACACAGCATCAAACACCTGAAGAATGAGAACAACAGACTCAAGGTAGGAAAGACCATAGAGGTAGATAGATAGACCATAGAGGTAGATAGATAGACCATAGAGGTAGATAGATAGATAGATAGACCATAGAGATAGATAGATAGATAGATAGACCATAGAGGTAGATAGATAGACCATAGAGATAGATAGACCATAGAGGTAGATAGATAGACCATAGAGATAGATAGACCATAGAGGTAGATAGATAGACCATAGAGGTAGATAGATAGATAGACCATAGAGGTAGATAGATAGACCATAGAGGTAGATAGATAGATAGATAGCCCATAGAGGTAGATAGATAGATAGACCATAGAGGTAGATAGATAGATAGACCATAGAGGTAGATAGATAGATAGACCATAGAGGTAGATAGATAGACCATAGAGGTAGATAGATAGATAGACCATAGAGGTAGATAGATAGATAGACCATAGAGATAGATAGACCATAGAGGTAGATAGATAGACCATAGAGGTAGATAGATAGATAGACCATAGAGGTAGATAATAGACCCTATGAGATAGATAGAGATAGATAGATAGACCATACGAGTAGATAGATAGACCATAGAGATAGATAGACCATAGAGGTAGATAGATAGACCATAGAGATAGATAGACCATAGAGGTAGATAGATAGACCATAGAGGTAGATAGATAGATAGACCATAGAGGTAGATAGATAGACCATAGAGGTAGATAGATAGATAGACCATAGAGGTAGATAGATAGATAGACCATAGAGGTAGATAGATAGATAGACCATAGAGATAGATAGATAGATAGACCATAGAGGTAGATAGATAGACCATAGAGATAGATAGACCATAGAGGTAGATAGATAGATAGACCATAGAGGTAGATAGAAGACTCATCTTTGTATCTGTGACATCGCCATCGAGGGCTATCTCCATTTTAAGTAGTTTTCTTTTGTGTTTGAAAAAAGCGTAAAGATTTACAGCCACCTGCAGTGCCTGAGTGCCATTCTGTTAGTGCTATCATGTCAACGCCTTGTCACTCGTTGAAAGGTAGCCTGAGTACCATTCTGTTAGTGCTATCATGTCAACGCCTTGTCACTCATTGAAAGGTAGCCTGAGTTGCCATTCTGTTAGTGCTATCATGTCAACGCCTTGTCACTCATTGAAAGGTAGCCTGAGTGCCATTCTGTTAGTGCTATCATGTCAACGCCTTGTCACTCGTTGAAAGGTAGCCTGAGTGCCATTCTGTTAGTGCTATCATGTCAACGCCTTGTCACTCGTTGAAAGGTAGCCTGAGTGCCATTCTGTTAGTGCTATCATGTCAACGCCTTGTCACTCGTTGAAAGGTAGCCTGAGTACCATTCTGTTAGTGCTATCACGTCAACGCCTTGTCACTCGTTGAAAGGTAGCCTGAGTGCCATTCTGTTAGTGCTATCATGTCAACGCCTTGTCACTCATTGAAAGGTAGCCTGAGTGCCATTCTGTTAGTGCTATCATGTCAACGCCTTGTCACTCATTGAAAGGTAGCCTGAGTGCCAGTCCAGGGGTTGGAACCGAAAACCGGAAAATAACTAAATGTTTCAAGGAACAGAATCAGAACCGGGAACGAAAGTGATCTATACTGTTCCTGGAACATAACCCTTATTTTAAAAGCATGGGAACCGGTTAATAACGTTTAATTTTACGTTCCGGGATTTATTTTCCAGTCCCACAAAAAAACTTAACAAAGCACCTATGCAAAATCCCTCCCTCTGTCAATCTGAAACGTATTCCAGTGTCTGCCTGCCAGCTGGACATATTTACCAGTGTGTTTGAGTGTAGGTTACCTCCCCCTCCTCCTCTGAAGCATAGCTGTAACCTACTGACGTTACAAGCGTGATTCAGAAGATAGGGAGAGATTTAATTAAGAGAAGAATGGATTCACTTGTTCAACGCTAGTTAGGGATACTATCACATTTCACATTGGATTTATTAACTACAAAAAAGGTAAGACGTGTTAACTCTGGTGCCGCCCTGCACACACAAGCTTGTTAGCCAGCTAGCTTCTCTGGTCCAACATTCAGCCAACTCTGAAGTTCAAAGACATTCAAAGTTCCTGCATAGAAGCCGTTCCTCCGTAGGTATAAGTTTGTGGGCCTAATTCAGATAATGCATGTCATCACAAGATGCCCAGCACTTCAAGCCTCCTCCTCTCGCGCCCTTCACTTGTCTTTCCATCACGCGTGTAAACAGCTCGCTGAGCTATCGCTCGCCCGCTCCACAGCAAGCTGCTCTATCCACACTGCATGATTGGTGAAGTAATTGGTGTGTGTAATTTCATGTCGAGTTCAATTTTAATAAAAATAATAATTAATCATTTAGCAGACGCTCTTATCCAGAGCGACTTACAGGAGCAATTAGGGTTAAGTGCCTTGCTCAAGAGCACATCGACAGATGTTTCACCTTGTCGGCTCGGGGATTAGAACCAGCGACCTTTCGGTTACTGGCACAACACTCTTAACCACTAAGCCATCTGCCGCCATTTTCAGAGGTTTAAAAAGGAACAGAAAGGAATGATATAAACTGGTAAGTTTTTGGGGTTCGAACCGGTTCAGAACTTTATTTTGGTGGTCGGAATAGTGGAATGGAACAAAACAAATAATGGTTCCGTTCAGAACTAAACGATTGGAAACTATTTTCAGTTCCAACCGCTGGGCCAGTCTGTTAGTGCTATCATGTCAACGCCTTGTCACTCACTGTCATGCCAATGAGCAATGGAGTTGGCAAGAGCACAAACAGATCTGGGACCAGGCTAAGGTCAGTCCTTCTCTCCAGGAACATAATATCTACTCTGTTGTAGAGAAGAAACACTTATCCTCCATCCCTTCTCCTCCCCTTCCCTCCTCTCCCCTCCCCCCTCCTCTCCCCTCCATCCCTCCTCCCCCTCCCTCCCCTCCATCCCTCCTCTCCTCTCCCCTCCCCTCCCCCTCCCCTCCCCTCCCCTCCATCCCTCCTCCCCCTCCTCTCCCCTCCCCTCCCCTCCATCCCTCCTCTCCATCCCACCTCTCCTCTCCTCTCCTCTCCCCTCCCCTCCATCCCTCCCTCTCTCTCCCTCCAGGCTGAGAAGATGCGTGCCCAGCTAGCCTCCCTGCCCCCCCTCCATGTCTCCAAACTGCCCACTAGAGACGGGTCTCACCCAGAGGTGCTCTCTAGCGCCCTCTATCGTAAGACTGACCAATTACTGGACACGTTACTGCAGATGAGTGCCAACGTCAAAGTGGTGGACATCACTGGCAAATCCCCAGGTATGATGGCACCCCCCTCCCCCTTCTTGTTCTGTGTTGTACCTGTAAAATAGTTGTTCTCAATTACGTAATTGGTTACATAAAGGCCCCTAAAAAAAATGTCAGCATATTCACACTTTTTCGCTGTAACTGTAGCTGATTGAAGTTTTGTTTAATGTGTGTTGTTGAGCAGTAACTCCTAGTGCCCAGCTGTTGGAACACACAGCCAGACTCCAGTCTCTTAGCAACACTCTGGACAGACTGAAGGTAAGACTCCAGTCTCTTAGCAACACTCTGGACAGACTGAAGGTAAGACTCCAGTCTCTTAGCAACACTCTGGACAGACTGAAGGTAAGACTCCAGTCTCTTAGCAACACTCTGGACAGACTGAGGTAAGACTCCAGTCTCTTAGCAACACTCTGGACAGACTGAAGGTAAGACTCCAGTCTCTTAGCAACACTCTGGACAGACTGAAGGTAAGACTCCAGTCTCTTAGCAACACTCTGGACAGACTGAAGGTAAGACTCCAGTCTCTTAGCAACACTGGACAGACTGAAGGTAAGACTCCAGTCTCTTAGCAACACTCTGGACAGACTGAAGGTAAGACTCCAGTCTCTTAGCAACACTCTGGACAGACTGAAGGTAAGACTCCAGTCTCTTAGCAACACTTTGGACAGACTGAAGGTAAGACTCCAGTCTCTTAGCAACACTCTGGACAGACTGAAGGTAAGACTCCAGTCTCTTAGCAACACTCTGGACAGACTGAAGGTAAGACTCCAGTCTCTTAGCAACACTCTGGACAGACTGAAGGTAAGACTCCAGTCTCTTAGCAACACTCTGGACAGACTGAAGGTAAGACTCCAGTCTCTTAGCAACACTCTGGACAGACTGAAGGTAAGACCCCAGTCTCTTAGCAACACTCTGGACAGACTGAAGGTAAGACTCCAGTCTCTTAGCAACACTCTGGACAGACTGAAGGTAAGACTCCAGTCTCTTAGCAACACTCTGGACAGACTGAAGGTAAGACTCCAGTCTCTTAGCAACACTCTGGACAGACTGAAGGTAAGACTCCAGTCTCTTAGCAACACTGGACAGACTGAAGGTAAGACTCCAGTCTCTTAGCAACACTCTGGACAGACTGAAGGTAGACTCCAGTCTCTTAGCAACACTCTGGACAGACTGAAGGTAAGACTCCAGTCTCTTAGCAACACTTTGGACAGACTGAAGGTAAGACTCCAGTCTCTTAGCAACACTCTGGACAGACTGAAGGTAAGACTCCAGTCTCTTAGCAACACTCTGGACAGACTGAAGGTAAGACTCCAGTCTCTTAGCAACACTCTGGACAGACTGAAGGTAAGACTCCAGTCTCTTAGCAACACTCTGGACAGACTGAAGGTAAGACTCCAGTCTCTTAGCAACACTCTGGACAGACTGAAGGTAAGACTCCAGTCTCTTAGCAACACTCTGGACAGACTGAAGGTAAGACTCCAGTCTCTTAGCAACACTCTGGACAGACTGAAGGTAAGATCCAGTCTCTTAGCAACACTCTGGACAGACTGAAGGTAAGACTCCAGTCTCTTAGCAACACTGGACAGACTGAAGGTAAGACTCCAGTCTCTTAGCAACACTCTGGACAGACTGAAGGTAAGACTCCAGTCTCTTAGCAACACTCTGGACAGACTGAAGGTAAGACTCCAGTCTCTTAGCAACACTCTGGACAGACTGAAGGTAAGACTCCAGTCTCTTAGCAACACTCTGGACAGACTGAAGGTAAGACTCCAGTCTCTTAGCAACACTCTGGACAGACTGAAGGTAAGACTCCAAACCCCTAGGCTGGGATTCAAGCCTATTGTAGTTTGTCCACAATTCACCTTTTAAAAGACAATGTTTCCGCGTTCACTGTAAAATGCTGCAGATGTCGGCTCAGTTGAAAGATTACTTTAAATGGCACATTGTTGACAGGCGCGATGGGATTGAATCCCGACAATGGATACAATACAAAATGTATCCCTGAATGTATACAGCAGTAGTAGACAGGCTAAATAACATCTCTCCTGATCCCTTCCCTTTACTCCCTCCTCTATGACCTCTCCCATGTCTTTTCTCTGCTCCATAACCACCTCTCGACCCCCCCTCTCAATCACACCCACAACTCTCCATCCCCCGTCGAGCATGAACACTCCTCCGACGTACCTCTCTCATCCCCTCTAGCCCCCTCATCTCGTCCCCTCATCTCCCCTCTCTCTCTGCCCAAAGTCTCTCTGCCCCCCCCCTCTCTCTTCCCCCCCCTCTCTCCCCCCCCCCTCTCTCCCCCCTCCCCTCCCCTCTCTCTCCCCCCTCGTCTCCCCCCCTCTCTCAGGATGAGGTATCAGAACATGTGGTGACCCAGAGACCTGGCGCTAGAGTCTTGTCTGACTTTGCCACGTTCCCCTGCTCCTCCTTCGTCAAGGTAATCACACTCCAGGGTCACTCCATGGTCACTCCAGGGTCACTCCAGGGTCACTCCAGGGTCACTCCAGGGTCACTCCAGGGTCACCAGTCATACACACTCCAGGGTCACTCCAGGGTCACTCCAGGGTCACCAGTCATTCACACTCCAGGGTCACCAGTCATTCACACTCCAGGGTCACCAGTCATTCACACTCCAGGGTCACTCCAGGGTCACCAGTCATTCACACTCCAGGGTCACTCCAGGGTCACCAGTCATTCACACTCCAGGGTCACCAGTCATTCACACTCCAGGGTCACCAGTCATTCACACTCCAGGGTCACCAGTCATTCACACTCCAGGGTCACTCCAGGGTCACCAGTCATTCACACTCCAGGGTCACCAGTCATTCACACTCCAGGGTCACCAGTCATTCATACTCCAGGGTCACCAGTCATTCATACTCCAGGGTCACCAGTCATTCACACTCCAGGGTCACCAGTCATTCATACTCCAGGGTCACCAGTCATTCATACTCCAGGGTCACCAGTCATTCACACTCCAGGGTCACCAGTCATTCACACTCCAGGGTCACCAGTCATTCACCACTCCAGGGTCACCAGTTCATTCACACTCCAGGGTCACCAGTCATTCACAATCCAGGTGTCACCAGTCATTCACACTCCAGGGTCAACTCCCAGGGTCACCAGTCATTCACACTCCAGGGTCACCAGTCATTCACACTCCAGGGTCACCAGTCATTCATACTCCAGGGTCACCAGTCAATTTCATACTCAAGGGTCACCAGTCATTCACACTCCAGGGTCACCAGTCATTCACACTCCAGGGTCACCAGTCATTCACACTCCAGGGTCACCAGTCATTCACACTCCAGGGTCACCAGTCATTCACACTCCAGGGTCACCAGTCATTCACACTCCAGGGTCCACCAGTCATTCATACTCCAGGGTCACAGTCATTACATACTCAGGGTCACCAGTCATTCACACTCCAGGGTCACAGTCATTCATACCCAGGTCACCAGTCATTCATACTCCAGGGTCACCAGTCATTCACACTCCAGGGTCACCATCATTTCACACTCCAGGGTCACCAGTCATTCACACTCCAGGGTCACCAGTCATACAACTCCAGGGTCACTCCAGGGTCACTCCAGGGTCACCAGTCATACACACTCCAGGGTCACTCCAGGGTCACCAGTCATTCACACTCCCGGGTCACTCCAGGGTCACCAGTCATTCACACTCCAGGGTCACCAGTCATTCACCCTCCAGGGTCACCAGTCATTCACACTCCAGGGTCACCAGTCATTCACACTCCAGGGTCACCAGTCATTCACACTCCAGGGTCACTCCAGGGTCACCAGTCATTTCACACTCCAGGGTCACCAGTCCATCATCTCCAGGGTCACCAGTCTACACACTCCAGGGTCACTCCAGGGTCACCAGTCATTCTACTCCAGGGTCACCAGTCATTCACACTCCAGGGTCCCAGTCTCCACTCCAGGGTCACCAGTCATTCACACTCCAGGGTCACCAGTCGTTCCACTCCAGGGTCACCAGTCATACACACTCCAGGGTCACTCCAGGGTCACCCAGTCCATTCATACTCCAGGGTCACCAGTCATTCACACTCCAGGGTCACCAGTCATTCATACTCCAGGGTCACCAGTCATTCATCACTCCAGGGTCACACCCGTCATTCACACTCCAGGGTCACATCCATTACACTCCAGGGTCACCAGTCATTCACACTCCAGGGTCACCAGTCATTCACACCCTCCAGGGTCACCAGTCATTCACACTCCAGGGTCACCAGTCATTCATACTCCAGGGTCACCAGTCATTCACACTCCAGGGTCACCAGTCATTCACACTCCAGGGTCACCAGTCATACACACTCCAGGGTCACCAGTCATTCACACTCCAGGGTCACCAGTCATACACACTCCAGGGTCACCAGTCATTCATACTCCAGGGTCACCAGTCATACACACTCAGACTACGAGTGATACGGCCCCCTATCAAAGATATGGTCACAGATACGGCCCCCTATCAAAGATATGGTCACAGATATGGCCCCCTATCAAAGATATGGTCACAGATACGGCCCCCTATCAAAGATATGGTCACAGATACGGCCCCCTATCAAAGATATGGTCACAGATACGGCCCCCTATCAAAGATATGGTCAAAGTAGTGCACTATGTAGGGCAGTGGTCACCAAACATTTCTGTAGAAAAGGCAACGCCAACATTTCTGTACAAAAGCCAACGCTAACATTTCTGTAGAAAAGCCAACGATAACATCTCCGACTTCAGTGCGTTCACGACACCTGGGAACTCTGTAAAAACGAGATCCGACTGGGAAAAATAATTTCGTTTTGAACAGTCATCCAACTTGGAATTCCTGGTGGGGAAACTTGGGCATCTCTCAGCTCCGACTTTGACCTCGTTGTTTTTTCTTTGTGTTTCCAGTTGTCTTGAAAGCACCATGAATCTAATTATTTGAAAATTATTTCAATTTATGCTCAGCTGTGCCTCACAAGTTCTACACCAACTGATCTATTCTGTTATCAAAGCTTGAGTTTTGAAATATAATATGGTCTGAGAAGAACAATATTGGCAGACCAGGCATATAGCCAACATGCTGTGATAATGTATTAGGAATACTGCACAAACCTCATTCCTTCACAACTGGTTTTATTAGGTTCATGTTACATTTTTAAAGTAATGTTAAAGTGGTAGATCTCGGCTTGCTTTTTGACTGCGAAAGTGATCTGGACTCAGAAAAGGTTGGTGACCACTGATGTAAGAAATGCCCAACTCAGGTGACCTTGAGGTTAGAGTATCCATCCAGAGATTGGAAGGTTGGGAGTTCAATACCTGGCCGAGTCATACCAAAGACTCTAAAGATGGGACCTGATGCTTCTCTGCTTGGCACTCAGCATTAAGGAGATATATTGGAGGTAAGGACCTGCGATAGACTAGTGTCCTGTCCAGGGGGTGTCCTGTACATCAAGCTGTCTCACTACAGAAACAGGAGATAGACTAGTGTCCTGTCCAGGGGGTGTACTGGTACATCAAGCTGTCTCGCTACAGAAACAGGAGATAGACTAGTGTCCTGTCCAGGGGGTGTCCTGGTACATCAAGCTGTCTCGCTACAGAAACAGGAGATAGACTAGTGTCCTGTCCAGGGGGTGTCCTGGTACATCAAGCTGTCTCACTACAGAAACAGGAGATAGACTAGTGTCCTGTCCAGGGGGTGTACTGGTACATCAAGCTGTTTCACTACAGAAACAGGAGATAGACTAGTGTCCTGTCCAGGGGGTGTACTGGTACATCAAGCTGTCTCGCTACAGAAACAGGAGATAGACTAGTGTCCTGTCCAGGGGGTGTCCTGGTACATCAAGCTGTCTCGCTACAGAAACAGGAGATAGACTAGTGTCCTGTCCAGGGGATGTACTGGTACATCAAGCTGTCTCACTACAGAAACAGGAGATAGACTAGTGTCCTGTCCAGGGGGTGTCCTGGTACATCAAGCTGTCTCGCTACAGAAACAGGAGATAGACTAGTGTCCTGTCCAGGGGATGTACTGGTACATCAAGCTGTCTCACTACAGAAACAGGAGATAGACTAGTGTCCTGTCCAGGGGGTGTCCTGGTACATCAAGCTGTCTCACTACAGAAACAGGAGATAGACTAGTGTCCTGTCCAGGGGGTGTACTGGTACATCAAGCTGTTTCACTACAGAAACAGGAGATAGACTAGTGTCCTGTCCAGGGGGTGTACTGGTACATCAAGCTGTCTCGCTACAGAAACAGGAGATAGACTAGTGTCCTGTCCAGGGGGTGTCCTGATACATCAAGCTGTCTCACTACAGAAACAGGAGATAGACTAGTGTCCTGTCCAGGGGGTGTACTGGTACATCAAGCTGTCTCACTACAGAAACAGGAGATAGACTAGTGTCCTGTCCAGGGGGTGTCCTGGTACATCAAGCTGTCTCACTACAGAAACAGTAGATAGACTAGTGTCCTGTCCAGGGGGTGTACTGGTACATCAAGCTGTCTCACTACAGAAACAGGAGAAGAGGGGGAACATGGTGCTGGTGGGTTAGGGGCCAGGTCTGTAACTAGTGTCTGTCTGTCTCCAGGTCCAGGAGGAGAAGAGGGGGAACATGGTGCTGGTGGGTTAGGGGCCAGGTCTGTAACTAGTGTCTGTCTGTCTCCAGGTCCAGGAGGAGAAGAGGGGGAACATGGTGCTGGTGGGGAAGGTGATGATGCCCTGTTCCCGTGGTCAGGAGCAGGTCCACCGTCTCGTCCTATCACAGCCTCAGCTCCACAGAGTGCACCGCCTCCTGCTGACATAGGCTCCACCCACAACCCGCCCTGCTGACATAGGCTCCACCTTCAACCAGCCCCCGTTGCTCCTTCCATCTGTCTGTCTGTGAAGTTTTTAGGATAAACATTGGGGGGGGGGGGGTGTTCATACGCAGACAGTGCTTGACTTGGGCCGGGAGCTCTCTGAACCGAGATCCAGCGCCTTCATTTGTTCTATTGCCTGAGGTCCTTTCTGCAGTTATTGCATAGTTCTGGAACCTGAATATAACCGGTAGCATCACCCAGCATCAGAACCAGTTCCAAATCAAGCACTGTTCATACGTACAGAACAGCTAGAGGACTAATACACTGCTGTGGGGTCATACACTCCCTCTGTAGAGCACAGCGCCCGCAACGCCAGGATAGTGGGTTCGATTCCCGGGACCACAAATATATACACAAATATATACACGCATGACTGCAAAACACTTTGGATAAAAGCGTCTGCTAAGTGGGATATTATATTCTATATTACCTACACACACACTACTACACTGCCTGCTGAGGGTGATGCTGTCTGTCTGCTGAGGGTGATGCTGTCTGTCTGCTGAGGGTGATGCTGCCTGTCTGCTGAGGGTGATGCTGTCTGTCTGCTGAGGGTGATGCTGTCTGTCTGCTGAGGGTGATGCTGTCTGTCTGCTGAGGGTGATGCTGCCTGCTAAACGTCTTACTGTCTGTCTGCTGAGGGTGATGCTGTCTGTCTGCTGAGGGTGATGCTGTCTGTCTGCTGAGGGTGATGCTCCCTGCTAAACGTCTTACTGTCTGTCTGCTGAGGGTGATGCTGCCTGCTACACTCATCTTTTATTTATGACATTTATTTAAGATGGTCAATGCACATTGGGCCCTATTTAGACTTGACATAAGTTACTTACGGGGGGCGTGGCTTAATTTATTTCATATTTATTTCACATAAATGCCAGTAAATTGTTACCTGCTTGGTTGTAATCTGTTTAAGTACTATTTCAGAATCAAGAGCTAATATATCAATGTGTATTACAGGTGAGGTGATGAGACTCATTTCGCTGTGTAGAATGACTCCGGGTCATCATAGCCTTCATTAAACTACTGACTGGTCACACCACATGCCTCATCAGTTACTGTCTGCAGTTAACCTCATCAGTTACTGGCTGTAGTTAACCTCATCAGTTACTGGCTGTAGTTAACCTCATCAGTTACTGGCTGTAGTTAACCTCATCAGTTACTGGCTGTAGTTAACCTCATCAGTTACTGGCTGTAGTTAACCTCATCAGTTACTGTCTGCAGTTAACCTCATCAGTTACTGGCTGTAGTTAACCTCGTCAGTTACTGGCTGTAGTTAACCTCGTCAGTTACTGGCTGTAGTTAACCTCGTCAGTTACTGGCTGTAGTTAACCTCGTCAGTTACTGTCTGTAGTTAACCTCGTCAGTTACTGGCTGTAGTTAACCTCGTCAGTTACTGGCTGTAGTTAACCTCATCAGTTACTGGCTGTAGTTAACCTCATCAGTTACTGGCTGTAGTTAACCTCATCAGTTACTGGCTGTAGTTAACCTCATCAGTTACTGGCTGTAGTTAACCTCATCAGTTACTGGCTGTAGTTAACCTCATCAGTTACTGGCTGTAGTTAACCTCATCAGTTACTGGCTGTAGTTAACCTCATCAGTTACTGGCTGTAGTTAACCTCATCAGTTACTGGCTGTAGTTAACCTCGTCAGTTACTGGCTGTAGTTAACCTCATCAGTTACTGGCTGTAGTTAACCTCATCAGTTACTGGCTGTAAAACAACATCTTGGCCAAAGAAGCTTTGTTTTTTTCACAACGAAAAAAGTGTCACATTGGTTCATAAAGGCTTTCTCATCTCTGCTATGAAGTATCACACTGGTTCATAAAGGCTTTATAGTTTTAATAACCAAGTTATATTGGCATTATTTTCATGGCATTGTTGGCTTTACTTACATTATCATTGGAGATAATATATTAACATGGTATTCATTATCATTTTATGCATTATGTAGAGATTAGTGATTTATAGATAATGTATCTACTCTTATGATTGAGGGGATTGTGTAACTCTCCACCCTGTCGCCTATCTCTGTGTACCCGGCAGGTAGCTTAGTGGGTAAGAGCGTTGTGCCAGTAACCGAAAGGTCGCTGGTTCTAATCTAAATGACTAAAATGTAAATGTAAATGTACCCTGTTGCTAGCATATAATGTATCTCTGTGCTCTATGCATCCCGTTGGTAGGATTTAATATATCTCTGTAACATCTTCAAGTGTACTATATTCAAAGAACATCCAGTCTGCTAGTAACAATACCCAATTGTACAGCTAGGTGGCGTAGGCAGACCACATATTACCATCAATCTACTACAACCCTGTCACGAGCCTCTCCATCGCCATGCGCCAAAGGGTATTTCAAATCAAAATCACATTTTATTGGTCACATACACGTATTTAGCAGATGTTATTGCGGGTGGAGCGAAATGCTTGTAACCTTTATTTGTGTGCGACTGATGGAACTTTCCAGAGCCCTGTGTCTCTCTGTCTCTACTGTAACCCAGAGTCCTGTGTCTCTCTGTCTCCGCTGTAACCTGTCACTCCCAGTGCTGTTACTATTACTGCTGCGTAGGGTTTGCAAAATTACAGTAACTTTAACAAAATTCCCAGGTTTTTCAGAAATCCCGGTTGGAAGATTCACGTTATCTGGCAGAAATAAACAGGAAATCCAGGAATCCTCAAACCGGGATTTCTGGAAAACCTGAGAATTTGGGGAAAGTAACCAGTATTTTGCCACCCTATCGCTGTTACACCACTGTAATGTTACTACGCTTACCACTATTACGTTACTGTAACCACCTGAACAATAAAGAAGCTGCAGGAGAAGGAATGCCATGCTGTCTGTCTGTCTGTCTGCCGATGCTCGTCTTTGTATTTGATACACTGCCGATTTTGCACTTCAACTGTGAGAGACGGAATCTAAAACAAAAATCCAGAAAATCACATTGTATGATTTTTAAGTAATTAATTTGCATTTTATTGCATGACATAAGTATTTGATCACCTACCAACCAGTAAGAATTCCGGCTCTCACAGACCTGTTCGTTTTTCTTGAAGAAGCCCTCCTGTTCTCCACTCATTAACTGAATTAACTGCACCTGTTTGAACTCGTTACCTGTATAAAAGACACCTGTCCACACACTCAATCAAACAGACTCCAACCTCTCCACAATGGCCAAGACCAGAGAGCTGTGTAAGGACATCAGGGATAAAATTGTAGACCTGCACAAGGCTGGGATGGGCTACAGGACAATAGGCAAGCAGCTTGGTGAGAAGGCAACAACTGTTGGCGCAATTATTAGAAAATGGAAGAAGTTCAAGATGACGGTCAATCACCCTCGGTCTGGGGCTCCATGCAAGATCTCACCTTGTGGGGCATCAATGATCATGAGGTAGGTGAGGGATCAGCCCAGAACTACACGGCAGGACCTGGTCAATGACCTGAAGAGAGCTGGGACCACAGTCTCAAAGAAAACCATTAGTAACACACTACGCCGTCATGGATTAAAATCCTGTTAGTGTATCTATCTCTAATACAGGTTAGTGTGTGTATCTCTCTCTAATACAGGTTAGTGTGTGTATCTCTCTCTAATACAGGTTAGTGTGTGTATCTATCTCTAATACAGGTTAGTGTGTGTATCTCTCTCTAATACAGGTTAGTGTGTGTATCTCTCTCTAATACAGGTTAGTGTGTGTATCTATCTCTAATACAGGTTAGTGTGTGTATCTATCTCTAATACAGGTTAGTGTGTATCTCTCTCTAATACAGGTTAGTGTGTGTATCTCTCTCTAATACAGGTTAGTGTGTGTATCTATCTCTAATACAGGTTAGTGTGTGTATCTATCTCTAATACAGGTTAGTGTGTGTATCTATCTCTAATACAGGTTAGTGTGTGTATCTATCTCTAATACAGGTTAGTGTGTGTATCTATCTCTAATACAGGTTAGTGTGTGTATCTATCTCTAATACAAGTTCAGCGTCACAGGCAACGTCCCCGCGTTAGCAGAGACTGTATTCACGGTAAACCCTGTCGCCTTTGTGGAATCTACCTCCAACTTCATCGATTCGCCCAAGGTCAATACGGATTTATTTATTTATTTTTTATTATGAAACTCCTACTAGAACCTATGTAGTCCTCTGTAGTAGCATGCCTTTCTTTGATTGCTGAAATCCATACGTTTTCTAAAAATGTTAAGCAAACACAGCCACCGACTGTTGGCTCATTGCTGTTGCCCTAATATGGCAACTCAGAGCAAATGCGCATGTTTAATCTCAACAAGGAAACAGTTGGCGGTCGAAATTCATCAAACGTCCTTCACCACGGAGTGGAGTTTAGTCCCCTAGCATGTGCCTAGCTACAATAATGCTCATCTCTAATGTTTAATCGCTGACTAGGTTGCTGGCTTGCTAAATGCACTAGCAAGGGCAAAGCTAACGTTAGCGCTAATACATGTTGCTAACAGTGGTGGTGTAGATCAGCATGTTATTTGTATAACGGCATGTTCTGAATCAGATAGTCTATTCTAAAATATTTGTCTAAATGTAACATTATTTCAAATGTGATTAGGGTCCCCTGGGAAACACTGACCAACACTTTGGTTCCTACCCTGTCATAACTCCTACCTGGCTTTTTAATTTGTTGTCATGCCAACACCAACCATAGAATTAGTCATTGTGTTTCTCTGATTCCAACAGTTCACCCAAATGTTTTGATCTACACTGAGTATACAAAACATTAAGAACACCTGCTCTTTCCATGACATAAGACTGACCAGGTGAATCCAGGTGAAAGCTGTGATCCCTTATTGGTGTCACTTCTTAAAGCCACTTCAATCAGTGTAGATGAAGGGGAGGAGACAGGTTAAAGAAGGATTTTTAAGCCTTGAGACAATTGAGACATGGATTGTGTATGTGTGCCATTCAGAGGGTGAATGGGCAAGACAAAATATTGAAGTGCCTTTGAACGGGGTATGGTAGTAGGTGCCAGGCACACCGGTTTGTGTCAAGAACAGCAACGCTGCTGGGTTTTTCCACGCTCAACAGTTTCCCGTGTGTATCAAGAATGGTCCACCACCCAAAGGACATCCAGCCAACTTGACACAACCGTGGGAAACATTGGAGTCAACATGGGCCAGCATCCCTGTGGAACGCTTTCGACACCTTGTAGAGTCAATGCCCCGATGAATTGAGGCTGTTCTGAGGGCAAAGGGGGGTGCACCTCAATATTAGGAAGGTGTTCCTAATGGTTGGTATACAAGTCAAATACAAGTAAAATTGCTATATTTGGTTGGAAAAATCGCAATTAGATTTTTTGCCCATATCGTGCAGCCCTACTAACAACCTGGGCCCGGATTCCCAAAAAGCATCTTAAGGCTAAATTCATCTTGGAACCACACGATCCTAACTTAGCCTTTAGATGCTTTGCGAAACCGGGCCTTGGTAACTTTACCAGTATATGCAAACATTTGCTGGCAACAGAAAGAAAGGAAAAGTGAAATGTTCTTCAGGAGATGTGCTTCAAAAGTAAGTAAGATTCATACAGGCCCAATTTAGGCTATATCACTATCAATTTAAAAACTATTTTCCTGGTGCTCCTAAATGTTATGCGGTGCTATCAATGAAACTTTTTTTAATTTAGAGCCCTGGGTAAACTCAAAGCCATGGAAGTCTTCACAGCCTGACCTGTACTGACTGCTGCTAACAGAGCTGTAGCGACTGCTGCTGCTAACAGAGCTGTAGCGACTGCTGCTGCTAACAGAGCTGTAGCGACTGCTGCTGCTAACAAGCTGTAGCGACTGCTGCTGCTAACAGAGCTGTAGCGACTGCTGCTGCTAACAGAGCTGTAGCGACTGCTGCTGCTAACAGAGCTGTAGCGACTGCTGCTGCTAACAGAGCTGTAGCGACTGCTGCTGCTAACAGAGCTGTAGCGACTGCCTGCTGCTAACAGAGCTGTAGCGACTGCTGCTGCTAACAGAGCTGTAGCGACTGCTGCTGCTAACAGAGCTGTAGCGACTGCTGCTGCTAACAGAGCTGTAGCGACTGCTGCTAACAGAGCTGTAGCGACTGCTGCTAACAGAGCTGTAGCGACTGCTGCTAACAGAGCTGTAGCGACCTGCTGCTAACAGAGCTGTAGCGACTGCTGCTAACAGAGCTGTAGCGACTGCTGCTGCTAACAGAGCTGTAGCGACTGCTGCTGCTAACAGAGCTGTAGCGACTGCTGCTAACAGAGCTGTAGCGACTGCTGCTAACAGAGCTGTAGCGACTGCTGCTAACAGAGCTGTAGCGACTGCTGCTAACAGAGCTGTAGCGACCTGCTGCTAACAGAGCTGTAGCGACTGCTGCTAACAGAGCTGTAGCGACTGCTGCTGCTAACAGAGCTGTAGCGACTGCTGCTAACAGAGCTGTAGCGACGACTGCTGCTAACAGAGCTGTAGCGACTGCTGCTGCTAACAGAGCTGTAGCGACTGCTGCTGCTAACAGAGCTGTAGCGACGACTGCTGCTAACAGAGCTGTAGTGACTGTTGGAGATGTGTAGCCTGTAGATATTCCTTCTATGGTTTATAGGTTCTCGGAATGATGAGAACTGCTCCAGTCCAACACAACATTGGGACAAACAGATGACAGCTATGAAGCATGTTTATTTATGTTTTTGTCATAAAAACGTATCAAAAAAAGTATTTAAATACACATTCAACTGGTAGGACTAAAGCCACATCAATGCTGACCTTGTCTCTTCAGAAACAGACAAATAACGGTTTAATTTTCACTTCATAATGTGTTAAAGGTGAACAAATTTAAGCTTGCAGTAGATCAGAATAAAACATAAAAAAATGTGACTACATTGTCTTTTATTCACAGCACACGTACATTGATTAAAGTGTAAAAGGCCTCCTAGGTGTGGTGATCACTGCCAGGGTGTTTGTCTGCCCAGGACTCTGTTGGTGATTCTCTGCAACACAAAGGATTCAATCACTATGGTTGATTCATTCACTACGGTTGATTCATTCACTCTGGTTGATTCCTTTACTACAATTGATTCAATAACATTTACATTTTAGTCATTTAGCAGACGCTCTTATCCAGAGCGACTTACAGTTTAGTGAGTGCATACATTTATTTATTTTTTTATAACTATGGTTGATTCATTCACTATGGTTGATTCCTTTACTACAGTTGATTCAATCACTATGGTTGATTCCTTTACTATGGTTGATTCATTCCCTATGGTTGATTCCTTTACTACAGTTGATTCAATCACTATGGTTGATTCCTTTACTATGGTTGATTCATTCCCTATGGTTGATTCATTCCCTATGGTTGATTCATTCACCCTGAGGAAACTCCTAAAGAATGTTAAAATTCATTCTATACTAGTTATGTATACATAATATGTACATAATATTCAATTCTATACAAACAATATACTAATGCTCCTGCGGCCATTATATACTAACGCTCCTGCGGCCATTATATACTAACGCTCCTGCGGCCATTATATACTAACGCTCCTGCGGCCATTATATACTAACGCTCCTGCGGCCATTATATACTAACGCTCCTGCGGCCATTATATACTAATGCTCCTGCGGCCATTATATACTAACGCTCCTGCGGCCATTATATACTAACGCTCCTGCGGGCCATTATATACTAATGCTCCTGCGGCCATTTATACTAATGCTCCTGCGGCCATTATATACTAATGCTCCTGCGGCCCATTATATACTAATGCTCCTGCGGCCATTATATACTAATGCTCCTGCGGCCATTATATACTAATGCTCCTGCGGCCATATATACTAATGCTCCTGCGGCCATTATATACTAATGCTCCTGCGGCCATTATATACTAATGCTCCTGCGGCCATTATATACTAATGCTCCTGCGGCCATTATATACTAATGCTCCTGCGGCCATTATATACTAATTCTACTGCGGCCATTATATACTAATGCTCCTGCGGCCATTATATACTAATGCTCCTGCGGCCATTATATACTAATGCTCCTGCGGCCATTATATACTAATGCTCCTGCGGCCATTATATACTAATGCTCCTGCGGCCATTATATACTAATGCTCCTGCGGCCATTATATACTAATTCTACTGCGGCCATTATATACTAATGCTCCTGCGGCCATTATATACTAATTCTACTGCGGCCATTATATACTAATGCTCCTGCGGCCATTATATACTAATGCTCCTGCGGCCATTATATACTAATGCTCCTGCGGCCATTATATACTAATGCTCCTGCGGCCATTATAACTAATGCTCCTGCGGCCATTATATACTAATGCTCCTGCGGCCATTATATACTAATGCTCCTGCGGCCATTATATACTAATGCTCCTGCGGCCATTATATACTAATGCTCCTGCGGCCATTATATACTAATGCTCCTGCGGCCATTATATACTAATGCTCCTGCGGCCATTATATACTAATTCTACTGCGGCCATTCTTTTCTATTATCACTAACACAACGGTTGCGTCCCAAATGACACCCTATTCCCTATATAGTGCACTACTTTAGACCAGAGAATGGCACCCTATTCCCTATATAGTGCACTACTTTAGACCAGAGAATGGCACCCTATTCCCTATATAGTGCACTACTTTAGACCAGAGAATGGCACCCTATTCCCTATATAGTGCACTACTTTAGACCAGAGAATGGCACCCTATTCCCTATATAGTGCACTACTTTAGACCAGAGAATGGCACCCTATTCCCTATATAGTGCACTACTTTAGACCAGGGCCCATGCAGTAGAGAGTAGAGTTGTGGGTTTGAACAGCCTACTACCTTGTTGTAGAGCTGAGCGTTGAGCCTGTAAGAGCGGTACTCCTCTCTCCTCTTCTCCTCCTCTCTCCTCCTCTGCACCTCTGGCAGCTGCTCATATATCCTGATGGGGGAGAGAGGGGGGAGGAGGGGGGGGGGGAGAGAGGAGGGGGGGGGGGGGAGAGGAGGGAGGGGAGAGAGGAGGGAGGGAGGGGGGGAGGGGGGGGGGGATGAGGGAAGATGACAGGGAGGGGAGAAGGGGGGGGGGGAGGAGGGAGGAGTGGAGAGAGAGGGGAAGATGACAGGGTGGAGAGAAGGGGGGGGGGGGGATGACAGATCTACATGTCTTCGCACATAGACTCCCGTAAATTGTATTGTGTCAGGCACGTTCTCAATAAACCAGATATACCCGAGGACTACCGTTGATATGTTTGGAGGAGCACGTCTTTGGTAACCGGACAAGAGGCGCTCTTTGGAAATTGGGAGGGATACAAGCTGAATGGAGTATGCACTGCAGGTAGGGATACAAGCTGAATGGAGTATGCAGGTAGGCCTATGTGAATTGTGAATAATGAAAAAGCATGATGTCAAAAGCCTCAGGAGTAGACCATTTAGAAACCTTCTATGGATCGGCTCCTGGCTAATGCATGGCAGGGTAATCGGCTCCTGGTTAATGCATGGCAGGGTAATCGGCTCCTGGTTAATGCATGGCAGGGTAATCGGCTCCTGGCTAATGCATGGCAGGGTAATCGGCTCCTGGCTAATGCATGGCAGGGTAATCGGCTCCTGGCTAATGCATGGCAGGGTAATCGGCTCCTGGTTAATGCATGGCAGGGTAATCGGCTCCTGGCTAATGCATGGCAGGGTAATCGGCTCCTGGCTAATGCATGGCAGGGTAATCGGCTCCTGGCTAATGCATGGCAGGGTAATCGGCTCCTGGCTAATGCATGGCAGGGTAAGACAGACTCATTACAGCAGGGCAGCCTACTGAGGGCATGATGTTTCCTGGTCCCAGATCAGTTTGTGCCGACTTAATGACAGCCGAAAATAGAGCCCCTTATCGGTAGCCTGCTCCCAGATCAGTTTGTGCTCATACCAACTTAATTGCTGTCATTGATAAGCCAAACATGACAATTCCATAAGGAGTTGGCAAGAGAGCAGAAACAGATCTGGGCCCAGGCACCCTTACCTGATATAGAGATCTCTATCTATGCTGTGGGACCTGTGGTCTACGCTGGGTTAGGTATGATGGGTTAGGGTATGATGGGTTATGGTATGATGGGTTAGGTTATCTATGCTGTGGGACCAACCTCCTCCTCCTGGCCCTCCTGTTAGAGTCTACTTCCTGTTCCTGACCTGACCGTCTGATAGAACAGAGGAGAGTGGAGGGGTTATGGGGAGAGGGGAGGAGTTATTGATGAGAGGGCACCGAGGAAGGGGAGGAGTTGGCAGAGGGAGTTTATGAGGGGAACAGAGGAGAGGGGAGGAGTTATGAGGCACAGAGGAGAGGGGAGGAGTTATGAGGCACAGAGGAGAGGGGAGGAGTTATGAGGCACAGAGGAGAGGGGAGGAGTTATGAGGCACAGAGGAGAGGGGAGGAGTTATGAGGGCACAGAGGAGAGGGGAGGAGTTATGAGCGGGGCACAGAGGAGAGGGGAGGGGTTATGGGGGGGAACAAACACAATGTGATACGTTTATGGAAAATTATTTCCACTTGATAATAATTAAAATTAGAGACATCCTCATTGAAAATGAAAAGCACAATGTTTAATGCATGCTAAAAAGCCGAGCTGATTAAAGGCAACATAAATCCAGGTTTACTGTCTAGACCGCTGCTCCATCTCCTTGGTTGGAACGGCTCGTTGGAACACCGCTGTGCCTTGGGAGAGAAGACGGTACAAATCAGCCATGTTTAACAAACCTATTGGGTTGTTGAGTCTTCAGCGTTGGTGGATACAAGAGCCTGACGGTTTGGGAGATCCTGAGAGGGCTGGGGACTGAGGCTTGGTACCTGTAGGTTTGGGGACTGAGGCTTGGTACCTGTAGGTTTGGGGACTGAGGCTTGGTACCTGTTGGTTTGGGGACTGAGGCTTGGTACCTGTAGGTTTGGGGACTGAGGCTTGGTACCTGTAGGTTTGGGGACTGAGGGAGGAGGCTTGGTACCTGTAGGTTTGGGGACTGAGGGGAGGGTTGGTACCTGTAGGTTTGGGGACTGGGGGAGGGTTGGTACCTGTAGGTTTGGGGACTTGGGGGGAGGGTTGGTACCTGTTGGTTTGGGGACTGGGGGGGAGGCTTGGTACCTGTTGGTTTGGGGACTGGGGGAGGGTTGGTACCTGTAGGTTTTTGGGGACTGGGGGGGAGGGTTGGTACCTGTAGGTTTGGGACTGTGGGGAGTGTTGGGTACCTGTTTGGTTGGGGGACTGGGGGGGAGGCTTGGTACCCTGTTTTTTTTGGGGGTGGGGGGGAGGGTTGGTACCTGTTGGTTTGGGGTGGGGGGGGGTTGGGCCCCCTTTTTTTGGGGACGGGGGGCTTGGTCCCCCGTTGGTTTTGGGGGCTGAGGGGTTGGGACCGTTTTGGTTTTTTGGGCTGGGCTTGGGGGCCTGTGTTTTGGGGACTGGGGGGGCTTGGTACCGTTTTTTTGGGGGTGAGGCTTGGTGCCTGTGGGGGGAATGGGGGGGGGGGTTGGTACCTTTTTTTTGGGGGTGGGGGGGGTTTGGGGCCCCGTTGGTTTGGGGAATTTTGGGGAGGGTTGGGACCTGTGGTTTTGGGGGCTGGGGGGGTGGTCCCCGTAGGTTTGGGGACTGGGGAGGGTTGGTCCCCCGTTGGTTTGGGGACTGGGGGGGGGTTGGTACCTTTGGTTTTGGGGGGGTGAGGCTTGGTACCTTTATTTGGGGGTGGGGGGGAGGGTTGGTACCGTTGGTTTGGGGGCGGGTTTTTGGGACCTGTTGGTTTGGGGACTGGGGGGGAGGGGTTGGTACCCCCGTTGGTTTGGGGGGTGGGGGAGGGTTGGTACCGTTGGTTGGGGGGCTGGGGAGGGTTGGACCTGTTTGGTTTTGGGGGCGGGGGGGCTTGGTACCCTTTGGGTTTGGGACTGGGGAGGGTTGGTACCTGGGTTTTTTTGGGGGTGGGGGGAGGGTTGGACCTGTTGGGTTTTGGGGGCTGGGGAGGCTTGGTACCTGTTGGGTTTGGGGGCTGGGGGGGGGGTTGGTTTCCTGGGGGGGGCTGGGGGGGGAGGGGGGAAAGGGGGGAGGGGAGGGGGGAAAAAAGGGGGGGGGAGGGGGGGGGTTGGGAAAGTAGGGGGGGGGAGGGGAGGGGTTGGGGGGGTTTTGGGGGGCTGGGGGGAGGGGGAGAGGGGGGGGAAGGGGAGGGGGAGGGGGTTTTGGGGGGGGGGGGGGGGGAAAGAGGGGGGGGAGCGGGGGGGGGATTTTGGGGGGAGGGGGGGGGGGGGGGAAAGTAGGGGGGGAGGGGGGAGGTTGGGGGTGTTTTGGTTTTGGGGGGTGGGGGGGGGGTTGGGGGAGGTTTTGGGGGCGGGGGGGTTGGACCTTTGTTTGGGGGGTGGGGGGGGGGTTGGTATGTAGGTTTTGGGGGTGGGGGGTTTGGGTTTTACCTTAGGTTTTGGGGGGGGGGGAGGGTTGGGCCTTTGGTTTGGGGACTGGGGGGAGGGGTTTTCCCCGTGGTTTGGGGAACTGGGGGGGTTGGTATGTTTGGGGTTTTGGGGACGGGGGGAGGGTTGGTACTGTGGTTTTGGGGGTGGGGGGGGTTGGGACCTGTTGGTTGGGGGCTTTGGGGAGGGGGTTGGGACCTGTAGGTTTTTGGGGACTGGGGGGGGGGGTTGGTCCTTTGGTTTGGGGGCATTGGGGCCTGTATTTGGGGCTGGGGGGGGTTGGTCCGTTTTTTTGGGGTGGGGGGGTTGGTACCTTTTGTTTGGGGGATGGGGGGAGGGTTGGTACCCGTTTGGTTTTGGGACTGGGATTTTGGGGTTCTACCTTAGGGTTTGGGGACTGGGGGGGCTTGGTACCGTAGGTTTTGGGGACTGGGGGGGGTTGGGAAACCCGTTTGTTTGGGGGGGAATGGGGGGGGGTTTGGTACCTTAGGTTTGGGACTGGGGGGTTTGGGACCTGTTTTTTTGGGGACGGGGGGGGGGGTTTTGGGACCTGTAGTTTGGGGGGCTGGGGGAGGGTTGGTACCCGTTGGTTTGGGGGGGCTGGGGGGGGGGTTGGTACCTGTTGGTTTGGGGGGCTGGGGGAGGGTTGGTACCTGTTGTTTTGGGCTGGGGGGGGGTTGTACCGTGGGTTTTTTGGGGGCTGGGGGGAGGGGTTTTTACCCTTTGGTTTGGGGATGGGGGTTGGGTTGGTACCTTTTGGTTTTGGGATGGGGGGGGGTTGGTACCTTTTGGTTTGGGGCGGGAGTTGGTTGCTACCTGCGGTTTGGGGACTGGGGGGAGGTTGGTACCTGTTGGTTTGGGGATGGGGGGGGTTTTTCCTGTATTTTTTGGGGGCGGGGAGGGGTACCTGTAGGTTTTTGGGGGTGGGGGGGGGGGGTTTGGGACCTTTGGTTTGGGGACTGGGGGGAGGGCTGGACCTGTTTTGGGGTTTGGGGGGCTGGGGGGGGGGTTTGGTACCCTTTTGGGTTTGGGGCTGGGGGGGGGCTTGGTACCTGTAGGTTTGGGGACGGGGGGGGGCTTTGGTACCCCCTTTTTGGTTTGGGGGGTGGGGGGGGGGTACCTTTGTTTGGGGACTGGGGGGGGGGTTGGTACCCGTTGGTTTGGGGGACTGGGGGGGGGGGGGGGGGTTTTTTTCCTGTTGGTTTGGGGGAAAAGGGGGAGGTTTTGGGCCTGTTTGGTTTTTTGGGGCTGGGGGGGGCTTGGTACCCCTTTGGTTTTGGGGGGCGGGGGGAGGCTTTGGACTGTAGTTTTGGGGGCTGAGGCTTGGTACCTGTTTTTTTTGGGGACTGGGGGGGAGGGTTGGGACCTGTTGTTTGGGGGCTGGGGGAGGGTTTTGTACCCCGTTGGGTTTTGGGGGCTGGGGGAGCTTGGTACCCCGTTTTTTTTGGGGGGGAGGGGGGGTTGGGACCTGTTGGTTTTTGGGGGCTGAGGGGGAGGCTTGGGTACCCCGTTGGTTTGGGACTGGGGAGGCTTTGGGACCTGTAGGTTTTTGGGGGGTGGGGGAGGGTTGGTACCTGTAGTTTTGGGGGCTAGGCTTGGTACCCCTGTAGTTTGGGGACGAGGGGGGGCTTGGCCGTAGGTTTGGGGACTGGGGGAGGCTTGGTACCTGTTGGTTTGGGGACTGAGGGGGAGGTTGGTACCTGTAGGTTTGGGGACTGGGGGGGAGGGTTGGTACCGTAGGTTTTTTGGGGCTTGGGGGGGGCTTGGTACCTGTTGGTTTGGGGACTGGGGGGGGGGTTGGTACCCGTAGGTTTGGGCAGTCCCCGGTCCCCAGGGGGGTTTTGAACAGCTGGTGTCTCTCTCTGCTGAAGACGACCTGCAGCTTCCTCTCCTCCACCTGCAGCACCAGACGCTTCACCCTCTCCCGAGACCGAGACACAAACTCTGGCCGACGCAGCTCCAAAGCTTCCTACAGGGGTTGGAGAGGAGCTATATCAGCTTAATATGGTTGGAGAGGAGCATGTTTGACCTTTGACCAACAACGTAGGTAACAGACACTGTTGGTAACAGACACAACGCAGGTAACAGAGTAGTGAACCAGACCTGTAGAGAGATGCGGACCAGAGCGGCGGGGGCGTTGCCTGTGGGTTCAGGCCCAGGAGGGGTGATGATGCTGGGCTTGTTGTGCTGCCTGTCACTGGGACTCTCCCTGTCAGCCTCCAGCTGGTTGGTCTGTAGTCTGTCTGTCAGTCGCTCCCTGGCAAATCAAAGCACAGTTCTTACAAAAAAAACACAGTTCGAAGTTCTTCGCAAACATTACAATAGAACAATAAAGTGAGAAAGATAAATAAAATAAAACATTTCTAAACAAAATAGTAGATTAAGACCTGTCCTGTATGTGTCTCTGTCTGAGTGGTTCTCTCCAGGGCCGGGAGGTTCTGCTGTAGGGTTCAAACCAGGCCGGGACCGGGCCCTGGGGAGGCTGCTGCTCCGGCTGGTTCTCCTTCCTGCTCTCAGCTCTCAGGTCCTCAGCAGGGATGTACCATGACACGCCTGGAAGTAGGAAACAGACATGATGACACGCCTGGAAGTAGGAAACAGACATGATGACACGCCTGGAAGTAGGACACAGACATGATGACACGCCTGGAAGTAGGAAACAGACATGATGACACGCCTGGAAGTAGGACACAGACATGATGACACGCCTGGAAGTAGGACACAGACATGATGACACGCCTGGAAGTAGGAAACAGACATGATGACACGCCTGGAAGTAGGAAACAGACATGATGACACGCCTGGAAGTAGGAAACAGACATGATGACACGCCTGGAAGTAGGAAACAGACATGACGACACGCCTGGAAGTAGGAGACACAGACATGATGACACGCCTGGAAGTAGGACACAGACATGATGACACGCCTGGAAGTAGGAAACAGACATGATGACACGCCGGAAGTAGGACACAGACATGATGACACGCTGAAGTAGGAGAAACAGACATGATGACACGCCTGGAAGTAGGAAACAGACATGATGACACGCCTGGAAGTAGGAGACAGACATGACGACACGCCTGGAGTAGGAAACAACTGACGACACGCCTGGAAGTAGGAAACAGACATGATGACACGCCTGGAAGTAGGAAACAGACATGATGACACGCCTGGAAGTAGGACACAGACATGATGACACGCCTGGAAGTAGGAAACAGACATGACGACACGCCTGGAAGTAGGAGACACAGACATGATGACACGCCTGGAAGTAGGACACAGACATGATGACACGCCTGGAAGTAGGAAACAGACATGATGACACGCCTGGAAGAGGAAAAGACATGATGACACGCCTGGAAGTAGGAAACAGACATGATGACACGCCTGGAAGTAGGAGACAGACATGATGACAACGCCTGGAAGTAGGACACAGACAATGATGACCACGCCTGGAAGTAGGAACACAGACATATGACAAAAAACACGCCTGGAAGTAGGACACAGACATGATGACACGCTGGAAGTAGGACACAGACATGATGACACGCCTGGAAGTAGGACACAGACATGATGACACGCCTGGAAGTAGGACACAGACATGACGACACACGTAAAGTGGACAGCCTTGTTTGAACCTTGGCTTGTGCGAGCCAGAATGGCTCATAGGAGCAGAAGCTGTTTTTGTAGCATGAGGCAACTTGACGAAACAAAGCCACAACATTTCCTTAATGCAGAGTGCCAAGCAGAGACGCATCCGGTCACAATTTACAGTCTTTGGTATGACTCGGCCAGGGATTGAACTCCCAACCTTCCAATCTCAGGGCGGACACCAACAATAAGGTGGAGATCTACACTGAGTGGACAAAACATTAAGAACACCTGCTCTTTCCATGACATAAGACTGACCAGGTGAATCCAGGTGAAAGCTGTGATCCCTTCTTGATGTCACTTGTTAAATCCACTTCAAATCAGTGTAGATGAAGGGGAGGAGACAGGTTAAAGAAGGATTTTTAAGCCTTGAGACAATTGAGACATGGATTGTGTATGTGTTCAATTCAGAGGGTGAATGGGACAAGACAAAATATTTAAATGCCTTTGAACGGGGTATGGTAGAAGGTGCCAGGTGCACCGGTTTGTGTCGAATTGCATTCGCTGTTAGGTTTTTCACGCTCAACAGTTTCCCGTGTGTGTCAAGAATGGTCCACCACCCAAAGGACATCCAGCCAACTTGACACAACCGTGGGAAGCATTGGAGTCAACATGGTGCCAGCAACCCTGTGGAACGCTTTGGACACCTTGTTGAGTCCATGCCCCGACGAATTGAGGCTGTTCTGAGGGCAACAGGGGGGGGGGGGGGGGGTTGAAACTCAATATTAGGAAGGTGTTCTTAATGTTTTGTCCACTCCGTGTATAACTACATACAACTCTGCATATAAGACTGCTTCAAATAGTGAGGCCCTGCTGCACATTGCTCTTGTCTGTCTTTGAATAATACTGGATTAGTATTGCATTGTGTGTTACTGATTTGGGAGCACTCTAGAGTTTAAATGTAAAATGTTGACCTTGAAGGGCTTGGCTCATATTGCTCTTCCCCTGCTTTAGGAACCTCCAGGCCCCCTCTCTGCCACCAGAGGATGAGGGTACCCTGGCACCCCTGGCTGAGCCTGGCGAGGGGAACGTTGTGCCAACGTCGCGGGTGTGGCGACGTGTTCCGTTACTCACAATCTCCAGGTCACCTGCGGAGAGGAGAGGGAGAGATGGTTGAGTGTCCATGTTTGAGCCCCTCCCTCCACACCTCCATGTTTATGCACTGAACAAAAATATAAAACGCGAGAATGCCAAGAGTGAAGGAAAAGCAGCCAACAAGTGCTCAGTATATGTGGGAACTCCTTCAAGACTGTTGGAAAAGCATTCCAGGTGAAGCTGGTTGAGAGAATGCCAAGAGTGTGCAAAGCTGTCATCAAGGCAAAGGGTGGCTATTTGAAGAATCTCAAATATAAAATATATTTTGATTTGTTTAACACTTTTTTGGTTACTACATGATTCCATATGTGTTATTTCATAGTTTTGACGTCTTCACTATTATTCTACAATGTAGAAAATAGTAAAAAATAAAGAAAAACCCTTGAATGAGTAGGTATGTCCAAACTTTTGACTGGTAGTGTATGTAAATGTATATTTCAGTTTTTTATTTTTAATACATTTGCAAAAAATTCTAAAAACTGTTTTTGCTTTGTCATTATAGGGTATTGTGTGTTGATTGATGAGGGGGGGGGGGAAACAATTTAATCCATTTTAGAATAAGGCTGTAACGTAACAAAATGTGGAAAAAGTCAAGGGGTCTGAATACTTTACGAATGCACTGTATGAACTGTAACTCAGTAAAGTCTTTGAAATTGTTGCATGTTGCGTTTATATTTTAGTTCAGTGTACACGTGGTCCTCTGTAGCTCAGCTGGTAGAGCACGGCGCTTGTAACGCCAAGGTAGTGGGTTCGATCCCCGGGACCACCCATATACAAAAAAAAAAATGTATGCACGCATGACTGTAAGTCGCTTTGGATAAAAGCGTCTGCTAAATGGCATATTATTATTATTTATTATTATTACATATTATTTTCAGAACATAGGTTACTGACCTGCCTGTATACCTTTGCTGACAAGTTTGACTGCCTTCTTGGAGTGGGAAGGGCCACGATGTGAGGGGAGGGTGTAGGTGCTGGTTGATGATTCAGAGTCAGCTGGAATCTGAGGAGCCACAATACACAGGAGCCAATCAATGACTATCAAAACTATAGACCATTCATTATACAGTACAGGGAACCGAGCCTGAGAAAGATGGGGTCTGAAAACAAACAGTTTTATAACAGAGAGAGTAGAGAGAGAGAGAAAGAGGAAAGAGGGAAGAGAGAAGGGTGAGGAGAGAAAGAGAGGAGAGGAGAGGAGAGAGAGAGAGAGACAGGGGAGAGGAGGGAGAGAGAGAGAGAGAGAGAGAGAAGAGAAGAGATAATGAAGAGAAAAGAGGAGAGAGATGAGGAAGGGAAGGAAAGAGAGAGGAGCGGAGAGCTTGGGAGGAGAAGAGAAAGGAGACGTTAGAGGAGAGGTATCTGAGAGAGAGAAAGAGGAGAAAGAGAAAGAGAAGAGTCTCCCTCCCCCTCTCTTTCCTCCTTCTCTTCCCTCCTCCTCCCCTCTCCTTCTCTCTCCTTCTCTTCCCTCTCTCCCTCCCTTCTCTCTTTTCTCCCTCTCCTCCCTCCTCTTCTCAGAGCAGAGAGAAGGACAAGTCAACAGAAAGGTAGACATACTACAGAGTCATCAGTGCCAGTAGACTCTGAGGGGACTGGGGGTATATGAGGAGTCTCTCTGGGTCTCCCTCTCCTCTGCTGGTGGATGGTGCTGTACAGTTTACTGAGGCTGTGGTTGGTCCTGTGACTGGAGCTAGTCCCTAGGTGCGTTGAACAAGGAGAATAGTGTGTAAATGTTAGCTCATTCAAATCATTCAACTTGAAGTTGTTCATAAGTAACATGTTAACCTCAAAAGAGAACCGTTGCTGAACTCACCTCCTCCAGTATTCTGCCCTCTGACCCTGTGGGCTCCGAAGGCCCACACCAGTCGGGCTGTGTCTACTGTCGACATGGAGCTGCTGGTCTCCCCCGAGATGCTCCCAAACGTATCTCTCTCCGCTGGACACAGGTATTGGCTGCGGGCCGGGCGGTGGGAGGGACTAGAGTTGTAGGAGGCGGGGCAGTCCTCCCCCTCCCAGGCCTGGCGCGCACCACTAGCCGTAGCCTGGTTAGCTTTAGCATCGGGATTGCTCCGTCTACTGCTGCCCTTCTCTCTCCTGCTCCTCTCTTCTTCCACACCTTCTCTACTCCTCCCTTCCTCCTTCTTCTTACTACTCTCTCTCTCTCTACTCCTCCGTCCTCCTCCCTCTTGTTCTGTGGTGTCAGTCTGCTGCTGTGGTAGGGTGGAGGTCCCGGTGCTTTGGATGAGGCGGGACAGACGCTCCAGACGCTCCAGCAAGGGGGGCCTCTCTCTCATTGGTGGGCCGGGCCTCCTCCAAGCTCCACCTCTCACTGAACCTGCGCCACAGTTGGTCCAGAGTGCCGCCACTCCACTGGGCTAGGCTGTGGTCCCGCCTGCCCGGCTCTCGCTCCATCCCTGGGTGAGGGAGAGGGTGGGTTGGATGTGTGTTGGGGAAGTGATGGTGATGGTCCATACAACTATAGTCCATCTCTACATGCAGAGGCTGGAACTCCTCCTGCTCTTCCTCCCCCACCCCCAGGCTGCAGCGAAGGGAGGGCTGGACAGGGCGGTCCGTGACTGAGACCCCCTGGGTGTGTGTGGTGGTGGTGGTGATTGAGGTTCCATGGTCTCTCATGGCCACAGATGGACCTCTAGTGGTGGTGGTTGGTATAGCAGGACCTCTAGTGGTGGTGGTTGGTATAGCAGGACCTCTAGTGGTGGTGGTTGGTATAGCAGGACCTCTAGTGGTGGTGGTTGGTATAGCAGGACCTCTAGTGGTGGTGGTTGGTATAGCAGGACCTCTAGTGGTGGTGGTTGGTATAGCAGGACCTCTAGTGGTGGTGGTTGGTATAGCAGGACCTCTAGTGGTGGTGGTTGGTATAGCAGGACCTCTAGTGGTGGTGGTTGGTATAGCAGGACCTCTAGTGGTGGTGGTTGGTATAGCAGGACCTCTAGTGGTGGTGGTTGGTATAGCAGGACCTCTAGTGGTGGTGGTTGGTATAGGTCCTCTGGTTAACCCTCCTGTTACATGAGAGTAGCACCGTGGCTGTGGAGCATGCTGGTCACTCATTGGTTGGCTTTCATCCACTGGCATCGGTGTTACCTGAGAGTGGAAATGGTATCTGGTTAAGAACTCAAGAGAAAAGCACATTCACACATAAAGCAGCGACTCTGTCCATTAAAAATATACGTACTGTATACTATACTGACCCTGTGCTTCCCCCAGTGTGAAACCCTCACAACACTGACCCTGTGCTTCCCCCAGTGTGAAACCCTCACTACACTGAGTGCTCACCTCTCCTCTCCATGCTGTACCCGCCTCCCAGTCTTAGTCTCTTGCTGTAGATACCCTCTGTGTGTTTGATGTTGACCCCCCTGTCCACCCCCTGGTCCACCTGCTGCTCCCGTGACCCCAGGATCTCCGTGTTGAAGCGAGGGGGCACCGCGTCGTCCGAGCCTGTGGAGGAGAGAGAGAGAGAGAGAGAGAGAGAGGAGAGAGAGAGAGGAGGAGAGAGAGAGAGAGAGGAAGGAACGGGTGAGTGGCTGGGAGAGGAAGCAGGAAGCCCTGTTTCTCTCTGAGGAACATCGCCGTCGGACCTGGGACTCAACACTACCTTTGTCTCTCTCCCACTGGGACATGAATAATTCATTCACTGTTACAAAAGACCAGCTGCTACCCGCATGGGGAGGAGAGGAGGGGAGGAGAGGAGAGGAGGGGGGGGGGGGGGGGGGGGGGGGAGAGGAGGAGAGGAGAGGAGAGGAGAGGGGAGGAGAGGAGGAGAGAGGAGAGAGGAGGAGAGGAGAGAGGAGGGGAGGAGAGGCCAGAGGAGAGAGGAGGGGCCAGAGGAGAAGAGGGGGGGTCAGTGGCTGCACCTATTACATGACGGTCTCAGTTAGCCTATGAGTTCTCTAGACATGTTCATACGAATGGGATAATTCATTATTGAATGCTCTGGAATTCCTTAACACATTCAGAATCTGTCAGTGTCACTATAGATCGTTTAAAAATGGCAAAATAATGTATTTTAACTAGTTAGATAAGAGATGTTGTTGTACCTGGGTGTGAACTCTCCACGGTGGTGTCAGATCGTACAGGGGAAAGCTGTGTGTCAGTATTCGTCTGGGATACGTAGAACATCTCCTCACTACCGTGTGGTTTATATGGCAACAGAACCGGCAGCGCCACCAGCCGAGACGGACCGGTACCAGTCAGCCTCTGGGGAGGTGTGAAGCATTGTGGGAAGGTGGAGGTTGCCGTTCCCGTGGTGACCTGGACTGAGGCGTCGGCCGTCTCCTGCCCCTGTCTCCTGATTGGATCTCTGGTCTCCTGCGACCCCGTCTGATTGGCCGGCGCAGGCTCGGGGGCGTAACCCAGGCTCTCGTCTACATCAACACTGCTGGAGACAGCAGAGGAGTGTCTGAGAGGAGCAAAGGACGGAACTCTCTGGGCCCCTTTAGGACCAGGGGAGAGGGTGAGGTGGAGTTGGGAGACCTGACCCATCCTGGTGGTCGACGCTCCAGAGACCCAGTCTGCTCCAGGACACAGGCTGGACTCGGGGCGCCCTACATCGGGGTGAGAACGGGAGATCTGCCGGTACGTGCTGGGAGTCAGGGGGAGAGGAGCTCCAGAGTTGGGGGGATCAAGTAATGTGGTTCTCTCGGACTCTCCCAAGGCAGCTGGAGGGGGGAGACGGGAGAGAGAGGAGGAGGGGAGAGGGGAGAGAGAGGAGGAGGGGGAGAGGGGAGAGGGGGAGGGAGAGAAAGGGGGGGAGGGGGGAGGAGGAGGGGGAGAGGGAGAAGAGGGGAGGGGGAGAAGGGAAGGAGGGTGAGGTGAGAGGGGGAGGGGAGAGGCGAGAGAGGGAGGAGGGGGGAGGGAGGAGGGAGAGAGGAGGGGAGGGGAGGGGGAGAGGGAGGGAGGAGGAGGGGGGGAGAGGGGGGAGGAGGACGGGGGGGAGAGGGAGGACGAGGGGAGAGGGGAGAGGGGAGGGGAGAGGGAGAGAGGGGGAGGAGGAGGGGGAGGAGGGGGAGAGGAGAGGGGTGAGGAGAGGGGAGGAGGAGGAGAGGGAGAGGGAGAGGGGGGAGGAGGAGGGGGAGGGAGGGAGAGAGGGGGAGGGGGGAGAGGGAGAGAGGGGGAGGGGAGAGAGGGAGAGAGGAGGAGGGGAGAGGGAGAGAGGGGAGGGGAGAGGGGAGAGGGGGAGGAGGAGGGGGAGAGGAGGGGGGAGAGGAGGAGGGGTGAGAGGGAGAGAGGAGGAGGGGAGGGGTGAGAGGGAGAGAGGAGAGGAGGGGGAGAGGGAGAGAGGGAGGAGGAGGAGGGGAGAGGGAGAGAGGGGGGAGGGGAGAGGGAGAGAGGAGGAGGGGAGAGGGAGAGAGGGGGAGGAGGAGGGGGAGGAGGGGGAGAGGAGGAGGGGTGAGAGGGAGAGAGGAGGAGGGGAGAGGGAGAGAGGGGGAGGAGGAGGGGAGAGGGAGAGAGGGGGAGGGGGGAGAGGGAGAGAGGGGGGGGGAGGGGGGGAGGAGGGAGAGAGGGGGAGGGGAGGGGAGGGGGAGAGACAAGGAGGGGAGAGGGAGAGAGAATGTGACAGTGTTAGGGTCCAGTGGACATTCCTTTTCTTACACACCAGTCATCTGAACTGTGAGATATGAATTGCATAACATAACAGATCTGAGTGTGAATAACAGTGTTTATCTAGAACAGATCTGAGTGAATAACAGTGTTTATCTAGAACAGATCTGAGTGAATAACAGTGTTTATCTAGAACAGATCTGAGTGTGAATAACAGTGTTTATCTAGAACAGATCTGAGTGTGAATAACAGTGTTTATCTAGAACAGATCTGAGTGTGAATAACAGTGTTTATCTAGAACAGATCTGAGTGTGAATAACAGTGTTAGTATTTTAGTCAGTAAGCGGTAAAGACAGATCCCTGTCCGTGGTCCAAGTGTTGAGTTGTCTTCCTGGGTACAGTGCTGCTGTTGGCCTGTGATCCAGTCATGGTGGTTGGGTCTGTGGACGTGGAGCAGTGTGTTGAGGTGGTGGTGCTCTCCCTGTCCTGCTGCTGGGGCTGTGATCCAGTCATGGTGGTTGGGTCTGTGGACGTGGAGCAGTGTGTTGAGGTGGTGGTGCCCTCCTGTCCTGCTGCCGGGGCTGTGATCCAGTCATGGTGGTTGGGTCTGTGGACGTGGAGCAGTGTGTTGAGGTGGTGGTGCCCTCCCTCTCCTGCTGCCGGGGCTGTGTCTGAGGCAGCCACCCCTGCGCCGTGGGCTCGGAGACCCCTTCTAAGATGAACTGAGACACCTGTAGAGGCTCGGGGAGGGGGGGGAGGGGGGAGAAGGGGGAGTGGCGGGAGGTGGCAATGGTGATGGAGGTGAGGGGTGGAGCCTGAGCTGGGTGGGGTCTAGGGAGGACGGATAACCCCTCTCTGAGGGCGATCTGTCTGACCTGCGCCTCTAGGTCCTGCCTTAGAGGGGTACGCAGCTCAACACTGGAGTCAAACGGCTTCCTGCTTAGAGGGGTACGCAGCTCAACACTGGAGTCAAACGGCTTCCTGCTTAGAGGGGTACGCAGCTCAACACTGGAGTCAAACGGCTTCCTGCTTAGAGGGGTACGCAGCTCAACACTGGAGTCAAACGGCTTCCTGCTCAGCTGCTGTAGCTGGTGGGACAGACGGTCCTCTGCTGCCCTCAGGGCCCTGAGCCGCTGCTGCTGCTCGACAGAACTGGTCTCAGCCGGGGTAGGAGGGAGGGCGGGGTTGGGAGGGAGGCTGGGGTTGGGAGGGAGGCTGGGGTTGGGAGGGAGGCTGGGGTAGGGTGGGAGGCTGGGGTTGGGAGGGAGGCTGGGGTGGGAGGGAGGCTGGGGTGGGAGGGAGGCTGGGGTTGGGAGGGAGGCTGGCCCTGGAGCTGGAGAGGTGGACGGCGTAATGCTGTCTGGTGTGCAGGCTGGGTTAGGGGCTCTGGGAACAGGGGAGGATGCCACCAGCTACAAGCTGACCAGAAGAACCAGTTTCCACTGACCGAAAGAACCCGTTTAAACTGACCAGAAAGAACCCGTGTTCAACTGACCAGAAAGAACCAGTTTCAACTGACCAGAAAGAACCAGTTTCAACTGACCAGAAAGAACCAGTTTCAACTGACCAGAAAGAACCAGTTTCAACTGACCAGAAAGAACCAGTTTCAACTGACCAGAAAGAACCAGTTTCAACTGACCAGAAATAACCAGTTGTAACTGACCAGAGAATTATTAACCAGTTTCAACGACCAGAAAAAGAAACCAGTTTCAACTGACCAGAAAGAACCGTTTTCAACTGACCGAAAGAAACGTTCAACTGACCAGAAAGAACAGTTTCAACTGACCAGAAAGGAACAGTTTCAACTGACCAGAAAGAACCAGTTTCAACTGACCAGGAAGAACCAGTTTTTAACTGACCAGAAAGAACCAGTTTCAACTGACCAGAAATAACCAGTTTCAACTGACCAGACGTTAACTCTTATTAAACATTTCACCCAAATCCAAGACTGGACCACCTGACTGCTTTTAGGAATTCAACCACGATCAAACTAGAAAGGAAAAGATCTGTAGTAGGCTTGGCTACACACACCCCACCACTCAACAGCATGGGACACATGCCCCAAAACACCACAACCCTCCCAACCTCCCATCCCTCCCAACCCTCCCAGCCCTCCCAACCCTCCCATCCCTCCCATCCCTCCCAACCCTCCCATCCCTCCCAGCCCTCCCATCCCTCCCAACCCTCCCAACCCTCCCATCCATCCCATCCATCCCTCCCAACCCCTCCCATCCATCCCTCCCAACCCTCCCATCCATCCCTCCCAACCCTCCCAACCCTCCCATCACTACCATCTCCATGCTGCCTTCTACTGTAGAGGGGGCATGAGATCAACTTTCAAGTTTAGTTATTGATCACGCGCACAAGTAGTAGTAGCACTAGTACAGTGAAAGGCCTTTCAGCAACGCAGTGATCAATATCAGTGATCCAATATCAGTGATCCAATACCATATTTACAATGTGCAGGGATACTGGAGTGGTAGGTGTAGGGGTAGATTTTATAGGGGTAAGGTGACTAGGCATCAATATATATGATAAACAGAGTAGCAGCAGCAAATATGATGATTGTATGGTGTGTGTGTGTGTGTGTGTGTGTGTGTGTGTGTGTGTGTGTGTGAGTGTAGGTGTTAGTGTGAGTGTGAGTGAGAGTGTAAGTGTGTGTGAGTGTGTGTGTGAGTGTGTGCGAGTCAGTATGTGTTGGAGTGTCAGTGTGAGCGAGTGTGTGTGAGTGTGTGAGTCAGTATGTGTTGGAGTGTCAGTGTGAGCGAGTGTGTGTGAGTGTGTGAGTCAGTATGTGTTGGAGTGTCAGTGTGAGCGAGTGTGTTGAGTGTGTGAGTCATATGTGTTGGAGTGTCAGTGTGAGCGAGTGTGTGTGAGTGTGTGAGTGTGTGAGTGGTAGTGGTGTGTGAGTGAGTGTGTGTGAGTCAGTATGTGTTGGAGTGTCAGTGTGAGCGAGTGTGTGTGAGTGTGTGAGTGTGTGTGAGTGTGTGTGTGAGTGTGTGTGAGTCAGTATGTGTTGGAGTGTCAGTGTGAGCGAGTGTGTGTGAGTGTGTGAGTCAGTATGTGTTGGAGTGTCAGTGTGAGTGTGTGTGTGAGAGTCAGTATGTGTTGGAGTGTCAGTGTGAGTGTGTGTGTGAGTGTGTGTGAGTCAGTATGTGTTGGAGTGTCAGTGTGTGTGAGTGTGTGAGTGTGTGTGAGTGTGTGTAGTGTGCATAGCCAGAGCAAAAATGTAAAGTAGAAGTCAATGCAGGATAAAACAGAAGTTAATGCAGGATAAAACAGAAGTTAATGCAGGATAAAACAGAAGTCAATGCAGGATAAAACAGAAGTCAATGCAGGATAAAACAGAAGTTAATGCAGATAGTCCCTGTAGCCATTTTGTGAACTATTTGGCAGTCTTATGGCTTGGGGATGAAAGCTGTTCAGGAGCCTGGTAGAGCTCGTTGAGTCCCTCTGGTAGAGAGGCATCGTTGGGCAGATCACGGCTGGGTCTTCCTCTGTAATCCGTAATGGACTGTAGCACCTGCCACATGCAGCGGGCGTCGGAGCCTGTGTAGTAGGATTCCACCTTGTTCCTATATTGTGCTTTTGGTGTCTAATGGCTCTGCGGAGGTCGTAGTGGGACTTCCTGTAGCTGTTCCTGTCCTCAGCCGAAGCCTCTGGGTTGGCTGCGATAGCCCTGTCATTTAGCTTCGGTGTTAATCCGGGGCTTTTGATTGGAGAAGCAGCAAACCTTCACTGTGGGGACAACATCGGCGAAGCATTCCCTAATGAAGACGGTGAAAGAGGTGGTTAAGCTCGTCGACGCTATCGACGGAGTCCCGGAACATATTCTAGTCAGACCTCGAAAAGCAGTCCTGTGGCATAGCCTCCGATTCGGAGGACCATTTCTCAATGGAGCGCATCACGGGTACTTCCTGTTTGAGCTTCTTCTACTTGTAGACAGGAATCAGGAGTATAGAGTCATGATCTGATTTGCCGAAGGGGGGGGGGGCGGATATGGGAGTGCCTTTAATGCTTTCGTGTGGGGTAGAGTAACAGGGGTCTTTATCGCCCCTAGTGGCGAAGGAGACGTGTTGATGGAAGGCGAAGGAGACGTGTTGATGGAAGGCGAAGGAGACGTGTTGATGGAAGGCGAAGGAGACGTGTTGATGGAAGGCGAAGGAGACGTGTTGATGGAAGGCGAAGGAGACGTGTTGATGGAAGGCGAAGGAGACGTGTTGATGGAAGTCGGGCGTCATTACTTGTCGGAATTAAAATCACCGGCAACAAGGAAAGCAGCCTCCGGGTGCATGGTTTCCTGCTTGTTCATAGCCTCGTACAGTTGGTTAAGTTCCAGCTTGTTGTGGTTGTCCTGAGGTGGAATGTACACAGCAGTCACGATAACAGATGAAAACTCTCTCGGGAGGTAGAAGGGTCGGCATTTGACCATCAGGTATTCCAAGACGGGTGAACACTGGGTGGAGACTTCCACTGCACTAGAGTCAGCATCCCATTTGCTGTTGATGAAGAGACATACCCCTCCCCCTCTTGATTTCCGTGAATCCAATGTCCTGTCTGCTCGGTGAATGGGGAATCCATCGAGTTGGATAGCCATGAGGGGTTTCTTGTCCGAAGAGAATATTACAGTTACAAGAGTCCCGTTGGTAGCAAATCCGTGGTCGGAGGTCATCCATCTTATTATCAAGTGATTGGCCAATAGAATGGAGGTAAGAGCCTTCAGAGTCGCGCAGCGGTCCAAGGCACTGCAGTGCTTGAGGCGTCACTACAGATCCGGGTTCGATCCCGGGCTGTGTCGCAGCCGGCCGCGACCAGGAGATCCATGAAGCGACGCACAATTTTCCCAGCATCGTCCAGGTTAGGGGAGGGTTTGGCCGGGTTAGGGGAGGGTTTGGCCCAGAGCCGTCCGGGTTAGGGGAGGGTTTGGCCCAGTGTCGTCCGGGTTAGGGGAGGGTTTGGCCCAGCGTCGTCCGGGTTAGGGGAGGGTTTGGCCGGGTTAGGGGAGGGTTTGGCCCAGTGTCGTCCAGGTTAGGGGAGGGTTTGGCCCAGTGTCGTCCAGGTTAGGGGAGGGTTTGGCCCAGCGTCGTCCGGGTTAGGGGAGGGTTTGGCCCAGTGTCGTCCGGGTTAGGGGAGGGTTTGGCCCAGCGTCGTCCGGGTTAGGGGAGGGTTTGGCCCAGCGTCGTCCGGGTTAGGGGAGGGTTTGGCCCAGCGTGGTCCGAGTTAGGGGAGGGTTTGGCCCAGCGTCGTCAGGGTTAGGGGAGGGTTTGGCCCAGCGTGGTCCGAGTTAGGGGAGGGTTTGGCCCAGTGTCGTCCGGGTTAGGGGAGGGTTTGGCCCAGCGTCGTCCGGGTTACGGGAGGGTTTGGTCGGCCCGGGATGTCCTTGTCCCATCGCACTCTAGCAACTCCTGTGGCGGGCCGGGCGCATGCACGCTGACACGGTCGCCAGTTGTACGGTGTTTTCTCCCGACACGTTGGTGCGGCTGGCTCCCGGGTTCAGCGAGCAGTGTGTCAATAAGCAGCTCTTACCCTTTACCTCCATTCCAAAAAGAGAGGAGGTAATTGGTGGCTGCTTTCCCCGTCGTCTTAATCTCGCCAGGGTTCCCCCATTTCCTGCTTCTTTTTAGCCAGCATTTCCTCTTGCGTAGCGCGAAAATTGCGTCGGAATTACACAAAGAGCCCAGGGCAGATGAGTCGAAGTCGGAATTGAGGTTAATAACTGCTGATCTGATGTTCAAAAGTCATTGCAGATCATAAGAAATGATAGCCGATACATTTTGTGCAACAAAAAAAAAGTAAAGATACACGTCAAAAGAATCACAAAATAGCAAAGTCGGTTGGAGCTAGCAAGACGGCAGCCAGACAGCACGGCGCCGTCTTCCATCTCATAATGGAGAGAAGCAATAGTAGCAAACTGCTTAGATTAGGGTTGCAAAATTCCGGTATCTTTACCCAAATTCCTGGTTTTCTAGAAATCCTGGTTGGAATATTCCTGGAATTAGGAGGGAATAAGCAGGAAATCTGGGAATGCTACAACTTGGATTTCTAGAAAACCTGGGAGAAAAAAAATTCTGTTACCAAAAAATGTTCAACCCTAGCAAATACAGTCGGCGTAACAGGTTTGTAGAACAGCATTCTTGGAACACCACCACCCCCAGCCATTCCATGTGTTTGATCTATTCCAGAGCTAGCACACAGGCGAGCTAGTTCAGGACTACAACAACATGGTGAAACGTCTAGTATACAATAGCAGGAAACTGCTTAGATGCTAGGATAGGATAGTTGGTGTAACAGGTTTGTAAACAGATTTCTTGGAACGTCACACCATGCCACGCCTGAGACTGATACACCTCACAGTTAGTTACCTTACCCACCACACCTGGGCCGTCCAAGGAGAGGAGGCTGGCATCCAAATAAGACAACATTCACATGGTTTTAAAAAAACGGAGAGTGAGGAAGTTGAGCTTGCCTATACGTTTGGTGTTGAGGAGTGATTCTGATAGTACCTTTAGTGGGTGTTTGGTATTGAGTAGGAGTGACTATGATAGTACCTTTAGTGGGTGTTTGGTATTGAGTAGGAGTGACTATGATAGTACCTTTAGTGGGTGTTTGGTATTGAGTAGGAGTGACTATGATAGTACCTTTAGTGGGTGTTTGGTATTGAGTAGGATGACTATGATGTACCTTTAGTGGGTGTTTGGTATTGAGTAGGAGTGACTATAATAGTACCTTTATGGGTGTTTGGTATTGAGTAGCAAGGCGACTATTAGGATAATACCTTATGGTGATTGGTATTGAGTAGGAAGTGACTATGATATACTTTAGATGGGTGTTGGATGAGTAGGAGTGACGGTTATGATAATACTTTAGTGGTTTTGGTATTGAGTAGGAGGCACCATGATACCTTTAGTGGGATGTTGGATATTGAGTAGAGTGACTTGACTACCACCTTATGGGTGTTGTATTGAGTAGGTATGATAGTACCTTTAGTGGTGTTTTGTATTGAGTCGGATTGACTATGATAGTACCTTTAGCGGGTGTTGGTATTGAGTAGGAGTGACTATGATAGTACCTTTAACGGGTGTTTAAAGAGAATCTCTCTCTTGATCTCTTCTATGCGTTGTCTGTCCTCCGCGTTCAGCTCCAGAGGTTCACACCGCTGCCCCGACACCTTCAGCCTCAGCCACTCTGGGGTTGACACAATCAGGGCAAGTTGGGAACAAACATCAAACGTTATGTTATAACCTGGGGGGCTGATCTTTAAATTAGCTTTAAAAAAAATCTACCAAGTTTCGATCCCGGGAATAATTCATATTTATGCAGTGTCCCGGGAAATACAGCGAAAATTCGGAAGTGCCCATTTTAAAGCGTTTAAAACCCAAGATAAGGTCACTATGCCAGGGTTCTCCTGTTGGTCCCCCCTTTGCTGCTATAACAGCCTCCACTCTTCTGGGAAGGCTTTCCACTAGATGTTGGGACATTGCTGCGGGGACTTGCTTCCATTCAGCCACATGATCATTAGTGAGGTTGGGCACTGATGTTGGGCGATTAGGCCTGGCTCGCAGTCAGCGTTCCAATTCAACCCAAAGGTGTTGGATGGGGTTGAGGTCAGGGCTCTGTGCAGGCCAGTCAAGTTCTTCCACACAGATCTCGACAAACCATTTCTGTATGGACCTCACTTTGTGCACAGGGGGCATTGTCATGCTGAAACAGGAAAGGTCCTTCCCCAAACTTCCACAAACGAAGCATGCGTGTTTAGTGAGTTCGCCAGATTAAAGGCAGTAGGGATGACCAGGGATGTTCTCTTGATAAGTGTATGAATTGGACCATTTTCCTGTCCTGCTAAGCATTCAAAATGTAACAAGTACTTTTGGGTGTCAGGGAAAATGTATGGAGTAAAAGTACACAATTTTCTTTAGGAATGTAGTGAAGTAAAAGTTGTCAAAAATATAAATAGTAAAAGTACAGATACCCCAAAAAAGTATTTTTACTTAAGTACTTTACACCACTGCTTAACAGTGGGCAGCAATACGAGACAGCGCAGAGAAGCGGGGGAAATGTTACAGAGGAATTATGACACGCGTAGGCGAGATTTGATCACGCAACCCTATGGATTACAGAATAAAGTCAGGAATCTTCACGCGAGACAGGAGTCAGGATTTGGGGTTTTAGTGGGATTGGGACGATGGGAAAATAGCCTCTATATAAAAGGCTCCTACGTGAGTCAATGGATACATAATACTCTTGATTTAGGCTACATGAGCAAACAAATAAATTATCTACCACTTCCACTTGCCCAGCCAGATATCAATTAACCAAATATATAGACAGAGATTCAGTAAAACAAAATCACATTGATTGATTATCAGACAAGTCACAGTCTTTTTGGTCGGGAGTAGGACAGGCTGAAGAACCAAATCCACTTCAATAACTGATCAGCATATACCCTATATATATATATATATATATATTAATATATTATATATCTATATATATATATATATATATAATATATATATATATATACACCCTAAGTATGTGGACACCCTTCAAATGAGTGGAGTTCTGCCTATTTCAGCCACACCCGTTGCTGACAGGTGTATAAAATCGAGCACACAGCCATGCAATCTCCATAGACAAACATTGGCAGGTAGAATGGCCTTACTGAAGAGCTCAGTGACTTTCAACGTGGCACCATCATAGGATGGCACCTTTCCAACACGTCATTTCGTCAACATTTCTGCCTTGCTAGAGCTGCCCCCGGTCAACTAGCTAACATTTCCCCAGCCTAATCGTTACCAAATATCCAAACGTAGATTCAGTGGAGAGAAGAAAAAAAAATCTGACACTGATTGATTGATTTATCTAGACGAGTCCCCCACGCGATGGTGCTGTCCCAATCAAAACGGTGCTGAAATGCTCATCTAAAGGTAAATTAAAGGTGAGTTTTCCTCTCTGGGCTTTTTCTAGGCCCAATGGCTGTTTCCTCATCTCGCCTCATTGCGCCATTTTAGTTTTTTTTGCCAATCTGCTACTGCTCATGTTGTGTATTTTGTGGAACTGCATTAGTGTCACATTGGGGAAAACGTTGTAATTTCTCATGTCTTGTCAGAATTTTTTTTGGGGGTGGAAATGTGAAGAGCGTTCCCGGGACAGTCCCGGGATCCCGGTTACCGGTGTTAATCCCTACCCCATACCGGTGGTAAGCAGGCCCTAGGTAGGTACTGTCCCAAATGAAACCCTATTCCCTACATAGTGCACTACCTTTGCTCAGAGCCCCAATAGGCCCTGGTGGAAAGTAGTGCACTATAGAATGAAGCCTTGGTAGTGTCTAGTTACTGACCTCTGGCCCTGCTTTCCTCCAGGTCTGCGGTGGCGGTACTGGCTCGGCTGGACAGGGACACCTCTGTGCCTGGGGACTCACTCCGCAGCAGCCTGGCTACCCTGGCTGCTAGAGAACTACCACTGCTGCCACCATCACTCAGAGCATCGCCACCCTGGTCCCCACCCTGATCCCCACGTTGGGCAGGGTCAGACAGACCTCCACACCCCTGCTCAGAGCCCCCGGGACAGGAGGACGAAGAGGAGGAGGAGGAGGAGGAAGAGCTTCTCTCTGCTGGAGACCCCTCCAATGTGTTCCCTCCTCCCATTGTTGTTGTTGGAGCCCGCTGTAGCTTGCCACCGCCAGCATCACCCAATGAGGGACCAGGTTGGCTGACCTGCATGACAGACAGCAGCACAGGCCCAATCACCGTGTCCGAGAGGCCGGCGCTGCAGCCCTCAGGCTCCGCCCTCCGCACGGATTCGGTCAGGAGGAAGGTGGAGCTACCGCCAGAGCTGTCCTGTGATGGTCTCCCATAATGCTCTCTGTCTTCAGAACTGTCCTGTGGTCTCCCATAATGCTCTCTGTCTTCAGAACTGTCCTGTGGTCTCCCATAATGCTCTCTGTCTTCAGAACTGTCCTGTGGTCTCCCATAATGCTCTCTGTCCTGTGGTAGTCTCCCAGACTCCTCTCTGGCGGGTGGGCCGCTCAGGGCCTGTGTGGACTGGTGCTCTGCTTCTCTAGTTAGCCTGACTTGACCTTCCCCGCTGTAGGCAGAGCTCTCCCTCTCCCTCTCCCCCTCCCCCTTCCTCTCCCTCTCCCTCTCCCTCTCCCCTCCCTCTCCCTCTCCCTCTCCCCCTCCCTCTCCCTCTCCCCGTCTCTCTTCCTATCTGCCAGCAGCATGGAGTCAGAGGAGGAACGGGCCCAAAGCAGGGAGGAGTGACTCCTGGGGGTCCCCACCCCGGCCCCAGCAGAGGAGGAGGAGGTGAAGGAGGAGTCCTGGAATCCCTCCATCTTCCTCCTGAGAGAGAGGAGCAGGATGTCGTCGTCAGAGTGGAGGAGGTGGGAGGAGCCGCCAGAGGAGGAGGACCCACCTGACACAATGTTTTCAGCCCGGCCCAGCAGACGCCTAATGTCCTGCAGCGTCTGGGAGCCTACGAAGGAATCATCAGGATTACTACGATCCATGGTGGTGTTAACCTGGAGACAGGATGCTACCGCTCTGTCTCTGTACTGAGACAAGCTGTCTCTGTCTCTGTCCATGTCTCTGTACTCAGACAAGCCGTCTCTGTCCATGTCTCTGTATTGTGACAAGCTGTCTCTGTCCATGTCTCTGTACTGAGACAAGCCGTCTCTGTCTCTGTCCATGTCTTTGTCCCTGTATAAACTGTCTCTGTCTCCATCTTTGTATTGAGACAAGCTGTCTCTGTCCCTGTCTCTAGATAGTCTGTCCCAGTCTCTGTACTGAGATAAGCTGTCAGCACTGGATTCAATCCTCCCTGTCAGCTCTATAGCAGCCTGGGTAGAGACATTAACTCTGCTGTCTCTCTGATGTTGCTCAGTGGACTGTAGTTCCGGGAGCAAGCCAGGGTACTTTTGCTTATTGAACTCTGGCACAGGGAACTGGTTGCGGTGAAGGTCTTGGGGCTGGGCGGACTGTGGTGCAGCGGAGGAGGGCTGGAGGTAGTGAGGGACCTGCTGGGAGTCCTGGAACTCAGTATCCTCAACTGAGACATCCAGGGGGCAGAGGGCCATCCTCAGACTGGCCCGGCTGGGTGACCCGTCTCTGTCTGGGCCCGGAGACCTGGCCCGGCTGGGTGACCCGTCTCTGTCTGGGCCCGGAGACCTGGCCCGGCTGGGTGACCCGTCTCTGTCTGGGCCCGGAGAAGGGGACAGGCAGCCCCAGGTCTTCTCTGCCTGGCTCCTTATGGGATGGAGATGGAGGCTGTCCACACTGAGAGGTAGAGACACGCTTGAGGCCACAGACAGCAGGCTGGACCTGGAGAACTCTCCTTTATGAGGGCTGTCGCCTGGGAACACCACGGGAGAGGAGAGGATGTTACTTTATTATACAACGGGTGGGTCTAATCCTGAATGCTGATCGGTTAAAACCGCATTCCAGACGGCTAAATCTATGACGTTAAAATGCCTATTTGCTCTGTTCCGTCTCACTGCGAAATCCACCGTCTCATCAGCCCAGCCAGGCAATTTATAAACTTGATCTCCACTATAAAAAGCATTGATCTCACATTTCTTTTAGACTAACATTTCGTTTTCGACATTTGCAACATTGTTTTAACATTCAAATTCTATCTCCAGATGTCCCATCGTAATGAACGTGTCGGGAGTCGGGAGGAGACACAGGCAGACAGCTTTTCTCAGCCAGACGAAATCATGAATCACCATAATTTGTATGGATATATACAAAGAACTATCAATAGAAAACAGGTAAAATGAAACGAAGTGCAACTAGTTTGAAGTCTTTCCAGCTTCAGTTTGAAGTGATTGTGTTAGCTGTGTTGTTGGCTAGCTCCTCTGAACAACAGTGTCCTGACGAGAGAGCACATTTTCTATGCCAGGTGAAAATGCGCATCATTAGCTCATTGTTATGGATGTATCCAAATAAATGTCACTAGAAAACAGCTTAAACAAATGCAGCTACTGTTGTTATTCTGGCTGCACTGTTTGACGTGACTGTCAGTTAGCCGTAGTTGGCTAGCCAGAAAGCAAGGGATGAGAACGTTGCCAGCCAAAATGGCAATGGAACATTTAGAACAAACGACTGGGTCGCGTCCATAGATACAGAACAAAAAGACTGAACGACTGGGTCTCGTCCATAGATACAGAACAAAAAGACTGAATGACTGGGTCTCGTCTCTGGCAACCGAAACGACAGAACGAACGACCAGCCGGCTTGGGTAGCAACCCTAGATTTGTTTCACGACTATCTCTTGTGGAAGAATGAAATAGTATGAATAAATTCAGAAGGATGTCCTTTAGGATGGGTTACCTACCTACCTACCTACCTACCTACCTTCCTACCTTCAGAAGGCTGTCCTACCTACCTACCTACCTACCTACCTACCTACCTACCTACCTACCTTCAGAAGGCTGTGCGCTCTTGGTTGGAGTGCCAGTGGCTGTGGATCCCTTTATGGTGCACAGATCAGTGGGAGAGAACTCTGGCTCTCTGATTGGCCCTCGAGGTCCAAAGGGAGTGAGGATCGTAGAAGGAGATTGGTCGATCCCAAGGTTGTGGAGGTACATCTGCAGATCAGAATCAAAACAACAGTCATATGCAATGAGTCCATAAGAATATATTATTGTATAGATATGGTGTTATCAACAACAGAGTGATCAACAGAGCAGCCGACGTTGGACACCATCCCTCCTCACATAAGTTGTAAAATGAGTCTTACCGGAATCCTTTCTTCGATGTTGAGCTCCCTCTCCTTGTGTGGTGAGGAGGGTTTGGAGGACCAGTACGGGGCGTAGTTATCTACCTCCAGACTGACCACAGAAGAAGAAGCAGCCCTGACGGACGCCTCAAAGTTCTGCCCACTGTGGCCACTGTCCTGGGAGCTGGAGAGGACATCTCGGTTTGATGACACGTTACTGAAGCGTCCCAGGCTGATGAAGGCAAAGGGCTCGGTTGGAGCACCACCGGGCTGTTCAGGCCCAGGTCTACCTCCCGACTGAACCCTGCCTGACCCTGATCCTCCCTGGCTCCTCTCCAACTCCCCGGGCTGGCCTGGAGCGGTCTCCTCCTCTGTCTGTGCCTGCCGAGCTCTCTGGATAGACGTGACCACTGTGTTGAGGGAGGAGTGGGACTGAGACCTGCCCAGGGGGGATGGCCCTCCTACAGGCCCTGCTGTGTCCTCTCTCTCAGGGGGACCGCTACCTGCTGCCTCCCCTCTGGTAGGGGAGGAGGGTCCAGATACAGACAGGCTGAGGGTCTGGTTGCCCGGCTGTGGAAGAGTCAGCATACGGGTCAGAGAGTCCGAGACTGCATCGCTGGCCTCCTGCTTGGGAGAAACCCAGGAGAAGCCCTGAAGAGACAGGTTGTCATAGAACGACGTCTGGTTGGAGCTCTGGTTGGCCTTCCAGGCATCAACCTTCTGTAGATAGTTAAGACTGGGGAGAGAATGGTGACTTCTTCCTGTCTCTTTGGCAGGCAGAGGGGGGTCTGGGTCAGGGGTGGCTCTATCAGGCTGGGGCTGGTTGGAGGCTCTGGAGCCTGAGGAGCGCTGAGAGGCCTCCATGTTAAAGGTGAGGGCAGACAGTTGTCCTAGATGAGGCTTAGAGCTGGATCTGACTGGAGCGTGGAGGAACACCCCAGGGGTGGACTGGGACACGGGCTGGGGTAGGAGGCCCAGGAACGAGACATCCGGTTCTATCCCTGTCTGGTTCCCTGAGGACCAGAGAGCCCTCTCCCTGTGGCCTCGCTCCACACTGAACCCTGCTGAGAACTGGGGCCCGACCCCAGATCCTAACACAGCGGCCAGTAGCCCTCTGGTCACGCTCGACCTCCCTTTGGAGGGCTCAGCGGTTGAAACGTCAGGTGTCTTGGTGACGATGTCAGCTGTATTGACTTCACTGTGGGAGGAGGGTAGGGGCCCAGGGCTGAGACTCCTCTCTAGCTCCGAGCAGAGCCGCCTGCGGAGCGCATCGCTACTGTCAGCCGGCTGGTTGCTCAGGGAACGGATGGTGATGTTGGAAATCTCAGACATCCTTGAAGACTGTTTACTTTTGAGTTTCTCCTTCTTCTCAGGTGAGATGGAGGCTCCTCCCTGGGGGGCTTCTCTTCTCCCTGTGACTGGTGGCGGCAGCTCAGGTGAGACGTCAGGCTGCAGCTCAGGTGAGACGTCAGGCTGCAGCTCAGGTGAGACGTCGGGCTGCAGCTCAGGTGAGACGTCAGGCTGCAGCTCAGGTGAGACGTCAGGCTGCAGCTCAGGTGAGACGTCAGGGCTGCAGCTCAGGTGAGACGTCAGGCTGCACTCTTTGGCTAATATCCCTCTTTTCTCTCAAGCCATCTGGTTTGGAAACACAGCTGCCGCTCCTGGATTCTCCCCTGTTGAGAGAGATCTCAGAGGCAGAGGAGACAGCACTGCCGCTCCTGGATTCTCCCCTGTTGAGAGAGGTCTCAGAGGCAGAGGAGACAGCACTGCTGGTACCGCTGGGCACGCCAACGTCCTTCTGGAGCAGCTCCAGCAGCTTTCTAGCAGGGATGTCCCCGCTGAGGAACGACGTGTTGTCTTCAGGGAGCACAGCCAGAGGTCTGTCTGGGTCAAGGAGACCGGTACGTGTCTAGTGATCAGAATCAGAATTTATTAGCCAAGGACATTTAAATATACACAGAATTTTACTTGGTGATATGGTAATGCCAGCAATAGAGAAAATATACAGACAGAGGAATTGACACAGTTTATATACAGTATACTATATATAATATAATATAGATTTTCCCCCTCCCTGCCCCGACCAGTACCCCAGAACGAGGAGTCTTCTGCCCCTCGTCATCCCTGACGGTGGCTGGGTAGCGGTCCTCCTCTGGTTGTCCCAGCCCGTCACCAGGGGACAGGCTGTGTTCGGAGAGGGAACTGACCCCCTCCTCTGACTGAGACAGGGTGGAGGTGTGGCCCAGAGGGTGCTGAAAAAGAAAGCATACGCCTTACCAAACACAAAACAAACCAGGTATGGACACAAATTGGGGCAGCAGGTAGCCTCGAGATTAGAGCGTTGGGCCAGTAACTGAAAGGTCGCTGGTTCGAATCCCAGAGCCGACAAGGTGTAAAATCTGTCACTTGTGCCCTTCAGCAAGGCACTTAACCTTAATTGTTCCAGGGGGCGCTGGTGACAATGGTGACCCTGGCCATGACCCCACTCCCTGCGGGTGTCTCAGGGGGAGTTGGGATATGCAAGAAACACATTTCCAATACACACTAACAGGACAAATATAAACAACCCTAAATGATTATTATAATTGACTTGTTGCTACCAGATCCACTCAACAATATAACACCACCAGATCACAGAGCTAAAGATCACCACACAATGTTTATTCTGTTTCCTCTGGTGGTGTTAGCTATATTTAGCTCTGTGATCTGGTGGTGTTAGCTATATTTAGCTCTGTGATCTGGTGGTGTTAGCTATATTTAGCTCTGTGATCTGGTGGTGTTAGCTATATTTAGCTCTGTGATCTGGTGGTGTTAGCTCCATTTAGCTCTGTGAAATGGTGGTGTTAGCTCCATTTAGCTCTGTGATATGGTGGTGTTAGCTCTATTTAGCTCTGTGATCTGGTGGTGTTAGCTCCATTTAGCTCTGTGATATGGTGGTGTTAGTTCCATTTAGCTCTGGGATCTGGTGGTGTTAGCTCCATTTAGCTCTGTGATCTGGTGGTGTTAGCTCCATTTAGCTCTGTGATCTGGTGGTGTTAGCTCCATTTAGCTCTGTGATATGGTGGTGTTAGCTCCATTTAGCTCTGTGATCTGGTGGTGTTAGCTCCATTTAGCTCTGTGATCTGGTGGTGTTAGCTCCATTTAGCTCTGTGATCTGGTGGTGTTAGCTCCATTTAGCTCTGTGATCTGGTGGTGTTAGCTCAATTTAGCTCTGTGATCTGGTGGTGTTAGCTCCATTTAGCTCTGTGATCTGGTGGTGTTAGCTCCATTTAGCTCTGATCTGGTGGTGTTAGCTCCATTTAGCTCTGTGATCTGGTGGTGTTAGCTCCATTTAGCTCTGTGATCTGGTGGTGTTAGCTCCATTTAGCTCTGTGATCTGGTGGTGTTAGCTCCATTTAGCTCTGTGATCTGGTGGTGTTAGCTCCATTTAGCTCTGTGATCTGGTGGTGTTAGCTCCATTTAGCTCTGTGATCTGGTGGTGTTAGCTCCATTTAGCTCTGTGATCTGGTGGTGTTAGCTCCATTTAGCTCTGTGATCTGGTGGTGTTCGCTCTGTGATCTGGGGGTGTTGGCTCCATTTAGCTCTGTGATCTGGTGGTGTTGGCTCCATTTAGCTCTGTGATCTGGTGGTGTTAGCTATATTTAGCTCTGTGATCTGGTGGTGTTAGCTATATTTAGCTCTGTGATCTGGTGGTGTTAGCTATATTTAGCTCTGTGATATGGTGGTGTTAGCTCCATTTAGCTCTGTGATCTGGTGGTGTTAGCTCTGTGATCTGGGGGTGTTAGCTCTGTGATCTGGTAGTGTTGGCTCCATTTAGCTCTGTGATCTGGTGGTGTTAGCTCTGTGATCTGGTGGTGTTCCCTCCATTTAGCTCTGTGATCTGGTGGTGTTGGCTCTGTGATATGGTGGTGTTAGCTATATTTAGCTCTGTGATCTGGTGGTGTTGGCTCTGTGATCTGGGGGTGTTAGCTCTGTGATCTGGGGGTGTTGGCTCCATTTAGCTCTGTGATCTGGTGGTGTTAGCTCTGTGATCTGGTGGTGTTAGCTCCATTTAGCTCTGTGATCTGGTGGTGTTGGCTCCATTTAGCTCTGTGATCTGGTGGTGTTGGCTCAATTTAGCTCTGTGATCTGGTGGTGTTGGCTCCATTTAGCTCTGTGATCTGGTGGTGTTGGCTCCATTTAGCTCTGTGATCTGGTGGTGTTAGCTATATTTAGCTCTGTGATCTGGTGGTGTTAGCTAAATTTAGCTCTGTGATCTGGTGGTGTTAGCTATATTTAGCTCTGTGATCTGGTGGTGTTGGCTCTGTGATCTGGGGGTGCTAGCTCTGTGATCTGGGGGTGTTAGCTCTGTGATCTGGTAGTGTTGGCTCCATTTAGCTCTGATCTGGTGGTGTTAGCTCTGTGATCTGGTGGTGTTACCTCCATTTAGCTCTGTGATCTGGTGGTGTTGGCGCTGTGATATGGTGTTAGCTATATTTAGCTCTGTGATCTGGTGGTGTTAGCTCCATTTAGCTCTGTGATCTGGTGGTGTTGGCTCCATTTAGCTCTGTGATCTGGTGGTGTTGGCTCTGATCTGGTGGTGTTGGCTCCATTTAGCTCTGTGATATGGTGGTGTTGGCTCTGTGATCTGGTGGTGTTGGCTATATTTAGCTCTGTGATCTGGTGGTGTTGGCTCTGTGATCTGGGGGTGTTAGCTCTGTGATCTGGGGATGTTAGCTCTGTGATCTGGGGATGTTAGCTCTGTGATCTGGTAGTGTTGGCTCCATTTAGCTCTGTGATCTGGTGGTGTTAGCTCTGTGATCTGGTGGTGTTAGCTCCATTTAGCTCTGTGATCTGGTGGTGTTAGCTCCATTTAGCTCTGTGATCTGGTGGTGTTGGCTCTGTGATCTGGGGGTGTTGGCTCCATTTAGCTCTGTGATCTGGTGGTGTTGGCTCCATTTAGCTCTGTGATCTGGTGGTGTTAGCTATATTTAGCTCTGTGATCTGGTGGTGTTAGCTATATTTAGCTCTGTGATCTGGTGGTGTTAGCTATATTTAGCTCTGTGATCTGGTGGTGTTAGCTCTGTGATCTGGGGGTGTTAGCTCTGTGATCTGGTAGTGTTGGCTCCATTTAGCTCTGTGATCTGGTTGTGTTACCTCCATTTAGCTCTGTGATCTGGTGGTGTTGGCTCTGTGATATGGTGGTGTTAGCTATATTTAGCTCTGTGATCTGGTGGTGTTGGCTCTGTGATCTGGGGGTGTTAGCTCTGTGATCTGGGGGTGTTGGCTCCATTTAGCTCTGTGATCTGGTGGTGTTAGCTCTGTGATCTGGTGGTGTTGGCTCCATTTAGCTCGGTGATCTGGTGGTGTTGGCTCCATTTAGCTCTGTGATCTGGTGGTGTTGGCTCCATTTAGCTCTGTGATCTGGTGGTGTTAGCTATATTTAGCTCTGTGATCTGGTGGTGTTAGCTATATTTAGCTCTGTGATCTGGTGGTGTTAGCTATATTTAGCTCTGTGATCTGGTGGTATTGGCTCTGTGATCTGGGGGTGTTAGCTCTGTGATCTGGGGGTGTTAGCTCTGTGATCTGGTAGTGTTGGCTCCATTTAGCTCTGTGATCTGGTGGTGTTAGCTCTGTGATCTGGTGGTGTTACCTCCATTTAGCTCTGTGATCTGGTGGTGTTGGCTCTGTGATATGGTGTTAGCTATATTTATTTCTGTGATCTGGTGGTGTTAGCTCCATTTAGCTCTGTGATCTGGTGGTGTTGGGTCCATTTAGCTCTGTGATCTGGTGGTGTTGGCTCTGTGATCTGGTGGTGTTGGCTCCATTTAGCTCTGTGATATGGTGGTGTTGGCTCTGTGATCTGGTGGTGTTGGCTATATTTACCTCTGTGATCTGGTGGTGTTGGCTCTGTGATCTGGGGGTGTTAGCTCTGTGATCTGGGGATGTTAGCTCTGTGATCTGGTAGTGTTGGCTCCATTTAGCTCTGTGATCTGGTGGTGTTCGCTCTGTGATCTGGTGGTGTTACCTCTATTTAGCTCTGTGATCTGGTGGTGTTGTCTCTGTGATATGGTTTTAGCTATATTTAGCTCTGTGATCTGGTGGTGTTAGCTCCATTTAGCTCTGTGATCTGGTGGTGTTGGCTCCATTTAGCTCTGTGATCTGGTGGTGGTAGCTCTGTGATCTGGTGGTGTTAGCTCCATTTAGCGCTGTGATCTGGTGGTGTTGGCTCCATTTAGCTCTGTGATCTGGTGGTGTTAGCTCTGTGATCTGGTGGTGTTAGCTCCATTTAGCTCTGTGATCTGGTGGTGTTAGCTACATTTAGCTCTGTGATCTGGTGGTGTTAGCTCCATTTAGCTCTGTGATATGGTGGTGTTAGCTCCATTTAGCTCTGTGATCTGGTGGTGTTAGCGACATTTAGCTATGTGATCTGGTGGTGTTAGCTCCATTTAGCTCTGTGATCTGGTGGTGTTAGCTCCATTTAGCTCTGTGATCTGGTGGTGTTAGCTATATTTAGCTCTGTGATCTGGTGGTGTTAGCTATATTTAGCTCTGTGATCTGGTGGTGTTAGCTCCATTTAGCTCTGTGATCTGGTGGTGTTTTTAGCTCTGTGATCTGGTGGTGTTTTTAGCTCTGTGATCTGGTGGTGTTAGCTATATTTGGCAGGCTAGCACAGTATGAGGGACAAGAAGTAGCTAGCATCGGTTACTATATGAAGGTTACAGGTAGAGAAAGATCAGCTGACCTCAGACAGGGTGGAGGTGTAGGCCAGAGGATGCTGGGACAGAGAGGCACGGTGAGGGTCAGACGGCTGGACAACACCAATACTACCCTTGGCCTGGGGTGTCAGAAACCTCTCAGAGGCTACCGACACGTCTGGAGACCCCCTGACAAGACAAACAGGAGACATGCATAACACAAGCCTGGGTTACTTTTCAATAATCAGCTAGTCTTCATACAGTTTAGTGATAGATATGCGGCCGCAAGCGCTAACAAATGCTCAGAGAAAGTGTAATTTCTATTTCATGCTAATGATATAGTGATGTTTGTTCAAAAACTATTCATACTGGTATAGTGACCTTTATTCATTAGAGTAATTTCTGCATTTACAAATGAACAAAGCGCTACCTACCTTAAAGGGGCAAACTCTAAGTCTGTTGTTTGTTGGAAGAGCGAGTACTCCGAGAAGTCATACTCTGGCAGCAGAGCAAGGGCAGGTGACAGACGACTGTCCTGAAATTCTAATGAAAAAAGTAAACATATTAAAAATAATGAAAATAATGAAATAGCAGATACAGTAAAGCAGTTTTCAATTTATTACAATGTTATCTCTATCACTTCTGGTGATTCATTCATCTGTGAGACCCATGTCACAAAACATAACAGAAAGGTTGTTTTATGACAGACAGACAGACAGCTAGCTTCAAAGAGCAAGACCTGTCACCTAGTTGTTGGAGTTGCCAGTCCCTTGTCATGTTGACAGTGTGTCTGTGTGTGTGGTTGGCACTGTGCTGAGACTGACCCTCCATAGCATAGCAGGGTGGACTGGTGCCTTACCAAGATCCAGGAACTGATTCCTGTCCTCTGCTGTTGGGAGATGGAACCATGACTCAGTCCTCTGAAACATGGAAAAAATAAAACACCAATAAAACCAGGACATCACAGAATAAAACACTAACTCTTCAAACAACAGTTGATAGTATGGCTATGTCCTGAGCATAGGAGCTTTAGCACATCTGCATAGCTATAGCTAGTTGCTATTAACTGTAGATCATAGACAGGAGCTGGATTATTTCACTTCTACTCTGTGACAGACCAAGCAACCTGTAGCTAGCTAATTAGTTATGTTGACAGACACAGCAACCTGTAGCTAGCTAATTAGTTATGGGTTGACAGACCCAGCAACCTGTAGCTAGCTAATTAGTTATGGGTTGACAGACCCAGCAACCTGTAGCTAGCTAATTAGTTATGTTGACAGACCCAGCAACCTGTAGCTAGCTAATTAGTTATGGGTTGACAGACCCAGCAACCTGTAGCTAGCTAATTAGTTATGTTGACAGACACAGCAACCTGTAGCTAGCTAATTAGTTATGGGTTGACAGACCCAGCAACCTGTAGCTAGCTAATTAGTTATGGGTTGACAGACCCAGCAACCTGTAGCTAGCTAATTACTTATGTTGACAGACCCAGTAACTAGCTAATTAGTTATGTTGACAGACCCAGCAACCTGAAGCTAGCTAATTAGTTATGTTGACAGACCCAGCAACCTGTAGCTAGCTAATTAGTTATGTTGACAGACACAGCAACCTGTAGCTAGCTAATTAGTTATGTTGACAGACCCAGCAACCTGTAGCTAGCTAATTAGTTATGTTGACAGACCCAGCAACCCGTAGCTAGCCAATTAGTTACGTTGACAGACCCAGCAACCTGTAGCTAGCCAATTAGTTACGTTGACAGACCCAGCAACCCGTAGCTAGCCAATTAGTTATGTTGACAGACCCAGCAACCTGTAGCTAGCTAATTAGTTATGTTGACTGGCTAGTAAACTAGCCCTTGATCATGACTCTCAGTTCCATTACATTACACATTAAGAGTCATTCTGTAGGGGAGTTTTTTATTATTATTTTTAAAGCCCCAACACTCGATTTGAACATTAACATGCATCGCTTGCGGTACTTCTTTGGAAGCACAAGAAGGTCTGTATTTGTATTTATTAAGGATCCACATTAGGAAGCTACTCTTCCTGGGGTTTATTATGGATCCACATTAGTTCTTGCCAAGGCAGCAGCTACTCTTCCTGGGGTTTATTATGGATCCACATTAGTTCCTGCCAAGGCAGCAGCTACTCTTCCTGGGGTTTATTATGGATCCCCATTAGTTCCTGCCAAGGCAGCAGCTACTCTTCCTGGGGTTTATTATGGATCCCCATTAGTTCCTGCCAAGGCAGCAGCTACTCTTCCTGGGGTTTATTATGGATCCCCATTAGTTCCTGCCAAGGCAGCAGCTACTCTTCCTGGGATTTATTATGGATCCCCATTAGTTCCTGGCAAGGCAGCAACTACTCTTCCTGGGGTTTATTATGGATCCCCATTAGTTCCTGCCAAGGCAGCAGCTACTCTTCCTGGGGTTTATTATGGATCCACATTAGTTCCTGTCAAGGCAGCAGCTACTCTTCCTGGGGTCCAGCTAAATGAAGGCAGTAATATACATTATAATGCCATTTTTTAAGTCCCTCTTTGTGGCAATTTGTATTTGTATTTATTATGGATCCCCATTAGCTGGCTACTCTTCCTGGGGTCCAGCAAAATTAAGCCAGTTCATACAATTTTAAAAACTTTACAATACATTCACAGATGTCACAACACACTGTGTGCCCTCAGGCCCCTACTCCACCACTACCACATATTGACAGTACAAAATCCATGTGTACGTGTGTGTATAGTGCGTATGTTATCGTGTGTATGCATGTGTCTGTTCCTATGTTTGTGTTGCTTCACAGTCCCCGCTGTTCCATAAGGTGTATTTTTATCTGTTTTTTAAAACTAATTTTACATTAGTCCAGGTGCGACAAAACTAGGGCCTGTAGGACCTGCCTTGTTGATAGTGCTGTTAAGAAGGCAGAGCAGAGCTTTACTATGGACAGACTTCTCACCATCTTAGCTACTGTTGTATCAATATGTTTTGACCATGACAGTTTACAATTCAGGGTTACTCCAATCAGTTTAGTCAACTTAACTTGCTCAATTTCTACATTATCTTATCTTTCATTTCGGCGAAAATGTGTTAAAAAATTAAAATTACAAAACGGGTTACACTGATACACATTTATAGGGTTAGTGTTCCCACACGGCCATATCTCCATGTTACACCGCATGTTTACGGAAGACAGAGGGACCACCTGATCGAATTAGCCATCTGTCTAGCATGCTCCGAACACTTATGTGTAACAAAAGGCCACCAGAAACGTGTACACTGAAAAATACTCTCGGCTGCAACTTTGATAAAGCCGGTTAACACAGTATACAGGAAGTGTATATTTTGCATTTGTGAATTTATGTTGACGTGATATGAAAGTAAAGGGCTTTATGTTTCTAGAACCTAATCGCAATTGAGAATCGATTCACGTTTAGATGGGAGTATTTGGCTGTCAGAGCCAGTCTACCTCTGAAAATAAGTTAGTTTGCTTGTTACTGTAACTTCACGTTACTAACTACATAGGTTTGAGAGGTTAGGAAAAAAGATTTGGGCAAAGTAGGTAAGACATGTGAAGGTCTTATGGGTCAAATCAATGTACCTAACCTACCCAATGTTTCTGTAGAAAACCCACACCCCACTGTGCTCCTTGTTTTATGTGACTGTACTCACTTATGTAGCTAACGTTAGCTAAGCTAGCCATGTTACTGGTAGCTAGCTATCTGGCTAGCTAACGTTAATCAGTGGTTGTTCCGCTTTTGTCTCGGCTAAACTCCCTGTTATTTTATAACCTCAGTGGCTGCAACTTCGCGCACGCAAAGATTGACGTTTATTGTAGCTAATACACCTAAATGAACATGTCTTACTCTGCTGACATCTGCCTCGTCCGCGGGAGAAGTTGGCTCTCGCAGCTCCATGTTATTGTCATGTAGGAGCCAGAAGCGCTTCGCTTCCTTCACAGTTCGTATCGAAGGACGGTTGCCAGGAAGTCCAGGAAGCCCGGGAAGCCCGGAATCTTGAGCGGGAGATTCGCCAAAAATAAGAAGAAGAAACACGTTCAAATCTGTCTCACAGCGACATCTAACGCTTTGGAAGAGCACAAACATATGTAGACTGTTGAATTGTGAGTATTTTCGATAAGATTGTATTAATTTAATTAAAACGTTTGAGATAGATCTGTACCATATACTACACAATAAATAGTTACTGTAATAATGCTGAAAGACATTGTAGTTTTGAAGGTTGTGTCATCATCACACACTGGGGGGTGACGATGATGAGGATGGGGCGACGGTTCATGCCTCCCACACAGCTGGAGTTACACATGAAGTTATACAGGATGGTGGTGAACTCTGTGCCCACCTGGAAGAAAAGAGAGCAGCAGGTTAGTGAATTAAAACCTCAACCTCAATACATCTGGACATAATATGACAGTGGTGGTAGTGTGTTGAGTGTCCCCTCCTGTAGCTCAGTTGGTAGAGCATGGCCCTTTCAACGCCAGGGTTGTGGGTTCGATTCCCACGGGGGGCCAGTATGAAAAATGTATGCACTCACTTAACTGTAAGTCGCTAACGTTAGCTGAAATTCTCAACTTTGACCAAAACATCTTTGAGGCATACCTATCTTTCATAGAAACATTATTCGTAGCTCTTTATTTGGCTTTAATTTGGTAAACAGTAGTATCCGCAGAAGAATGGCTTTGGCAGTAGCTATGCTAGGCCAAATAGTTAGTGTAGTGTCGAGTTAACGTTGCTAATTATGCTGTGAAACCAAGGAGTTCGCTTATACTGTACTTTGATTATAAGTTTTATTTATATCACAAGATTTCAGCATAAGTTTACAGACGTCTGCAGCATCTGGAGAACAGTGTCCCAAAAGAATATGTCTGTTCTGATCTTCTTTGTCTCTACCCAGTACTTATATAATCTTTACCAGGATATGGGTGGTTTCCCATACTGACCAATCACCTGTCTCCACCCAACAGACTTCCTCTGTTCTATGGGGTGTCACTCTAAAACGGATCCCTCTAAAACTGAATAAACATCCTCTCAGGTTCCACTTGAAAACATTAGCAAAGTCATAATTCTTCATACACTACATTAGCTATAGATGGGTTTGCTGACAAACTAAGTCACAAAAACAATGCGCACTCTTCAATGTGGGGCAGAAGTCCGTGAGTTGTGATTCTGGCTGGCCAGCAATGACAAGAAACTGCCATGTAGGGAATCGTAAGTGGCTCGTTTCATCTTGTTCTCGATACCAAGACTTGTTTTGAGGTGGTTTGACTGATTTCATGTCAATGCAAAAAAGTATAAATAAGGCTGGTTTACAGTCCGTCTGTAGACAATTGTAGTAGGGAGGAACATTCTATTGTCGTCCGACATCAAACTTGTCGCTGTCGTTATGAAAAAGTATAAACACAAAATGACAGCCTCTGCAGCAGGTTGGTGCTCCAAATAGCATACTTTCTCTAATTTAACACCAATAAACCCATCCGTTAAAAAATTTATTCAGGAAATGTCAACCTAGCAAGCCAGGCAACTAAAAGTACCGTTTTGGTCTAGCCGGTGTGGTGAGAACTTGATCCGTTGGTACGTGAAGAAACGAGCGCTTATTTCAAAGTGCGCTCCGTAAGCCACATCCCAGGGGGCAGAGATAGGCATGTTGCACTGGGACACGTTTTAATATGGTGAAAAGCCTCTCATTTTACTGTGGGTCCGCCGTGGTTCTGTGTAGCCTAGTTATGCTAATATATTTCAGACCATTGTATTGTAGTTAATTTTGTCTTTGACTTAATAAGTAAAATATATTTGAGTAGTAAACAGGGAAACAGTTAGTCCCAGACAGTTCTCAATAGAACATACATTTACATTTTAGTCATTTAGCAGACACTCTTATCCAGAGCGACTTACAGTTAGTGAGTGCATACATTATTTTTGTATTTTTCATACTGGCCTCCCGTGGGAATCGAACCCACAACCCTGGCGTTGCAAACGCCATGCTCTACCAACTGCCAGAGGAGGCATCGTTTACTACCTAAATTATTGGGATCATCTGGTTATCATCAGTGTTTGGAATACATTGAGCTCATTGACAAAACAGACCATGGGACACCTTTTCACACTGAGAGTTATTTGTCAAAGGTCCGCTGTGGTTCTATAGCAGTTCACAATAAACCTGTCTCCAACATATTCGCATAGTTATTCCCACTGTGACTATCAAAACCTACTCTAACCAGAAACCGTGGATAGATGGCAGCATTCGGCAAAACTGAAAGTGCGAACCACCACATTTAACCATGGCAAGGTGACTGGGAATATGGAAGAATACAAACAGTGTAGTTATTCCCTCCTTAAGGCAATCAAACAGGAAAAACGTCAGTACAGAGACAAAGTGGAGTCTCAATTCAACGGCTCAGACATGAGACGTATGTGGCAGGGTCTACAGACAATCACGGATTACAAAGGTAAAACCAGCCACGTCGCCGACACCGACGTCTTGCTCCCGGACAAGCTAAACACCTTCTTCGCCCGCTTTGAGGACAAGACAGTGCCACCGACGCGGCCCGCTCCCAAGGACTGTGGCCTCTCGTTTAAGCGTGTTAACCCTTGCAAGGCTGCCGGCCCAGACGGCATCCCTTGTCGCGTCCTCAGAGCATGTGCAGACTAGCTGGCTGGAGTGTTTACGGACATATTCAATCTCTCCCTATCCCAGTCTGCTGTCCCCACTTGCTTCAAGATGTCCACCGTTGTTCCTGTACCCAAGAAAGCAAAGGTAACTGAACTAAATGACTATCGCCCCGTAGCACTCACTTCTGACATCATGAAGTGCTTTGAGAAGCTAGTTAAGGATCATATCACCTCTACCTTACCTGACACCCTAGACCCACTTCAATTTGCATACCGCCCCAACAGATCCACAGACGATGCAATCGCCATCACACTGCCCACTGCCCTATCCCATCTGGACAAGAGGAATACCTATGTAAGAATGCTGTTCATTGACTACAGCTCAGCCTTCAACACCATAGTAGTCAGGATGCTGAATAAATTCGTCTTGGCCCCTAAGACCCTCACAAACTTTTACAGATGCACCATTGAGAGCATCCTGTCGGGCTGTATCACCACCTGGTACGACAACTGCACCGCCTGCAACCGCGGGGCTTTCCAGAGGATGGTGCGGTCTGCCCAACAGCAACCCATCACCAGGGGCAAACTACCTGCCCTCCAGGACACCTACAGCACCCGATGTCACAGGAAGGCCAAAAAGATCATCAAGGATATCAACCACACGAGCCACGGCCTGTTCACATTTACATTTACATTTACGTCATTTAGCAGACGCTCTTATCCAGAGCGACTTACAAATTGGTGCATTCACCTTATAGCCAGTGGGACAACCACTTTACAATGTGTTTTTTTTTTTTTTTTTTTTTTTTTTTTTTGGGGGGGGGGGGGGGGGGGTGGGTTGGGGTAAGGGGGGGGGGGGGGGTAGAAGGATTACTTTATCCTATCCCAGGTATTCCTTAAAGAGGTGGGGTTTCAAATGTCTCCGGAAGGTGGTGAGTGACTCCGCTGTCCTGGCGTCGTGAGGGAGCTTGTTCCACCATTGGGGTGCCAGAGCAGCGAACAGTTTTGACTGGGCTGAGCGGGAACTATGCTTCCGCAGAGGAAGGGGAGCCAGCAGGCCAGAGGTGGATGAACGCAATGCCCTCGTTTGGGTGTAGGGACTGATCAGAGCCTGAAGGTACGGAGGTGCCGTTCCCCTCACAGCTCCATAGGCAAGCACCATGGTCTTGTAGCAGATGCGAGCTTCAACTGAAAGCCAGTGGAGTGTGCAGAGGAGCGGGGTGACGTGAGAGAACTTGGGAAGGTTAAACACCAGGCGGGCTGCGGCATTCTGGATGAGTTGTAGGGGTTTAATGGCACAGGCAGGGAGCCCAGCCAACAGCGTGTTGCAGTAATCCAGACGGGAGATGACAAGTGCCTGGATTAGGACCTGTGCCGCTTCCTGTGTAAGGCAGGGTCGTACTCTCCGAATGTTGTAGAGCATGAACCTACAGGATCGGGTCACCGCCTTGATGTTAGCGGAGAACGACAGGGTGTTGTCCAGGGTCACGCCAAGGTTCTTTGCACTCTGGGAGGAGGACACAATGGAGTTGTCAACCGTGATGGCGAGATCATGGAACGGGCAGTCCTTCCCCAGGAGGAAGAGCAGGACTATCATCCAGAAGGTGAGGTCAGTACAGGTGCATCAAAGCTGGCACCGAGAGACTGAAAAACAGCTACCAACTTAATGCCATCATACGGTTAAATAGGCATCACTAGCCGGCTACCACCCGGTTACTCAACCCTGCACCTTAGAGGCTGCTGCCCTATATACATAGACATGGAATCACTGGTCACTTTAATAATGTTTACATACTGTTTTATTCATTTCATATGTATATACTGTATTCTATTCTACTGTATTCTAGTGAATGCCACTCAGACATTGCTCGTCCTAATATTATATTTTTCTTAATTCCATTATTTTACTTTTAGATTTGTGTGTATTGTTGTGAATTGTTAGATAGTACTGCACTGTTGGAGATAGGAACACAAGCATTTCGCTACACCCGCAATAACTTCTGCTAAATATGTGTATGTGACCAATAAAATTTGATTTGATTTACAGTGCCTTGCAAAAGTATTCATCCCCCTTGGCATTTTTCCTATTTTGTTGCATTACAACCTGTAATTTAAATGTTTTTTTATTTGGATTTCATGTAATGGACATACACAAAATAGTCCAAATTGGTGAAGTGAAATGAAAAAAATAACTTGTTTAAAAAAACTCTAAAAAATAAATAACGGAAAAGTGGTGTGTGCGTATGTATTCACCCCCTTTGCTATGAAGCCCCTAAATAAGATCTGGTGCAACCAATTACCTTCTGAAATCACATAATTAGTTAAATAAAGTCCACCTGTGTGCAATCTAAGTGTCACATGTTCTGTCACATGATCTCAGTATTTATACACACCTGTTCTGAAAGGCCCCAGAGTCTGCAACACCACTAAGCAAGGGGCACCACCAAGCAAGCGGCACCATGAAGACCATTTTCATGGCAAAGAGGGACTTTGCAATTAATTGCAATTCATCTGATCACTCTTCATAACATTCTGGAGTATATGCAAATTGCCATCATAAAAACTGAAGCAGCAGACTTTGTGAAAATTAATATTTGTGTCATTCTCAAACCTTTTGACCACGACTGTACACAATACCCCATAATGACACAATGAAAACATGCGGTCCAAGTCATCCCAAACCATCTCAATTGGGTTGGGTTGAGGTCGGGTGATTGTGGCGGCCAGGTCATCTGATGCAGCACTCCATCACTCTCCTTGGTCAAATAGCCCTTACACAGCCTGGAGGTGTTTTTTGGGTCATTGTCCTGTTGAAAAACAAATGATAGTCCCACTAAGCCCAAACCAGATGGGATGACGTATCGCTGCAGAATGCTGTGGTAGCTATGCTGGTTAAGTGTGCCTTGAATTCTAAATAAATCACAGACAGTGTCACCAGCAAAGCACCCCCAAACCATCACACCTCCTCCTCCATGCTTCAAGGTGGGAACCACACATGCGGAGATCATCCGTTTTCATATATGTGGCATATATTTCTGCCTTATATACACATATATGCATAATACTTACATGCTCATATATGTGTGATACATGTATTACAATGTTTATTACATATATGTCCCTTATATGTCTCAATACATGTTAACAATATGTGTTAACATGCAGTACCAGTCAAAAGTTTGGACACACCTACTCATTCAAGTTTTTTTTTTTTTTTTTTTACTATTTTCTACATTGTAGAATAATAGTGAAGACATCAAAACTATGAAATAACACACATGGAATCATGTAGTAACCAAAAAAGTGTTCAACAAATATATTTTTTAATTTGAGATTCTAGCCACCCTTTGCCTTCATGACGGCGTTGTGGGACTATCATTTGTTTTTCGAACATAGAACAGTTAGGGGTTGGGTTTGAGATCATACATTTATAAGTAAAATATATTTAAAAAATTACATTTTTAGTCACTTATCCAGAGCGACTTACAGTTAGTGAGTGCATACATATTTTTTTTATATATTTTTTAAACATACTGGCCCCCCGTGGGAATCGAACCCACAACCCTGGTGTTGCAAACACCATGCTCTACCAACTGAGCTACATCCCTGCCGGCCATTCCCTCCCCTACCCTGGACCAATTGTGCGCCGCCCCATTGGTCTCCCGGCAGGCTACGACAGAGCCTGGATTCGAACCAGGATCTCTAGTGGCACAGCTAGCGCTGCGATGCAGTGCCTTAGACCACTGGTCCAGGATCTCTAGTGGCACAGCTAGCACTGCGATGCAGCGCCTTAAACCACTGCGCACATAGGACAGTTAGGGGTTGGGTTTGAAAATCATACATTTTTTTACATTAAAAATAAATAAATCTTTATCTGAAAAGCTTATGAGATTCAGTTTAATAAGAAATCCTTGACCATTAATGCCCTACTTGCATTGATTTGTAAATTCAATTACTAGGGGATAGTTAAAATGTTTACACCTTATAGTCAGTCAGATGGTTCCAGGAGAAAATATAATCCCATGATTTAGAGTTTTTTAAATAGCCACTATTAACTTGTGGGGATTTGGCCACAAACATAACAGAACTTTGACTAATTTCCCCCATCACCCCCATAGTTATTTTTTGTTAGCCATCTAGACTATAAGTTGTGAAAAAGTTAACTATCCCTTTAACGTCCTTCAATTTATTGAATTGAAATTGACCCTGTTATGGTGTATACATTTTTAATGGGATACTGTGACATTTTTAAGATTTAAGTCGTTTTTTCTACTTACCCAGAGTCAGACGAACTCATGAATACATTTTTTAAAGTCTGCGTGCAGTTTGGAGATGATTGAAATTAGCATATCGTTAGCTTAGCACAATTGCTGGAAGTCTGACGGTAGAGTAGCCAGCAGATCACAGCGTTGTATCTGTCTCAATGACGCTCACAGATGCCATAATGAGACAGATTCAACGCTGCGATCTCTCTATGTGACAACGGGACGGAGAATGAGGAAGTTGATAGAATCTTGTTTCTTATGATTATCAGTCAAATATCAATCAATCAATCAAATGTATTTATAAAGCCATTTTTACATCAGCAGATGTCAGAAAGTGCTTATACAGAAACCCAGCCTAAAACCTGCAAGCAATGCAGATGTAGAAGCACAGGGGCTAGGAAAAACTCCCTAGAAAGGCAGGAACCTAGGAAGAAACCTAGAGAGGAACCAGGCTCTGAGGGGTGGCCAGTCCTCTTCTGGCTGTGCCGGGTGGAGATTATAAGAGTACACGGCCATTTAAGGCCAGATTGTTCTTCAAGATGATCAAACATTCATAGATGACCAGCAGGTTCAAATAATAATCACAGTGGTTGTAGAGGGTGCAACAGGTCAGCACCTCAGGAGGAAATGTCAGTTGGCTTTTCATAGCAGCGACCACTATGCTTGAAAATATTGAGTGGTACTAAGTGATATTGTGTTGGATTTGCCCAAAACATAACGCTTCGTATTCAGGACACAAAGTTCATTTCTTTGCCACATTTTTTGCAGTATTACTTTAGTGCCTTATTGCAAACAGGATGCATGTTTTGGAATATTTGTATTCTGTACAGGCTTCCTTCTTTTCACTCTGTCATTTAGGTTAGTATTGTGGAGTAACTACAATGTTGTTGATCCATCCTCAGTTTTCTCCCATCACAGCCATTCAACTCTGTAACTGTATTGGAGTAATATGATCACATTCTTTGGTTCTAGTCAGGATTCTAGCAGCCGTGTTTAGCACTAACTGAAGTTTATTTAGTGCTTTATCCGGGTAGCCGGAGAGTAGAGCATTGCAGTAGTCTAATCTAGAAGTGACAAAAGCATGGATTTGCTTTTCTGCATCATTTTTGGACAAAAAAGTTTCAGATTTTTGAAATGTTATGATGATGGAAAAAAGCTGGCCTTGAAATATTCTTGATATGTTCGTCAAAAGAGAGATCAGGGTCCAGAGTAACGCCGAGGTCCTCCACAGTTTTATTTTAAACGACTGTACAACCATCAAGATTAATTGTCAGATCCAACAGCAGATCTCTGTTTCTTGGGACCTAGAACTAGCATCTCTGTTTTGTCCAAGTTTAAAAGTAAAACATTTGCCACCATCCACTTCCTTATGTCTGAAACACAGGCTTCCAGTAAAGACAATTTTGGGGCTTCACCATGTTTCATCGAAATGTCCAGCTGTGTGTCGTCCGCATAGCACTGGAATTTGACATTGTGTGACCGAATGACATCACCAAGAGGTAGAATATATAATGAAAACAATAGTGGTCCTAAAATGGAACCTTGAGGAAGGGGATGTGAGATTTATATATGTTATTGAAATATATGATAATATATTTTAAAATGTATGTCACATTCTTTGATATATATGGCCATATATTACTTTTCCGTATGGGTAGTTATGTTTGTATTTGTAGTTGTATTTATTATAGATCCCCATTGACAGCAGCTACTCTTCCTGGGGTCCAGCAAAATTAAGGCAGTTTATACAATCTGAAAAACATTTCAATACATTCAGGCTCCTACTCCATCACTACCACATATCTACAGTACAAAATCCATGTGTACGTGTGTGTATAGTGCGTATGTTATCGTGTGTGTGTGCATGTGTCTGTTCCTATGTTTGTGTTGCTTCACAGTCCCCGCTGTTCCATAAGGTGTATTTTTATCAGTTTTTTAAAATCTAATTGTACCGCTTGCATCAGTTACTTGTAGTCATGGCTCTATGTAGTACTGTGTGCCTCCCATAGTCTGTTCTGGACTTGGGGACTGTGAAGAGACCTCTGGTGGCATGTCTTGTGGGGTATGCATGGGTGTCCGAGCTGTGTGCCAGTAGTTCAAACAGACAGCTCGGTGCATTCAACATGTCAATACCTCTCACAAATACAAGTAGTGATGAAGTCAATCTCTCCTCCACTTTGAGCCAGGAGAGATTGACATGCATATTGTTAATGTTAGCTCTCTGTGTACATCCAAGGGCCAGCCGTGCTGCCCTGTTCTGAGCCAATTGCAATTTTCCTAAGTCCCTCTTTGTGGCACCTGACCACACGACTGGACAGTAGTCCAGGTGTGACAAAACTAGGGCCTGTAGGACCTGCCTTGTTGATAGTGCTGTTAAGAAGGTAGAGCAGCGCTTTATTATGGACAGACTTCTCCCCATCTTAGCTACTGTTGTATCTGCCTATTGAAATCACTGGCCACTTTAAGAAATGGAACACTAGTCACTTTAATAATGTTTACATTCACTTTAATAATGTTTACATATCTTGCACTACTCATCTCATATGTATATACTGTATTCTATTCTATAATATTCTACTGTATCTTAGTCCATGCCGCTCTGTCATTGCTTGTCCATATATGTATATTTTCTTAAATTCCATTCCTTACTAGTTTTGTGTGTTGGGTATATGTTGTGAAATTGTTAGATATTATTTGTTAGATATTACTGCACTGTCGGAGCTAGAAGCACAAGCATTTCGCTACACCCGCTATAACAGCTGCTAAACACGTGTATGTGACAAATAACATTTTATTTTATTTGATCAATATGTTTTGACCATGACAGTCTACAATCCAGGTTTACTCCTAGCAGTTTAGTCACCTCAACTTGCTCAATTTCCACATTATTCATTACGAGATGTAGTTGAGGTTTAGGGTTTAGTGAATGATTTGTCCCAAATACAATGCTTTTAGTTTTAGAAATATTTAGGAGTAACTTATTCCTTGCCATCCACTCTGAAACTAACTGCAGCTCTTTGTAAAGTGTTGCAGTCATTTCAGACGCTGTAGTAGCTGACATGTATAGTGTTGAGTCATCCGCATACATAGACACTCTGGCTTTACTCAAAGCCAGTGGCAAGTCATTAGTAAAAATTTTAAAATGTAAGGGGCCTAGACAGCTGCCCTGGGGAATTCCTGATTCTACCTGGATTATGTTTGAGAGGCTTCCATTAAAGAACACCCTCTGTGTTCTATTAGACAGGTAACTCTTTATCCACATTATAGCAGGGGGTGTAAAGCCATAACACATTTTTCCAGCAGCAGACTATGATCGATAATGTCAAAAGCCGCACTGAAGTCTAACAAAACAGCCCCCACAATCTTTTTATCATACATTTCTCTCAGCCAATCATCAGTCATTTGTGTAAGTGCTGTGCTTGTTGAACGTCCTTCCCTATAAGCATGCTAAAAGTTTGTTGTCAATTTGTTTACTGTAAAATAGCATTGTATCTGGTCAAACACAATTTTTCCCAATAGTTTACTAAGGGTTGGTAACAGGCTGATTGGTCGGCTATTTGAGCCAGTAAAGGGGGCTTTACTATCCCTAGGTAGGGGAATTACTTTTGCTTCCCTCCAGGCCTGAGGGCACACACTTTCTAGTAGGCTTAAATTGAAAATATGGCAAATAGGAGTGGCAATATCGTCTGCTATTATCCTCAGTAATTTTCCATCCAAGTTGTCAGACCCCGGTGGCTTGTCATTGTTGATAGACAACAATACTTTTTTCACCTCTTCCACATTCACTTTACGGAATTCAAAATTACAATGCTTGTATTTCATAATTTGGTGTCAGCGTCTGTTGCTGGCATGTCATGCCTAAGTTTGCTAATCTTGCCAATGAAAAAATAATAATTAAAGTAGCAATATCAGTTGGTTTTGTGATGAATGAGCCATCTGATTCAATGAATGATGGAGCTGAGTTTGCCTTTTTTCCCAAAATGTCATTGAAGGTGCTCCAAAGCTTTTTACTATCATTCTTTATGTCATTTATCTTTGTTTCATAGTGTAGTTTCTTCTTCTTTTTATTCAGTTTAGTCACATGATTTCTCAATTTGAAATACATTTGCCAATCGGTTGTGCAGACAGACTTATTTGCCATTCCTTTTGCCTCATCCCTCTCAACCATACAATTGTTAAATTCCTCATCAATCCACTGGGATTGAACCGTTTTTACTGTAATTTTCTTAATGGGTGCATGCTTATTAGTAACTGGAATAAGCAATTTCATAAATGTGTCAAGTGCAGTGTCTGGTTGCTTCTCATTACACACCACGGACCAACATATATTATTTACATCAACAACATAGGAATCACTACAAAACTTGTATGACCTCTTATACACTATATTAGGCCCAGCCTTTGGAAGTTTGGTTTTCCTAGATATGGCTACTATATTGTGATCACTACATCCTGTGGATCTGGATACTGCTTTCAAGCAAATTTCTGCAGCATTAGTAAAGATGTGATCAATACATGTTGATGATTTAATTCCTGTACTGTTTGTAAATACCCTGGTAGGTTGACTGATAACCTGAACCAGGTTGCAGGCACTGGTTACAGTTTGAAGGTTTTTCTTGAGTGGGCAGCTTAATGAAAGCCAGTCAATATTTAAATCACCGAGAAAATATACCTCTCTGTTGATACCACATACATTATCAAGAATTTCACATGTTATCCAGATACTGACTGTTAGCACTTGGTGGGCTATAGCAGCTTCCCACCAGAATGGGCTTTAGGTGAGGCAGATGAACCTGTAGCCATATTACTTCAACAGTATTTAACATGAGATCCTCTCTAATCTTTACAGGAATGTGGTTCTGAATATAAACAGCAACACCTCCACCATTGGCATTTCTATATATTCTGTATATGTTATAACCTTGTATTGCTACCACTGTATCATCAAAGGTATTATCTAAGTGAGTTTCAGAGATAGTCAGAATATGAATATCATCTGTTCCTAGCAAATGTTGCAGCTCAGTATGCCTACAAAACATGTTTGTGTTTTAAAATCTGATTTTAAACATAACCTTAACCTCACTGCTAACCTTATGCCTAATACTAACCTTAAATGAAGACCAAAAAGGTAATTTTTGTTTTTTCACAAATGTTTACGATATTGACCATTAAGACTTTGTGGCTGTGCTATCTAGTGGAAAACATTCAACCAAAATATTTGTACAACTAAGACAAGATAAGACCACAGCCTGTCGTTTCCAATTGGAGCAAATTAATAATCTTGAGCAGAACAAAGAGCCTATTGGCGCGTTCTAGCATGTATTTGCATATTTCCGTTAGGGAACGCCTCCTCTGCGAAGTAACTCAAGTCGCCATTGCGCTCCTTCTAAACAACGCATTTTTTATTTTATTTTACACTTTGGCAAAGGGTAAAGTCTACATAAATGTGTCCACTCTATTCGTAACAGATTCTAGTTTTATAAACAGAAAACTGTATTGAGATTAAATGTTTTATCGATGAGGAAAATTAGCAGAATGTCGGCCAAAATCCATCTCGCTCCATCTTCTCCCACTGCAAGCCACTGGGCTTCCTCTCACCGCCATATTTGGTAGTGAGTGGAAACGCCAACCGGATGCTTCACATGTAGACATCCGGTTAAATATCTATATCGTTGTTCTATCTACGCTTCAAACTAGACATTTACCCGGAAGTTATTTTGGTAACCTTGGGAATGCTTCCGGGATTTCTTTCACGAACATGGCTGCTTCGTGAAGCGACTTCTATGTTTCTGTTCACTACATGCACACGTTTTATTTATAGTTGTAGGTAAATATTTGCACGTAAACTATTAGAGTAAGCAGTCGATTGTCAGCCAGTATGTTTCAAGTTATTACCAGAAGTACCCCGGTAATCCGGCTACTCGCCCCCCGTGGAGCCGTACTTGTGGAGGCTGTCCGGGGTAGGAAGACCCGCACCGACCCCAAGGCCAAATCCAAAGAGGGGCGCATCAAAACGCCACCTCCCGTCGATCCGGTAGAGATGGTGGTCCTCAGAGAGAGATTCACAGAGTATGATCTGATCATGAGAGCGCTGAGGTAAGGCAAGACCGCAATGCACTTCCACGTTTGTTTTAGACGTGCTGTGTTTCAGGCCAAAATCTAAGGTTCAATCTAAGGTTACTGATAGCTAGTACTGTATAAGATTGAAATTGTCTCTGATCAGTTTCGGTACTGATAAAAAAATAAGTAGCTAGCTAGGTTTCAGTTATCCCATTCATAGTCATAAAGATAAATAGTAATGGCGTCTTTTTGTAGGCACTAACTCCGCCATGGTTCGTTGCCTATGAGGAAAATTAATTGCGTTTTTTTTTTAGGGTTTATGGTTAAACGCCGAAAATAAGGTATGTGGTCAATACAGGCACAGGATATCTGATACGTATTGTTCCATGGGATCATTTTAATCAGCTAATGTCACTTTTTGTGAATTTTGAAGAATGTTTATAATAATAGGCTGGACACATGACATTTTTAACAACGCTTTTTTCATTGTGCCCCCATGGAGCCCAGTTTCATTATATGAATTTATGTCCTAGCGGTTACCGTAGTTTTGAAGTAATCGCGAAAAAACAGGCCTTCTTTTAGGGTGTTTTGTTGCTTGAAATGACGTTAGAAGCAAAATGTGGGTTTCCTCAAAATAATAATTATTGCAAGATATGACATAACATAATAAAGGAATTTGAATATGTGACAAGAGAAAATAAAGTGTGCCAGATCATTTTCCATCAATGGATGTTGATTTAACTCATTTGACCGCTACGATTAAGCAATAAGGCATAAGGGGGTGTGGTATATGGCCAATATACCATGGCTACGGGCTATTCTTAAGCATGATGCAACGCGGAGTGCCTGGATACAGCCGTTAGCCGTGGTATATTGGCCATATACCAAAAACCCCCGAGGTGCCTTATTGCTATTATACACTGGTTACCAACATAATAAGAACAGTAAAAAGTAATGATTTGTCATACCCGTGGTATATGGTCTGATATACCATGGCTTTCCGCCAATCAGCATTCAAGGCTCGAACCAGGTTTATAATTGTAAATAAATCCCCTTTGCGCATGTGCATAACTATAGATACATCTGACAGGAGAGTTTGAGTGATGAAAGTTGGACAGAGGATCTCAATCTCTGAGCAAGAAACACTTGGACGAACAAAAAATAATAATGTTAGGCTATTTTCTGGCAATTGTGCTGTTATTATGTGCCAGATGTTAAGACTACAAACCGTTATAAACGGCCCGTTTGCGAGATTGACTTGTCATTTCAATAGGCATAGACTACAGACTCAAATCGGGGTTTATGATTGTAATTCAGTTTTGACACGGTTTGCTTAGATAAAGGCAGGTAGCCTATATCCCCTGATAGTCCTACATCTAATTTCAGATAGTCTACAGTAGCCTAGACAAGATGTAGGCAAGATGTAAACTGAACGATTTAGCAGCTTGTTTAGTTGAAATTAACAGACTAATTTATTCTACATGAGTAGCGAGGTGATTTCGAGGTAAGAAGTGTTTCCAAATAGCCAGCTGGAACAGGCTACTGAGGAATTAGATATTAATTATATGAACTGAATATGCTTGTCAACAACCGCCAGTGATGCAGACAATTACATTGATGGAAGTTACAATCTATGCAATATTAAAGCTGATCTACCCCCTAAAGAAAATAAAGAAAAAATAAAATAAATTGGCTGGCGCCTACCATGAAACCTTTTCAGTTGACCGGGGCAGCTCTAGCAGGGCAGAAATTTGACGAACTGACTTGCATCCTATGACAGTGCCACGTTGAAAGTCACTGAGCTCTTCAGTAAGGGTAATTCTACTGCCAATGTTTGTCTATGGAGATTGCATTGCTGTGTGCTCGATTTTATACACCTGTCAGCAACGGGTGCGGCTGAAATAGAATCCACTAATATGAAGGGGTGTCCACATACTGCTGTATATATAGTGTATCTCTATTAGAATCCACTAATATGAAGGGGTGTCCACATACTGCTGTATATATAGTGTATCTCTATTAGAATCCACTAATATGAAGGGGTGTCCACACTGCTGGATATATAGTGTATCTCTATTAGAATCCACTAATATGAAGGGGTGTCCTCATACTGCTGTATATATAGTGTATCTCTATTAGAATCCACTATATAAGGGGTTGTCCACCACTGCTGGATATATAGTTGTATCCTATTAGAATCCACTAATATTGAAGGGGTGTCCTCATAATGCTGTTATATATAGTGTATCTATCTTAGAATCCACTAATATGAAGGGTGTCCACCATACTGCTTTGTATTATATTAGGCTATCTCTATTAGAATCCTAATATGAAGGGTGTCCAATTGTCCAGCCATTACCTGCTGTCATATAGTGTATCTCTATTAGAATCCACTAATAGGAAAAGGGGTTGTCCACATACTGCCTGGATATATAGTGTACTATTAGAATCCACTAATATGAAGAGGTGTCTCCACATACTGCTGGTAAATATAGTGTATCTTCTATTAGAATCCACTAATATGAAGGGGGTGTCCAATACGGCTTGTATTTTTATTTTTTTTGTTATTTTTTTTATATAGTCTATCTCTATTAGATCCACTCATATGAAGGGGTGTCACATACTGCTGTATATATTAGTCTATCTCATTAGAATCCACTAATAGGAAGGGGTGGTCCACTATACTGCTGTTTATATAGTCTATCTCTATTAGAATCCACTATATGAGGGGTGTCCACATACTGCTTGTATATTATAGTGTATCTCTATTAGAATCCATAATATGAAGGGGGTCCACATAATGCTTATCCCCCTACCACTTCACCTAATACGCGCGGTCCACCCATACTGCTGTATAATAGGGATCTCTATTTAGAATCCCACTAATATGAAGGGGTGTCCACATATGCTTGTATATTAGTGTATCTCTATTAGAATCCAATAATATGGAAAGGGGTTTGTCCACATACTTGCTGTGTAGGTATATATATGGTATCTCTATTGAATCCACTAATATGAAGGGGTGGTCACATACGCGTATATATAGTGTATTTGTGAATCTATTAGCATGTCTGAACACCGTGAGCTAACTGGGGAGGAAGTGTAGTTCAAATGAGGGCACATGCTGTGGATCTGCCAAATTATTAAACTGTTACAATAAGTGTATATTTAGATATTTGAACCGATTCTTCTTTCTCTATGACATGAAAAGACAAGGGCCATATCAGCATATGTTTCTAAAAAACTGTTCAAAAGCGCTGCTATTATTGAGTTTCTAAAACATTTTAAAACACAGCGTTTTAAAAGTGTAGGTTACGTGGATTTGGAGCGAACCCTACGTCAGGGCTGAAAACCCTACATAAAGAAGAAACGCAAGGGCTCGTCAGGTATGCGAACACAGCCACACAGAGAAGAAGGGTTTCAGTATGGCGAAACAGACATACAGGAAGAAGGGTTTCAGTGGCAGGACCACAGACATACAGAGAAGAAGGGTGTCACGTATGCAGAACAAAGACCATACCAGAGAACAGAAGGGTTCAGTATTGCAGAACCGACAGAAGAAGAAGGGGTTCAGGATGAGAAAAGACAGACAGAGGAAGAAGGGTTTCAGTCTGCAGAACACAGACATTACAGAGAAGAAGGGTTCAGTATGCAGAAAACAAAGAACAGACAGAGAAGAAAGGGGTTCAGTATGCAGAACACAGACAGAAGAGAAGAGGGTTTCAGTATGAGAACAGACCAGACAGGACGAGAAGAAGGGTTTCAGTATGCAGAACAAGACAACACAGAGAAGAAGGGGTTCAGTTAGCAGCAGAACAAGACATACAGAGAAGAAGGGTTGCAGCTATGACAGAAAACAGAAGACAGAGAAGGAAGGGTTCAGTATGCAGAACACAGACAGACAGAGAAGAAGGGGTTCGTATGCAGAAAACCGAAGGACAGAGAGAAGGGTTGTCAGTATGCAGAACCCGACATACAGAGAAGAAGGTTTCAGTATGCAGGAACACAGACAGACTAGAAGAAGAAGGGTTTTCAGTATGCAGAACACAACATACAGAGAAGAGAAGGGTTTCAGTATGCAGAACACAGACAGACAGAGAAGAAGGGGTTCAGTATGCAGAACACAGACAGACAGAGAAGAAGGGTTTCAGTATGCAGAACACAGACAGAGAAGAAGGGTTTCAGTATGCAGAACACAGACATACAGAGAAGAAGGGTTTCAGTATGCAGAACACAGACAGACAGAGAAGAAGGGTTTCAGTATGCAGAACACAGACATACAGAGAAGAAGGGGTTCAGTATGCAGAACACAGACAGACAGAGAAGAAGGGGTTCAGTATGCAGAAACACACGACAGAGAAGAAGGGTTTCAGTATGCCGAACACGCTACGAGAGAAGGGTTTCAGTATGCAGAACACAGACAGACAGAGAAGAAGGGGTTCAGTATGCAGAACACAGACAGACAGAGAAGAAGGGTTTCAGTATGCAGAACACAGACAGACAGAGAAGAAGGGGTTCAGTATGCAGAACACAGGGGACAGACGAGAAGAAGGGTTTCCAGAGATGCAGAACGGGACAGACGTCTATAGTGTCGTGGGTCAAGATTGGTGTGAGGTTGTGTTGTTGATTGGTGTGTGTGTGTGATGTGGTGAGGGTGTTGGGATTGGTGTGAGGTGTGTTGTGATTGGTGTGAGGTGTGTGTGATTGTGTGAGGGTGTGTGTGATTGGTTGTGGTGTGATTGGTGTGAGGTGTGGTGTGATTGGTGTGTGGTTGGCTGTGATGGGGTGGGTGATTGGTGTTGATGGGTGTTGTGGTGTGATTGGGTGATGTGGATGGTGTGATGTGGTTGTGACTGGTGAGTGATATTGGTGATGTGGTTGCAGGCTGGAGTTCAAGGAGGAGATGCTTGAGAGAGGTATGACGAGGAGGGGCTCTCTGGGGAGGGGAGAGGGCGAAGCAGTGAAAGGCAGAGCACCGCTTCCATAGACCTGGTGGAACCAGGAGGAGAAACCTCGCCATGCTCAAGATCAGGTCAGGAAGGAACATTGACATCGGTCTGCTCGTCCCAAATGACACATTTCCTACATGGTGCCTCTGGACTAGTTCAGTTTCATGCCCTTTCAGTCCCTCCTCCATGTCCCATAGCTCATGGCCCTTTCTCTTTCCTCAGATTTCTCCTCCAAAGAGTCTGTCTTTCCTCATCTGTGCGTCTCTCGCCGTCGCACTTCTTCTACTCTTTACTTATCTTCATTCCTCTCTGCTCTCATCTCTCCCGCTCCCCCTCCAACACACAGAACACAAACGGACAAGTACACCGCGTGGGCATCGGGGGTGGGGGGGACACATGGGGATGAAGTTTGGGGTGTAGTGCGCTGCGCTTAGGGCGGCTGTTATGGTGAGTGGCGGGGCAGGGAGTTTTTGAAGGGTGGGGAGGGGTGGTGTGTCGGGAGTTAGCCCTCTGAGGACCTCACTCACGACATACGATACATTTTAGACGGCGTTGGAGTAAAGAGTGCTACACGTTCGTAATACGAAGAAGACTGTAAGACCACGATTCGTGGAACAGGGTACAGAAGTGTGAGGTAAAGGCAAACTGAGGAATCCTCTCTCTGTTGTGCGAGTGTCTCCCAACGACAGTGGCCAGTTGAGTTCGCAAAACAACTTAAGAATGCACTCCTAGGATGAAAATTCAACACACAAACTAAGCACTTGTGTGCTCGATGCTATCCTCCACCTCTCTCATATCTAATCCCGTACACAACCCCCACCTACAACCATAAGGTAGTAAAAAACAAAACACACCAAACCCAGACTAGAGACAACAAAGCAAGACACACAACAACCAAAAAAGGACTAACAAAGAAAGGCAGAGGAAAAAAAAATAAAAGAACTTTGGGGGTGGCTAAGTACGCGACAGTTAGGGAAGGAAGAGATAAAGGAGAGTTAAGAGAGGAGAAAACAAAAAAACCAAGTAAAGAATAAGGAAGAGGAGAACCAAAAGTCAGTCGAACCCGAGGACTGCAGATAAGACATATCTATAGCTCTCCATCACCTGTCAGATGACACTGCGTCCTCTAGTGTAATCTCTCTCTCATCTCTATCTCTCCTCACTTCTCTCTATCTATCCGCTCTCTTGTCGCTCTCTCTCGCGCTCAATACTCCTCTCGTCTCCTCCTATGTACCCATTATCATATATCTACGCTTCTCTTCAAAGAAATAAGACTCACTCTGCTATTCTCTCTCTTTTAACCTCTACCACAATGAGAGTCGTCTCTCCATATCTTAATAACCCTCCCCAGATCTACCATTCTATATAGCTATTATCCCTCCATTCTCTTCTTTACATCTCTCTTACGTGAGTGCTATTCTAGTCTCTCTTTCCCCGATACTCTATACGCCACTCTAACACGGGGTACAATAATGGTGAAGAAAAAGAAAGTAAGAGAGAGAAGGGAGAAAAAAGAGGTGAGGGAAGAGTGTACGGAAAAGCGAGATCGACACCAGGAAATTCCAGAGAGAGAGAGATGAGAGAGAGAGAGGAGAGAGAGAGAGAGAGGGAGAAGAGAGAGAGAGTTGCCACTTACTTTCTGATCCCCGCCACTTGAGCACCTGTTAGCATTCTTGTGTCATCACCTCTCCCTAACATTTCTCGGCTCAAGAGGGGCAGACGAGCGAGAGAGAGCGCGGTCGCGAGCGAGAGAGCGCGGGCGCAGAGCAGAGGGAGAGAGGGCGCGCTGGCGAGGGCGGAGCAGCGCGCGGAGCGAGTAGAAGCAAGGCGAGGGAGAAGACGCGAGAGAGAGTCGGGAGCGAGCGCGACGCGCGGGAAGAGGGAGAAGAGAGAGCGAGCGGAGCAGAAGCGGCGCCGAGAGATGAGGCGCGAGGAGAGCGGCGAGAGCTGGCGAAGAGGAGAGAGCGAGAGAGCGGAGCGGGATCCGGCTAGCGAGCGCGCTCGCAGAGAGGCGCGCGTCGAGGAGAGAGGAGCCGAGCGGCGCAGCGCGCGAGCGCGACGCGAGTCGAGCGAGGAGAGAGCGCGAGCGCCGAGCGAGCGCGAGACGGAGCGCCGCGGCGAGGACGAGAGAGAGCGCGCGGCGCAGAGAGCGCGAGAGGAAGATGGGGAAGAGAGAGAGAGAGACGCGGGAGAAGAGCAGAGAGAGAAGAGAGATAAGTAGAGAAGAGGAGAGAGCGCGGAGAGAGAGAGCGGGCGAAAAGAGAGAGAGAGTAGAGGAGAAGAGAGAGAGAGGGAGCGACGCGAGAAGGGAGAAGAGAGAGAACGAGAGAGGGAGGGAAGAGAGAGCGCGAGAGAGAGAGGGAGAGCGAGAGAGAGCAGAGGAGAGAGGGAGAAGAGATAGAGGAGAGAGAGCGGAGGGAAGAGCGATCGCGAGAGAGAGAGGGGAAGAGAGAGAGGAGAGAGCGGAGAGAGGAGAGAGAGAGATCTCTATCTCTCTCTCTCTCTCTCTCGCTCTCTCTCTCTCTGCTTTCTCTCTCTTTCTTTCTCCTCTATCTCTCTCTCTGTCTCTGTCTCTCTCTCTCTCTCTCTCCTTCTCTCTCTCTCTCTCTTTCTTCCTCTCTCGCTCTCTCTGTCTCTGTCTCTCTCTCTCTCTCTCCCTCTAGGGAACTGAGGGTTCAGAAAGAGGTGGAAGCAGCTGAGGTCAAGAAGGCCGAGGCAGCCATTCTGCGAGAGCAGGCCATGGAACACTTTGTCAAAGAGAAGGAAGGGGAGATAATGCGCTTCCAGGTATGTCGAGGTTTCAAAGCCAAAGTTACGTTATTGACCTTGTCGTAAACAAATGCGGCGCCATGTTGGTGGAAGTTGTTTTCCTCTGAAACTAGAATGCTGTAGTGTAAATGCATCATAATGCAACGCTACACACATGGCTCTGCTTCCACTGTGTTCCAGGAGGAGGCCAAGGACCTTCATCACCCTGGAGAACCTGGACCAGCGTATTGAGGAAGCCCTGGACGACCCTAAGAACTATAACTTTGCCATCGACAAAGATGGCCGTGTGGTGAAGAGGACTGTGCTGCAGTGAGAGAGACTGAGGATGGCTGGGAGTGTAGGGGGAAGTTGATCCTAGACTCTGATCTGGGTTCAGTTGAGCTTTTTTTCCCCACTAATGGTTACTAAGGTTACGATTGTGGGAGGGGAAGCTGACCCTAATATGGTATGGTGAGGCCCCTGGCAATTCCCAGCCCTAGTTTCTATTGGACAAATTCAGGTAGGTCCGTCCCCCTGTTTAGTTTGCTTCCGGTTTGTTCTGTTTGGTTCCTAGTGAATACAGCCCTGATTTAGTTAAATACCTTCCTATTCATGCGTCTGCGATGTAGTCGGGCAGGAACTCAATCTTAAAAAGGACAGTCTACTCTGTGTGTGATGAACGATCTCCTGGCACGGTTCCCCATGTCTCCACCAGTTTGGTTATGGGGGTGCTGTACAACTTCAATCTATGGACTTTACTTCAAGCTTGTAGTTCTCATCTGTCAAGTACACAATGGGAACATTATGTAATAAATAATTATGTTTCTTCCTGATTGATTCTCTCTACTACTTTCATGCGGCTTTAAGTCGTTTAAATCACTATAATGGCGCCGGAGGAGATGGCTGGCGTTTTACGGGCTCCTAACCAACTGTGCTATTATGTGTGTTTTCGCATTGTTTGTAACTTATTTTGTACATAATGTTGATGCTACCGTCTCTTATGACCGAAAAGAGCTTCTGGACATCAGAACAGCGATTACTCACCTCAAACTGGACAAAACTTTTTTCTTTAACCAGTCGGACGTGAAGGATTTACTGCAGATACCGGACCAGGCCCAAACCCCAGTCGAATTGCATTGAAGAATAGACGGAGATACAGGGGCTGCAGATCCGGTTGCATGTGAGAATTTGTCGGCGAGAAAATGGAGTCATGTCCAACGGGGTCAACAGGAGGGATCAGCCAATCGTGAAGAAGAAAACGGACTACTTCAAAATGGAGATTTCCTCAATGCCGCTGCCTATGCTGTCACAGATGCTGTAATGGCAGAGATACAGAGATGAGTCCTCTCTCTATCTCTAAGACTGGATCCTATCCACATGAACGCCCGATGTCCACCAGATGCGTTTTGTTTTGCCAGATGTCTAGCCAGATGAGGCTGTAATCGCTGCTTAAGGCGCTTCAACACCTACAGTGTAAAGGGTCTGAATACTTACAGAACCAGTCAAACGTTTGGACACACCTACTCAAGGGTTTTTCTTTATTTTGTTTACTATTTTCTACATTGTAGAATAATAGTGAAGACATCAAAACTATGAAATAACACATATGGAATCATGTAGTAACCAAAAACGTGTTAAACAAATCAAAATATATTTTATTTTTGAGATTCTTCAAAGTAGCCACCCTTTGCCTTGATGACAGCTTTGCACACTCTTGGCATTCTCTCAACCAGCTTCATGAGGTAGTCACCTGGAATGCATTTCAATTAACAGGTGTGCCTTCTTAAAAGTTAATTTGTGGAATTTCTTTCCTTCTTAATGCGTTTGAGCCAATCAGTTGTGTTGTGACAAGGTAGGGGGGGTATACAGAAGATAGCCCTATTTGGTAAAAGACCAAGTCCATATTATGGCAAGAACAGCTCAAATAAGCAAAGAGAAACGACAGTCAATCATTACTTTAAGTTCAGCCTGTCATATGTGTGAATTGAAGGCCATAGGAAAGGCTACATCATAGTGATATCATCTTGGTGGTTAGTCATAGAACTTACTCTAAACACATTTCTGGGAGCTGGGCTGGCTTTCATCATCACAATATGATTGTCTCTCTCCCCCTGTGGAACCCTCTCCCCACCCTTACTATCTGGTGACTGTCTCTCTCCCCACCCTTTATATCTGGTGACTGTCTCTCTCCCCACCCTTTATATCTGGTTGACTGTCTCTGTCTCTCTCCCCACCCCTCTAACTGGTGACTGTCTCTGGCTCGCTCCCCAACCCCTCTAACTGGTGACTGTCTATGTTCTCTATCCACCACCCTCTCCTAACTGGTGAACTGTCTCTCTCCCCACCCATTTCTAACTGGGGACTGTCTCTGTCTCTTCCACACCCTCTCTAACTGGTGACTGTCTTCTTGCCCCACCCTTTCTAACTGGTGACTGTCTCTGTCTCTCTCCCCACCCTCTCTAACTGGTGACTGTCTCTCTCCCCACCCTTTCTAACTGGTGACTGTCTCTGTCTCTCTCCCCACCCTCTAACTGGTGACTGTCTCTGTCTCTCTCCCCACCCTCTAACTGGTGACTGTCTGTCTCTCTCCTCACCCTCTAACTGGTGACTGTCTCTGTCTCTCTCCCCACCCTCTCTAACTGGTGACTGTCTCTGTCTCTCTCCCCACCCTCTAACTGGTGACTGTCTGTCTCTCTCCTACCCTCTAACTGGTGACTGTCTCGTCTCTTCCCACCCTCTCTAACTGGTGACTGTCTCTGTCTCTCTCCCCACCCTATCTAACTGGTGACTGTCTCTGTCTCTCTCCCCACCTCTCTAACTGGTGACTGTCTCTGTCTCTCTCCCACCCTCTAAATGGTGACTGTCTGTCTCTCTCCTCACCTCTCTAAATGGTGACTGTCTGTTCTCTCCCAACCACCTTTTAAATGGTGACTGTCGTCTTCTCCCCACCCCCTTAAACTGGTGACTGTCTCTGTCTTCTTCCCCACCCTCTAATGGTGACTGTCTGTCTCTCTCCTCACCCTCTAACTGGTGACTGTCTCTTGTCTCTCTCCCCACCCTCTCTAACTGGGGACTGTTCTTGTCTCCCCACCCCCTCTAAACTGGTGACTGTCTCTGTCTCCCCACCCCCTCTAACTGGTGACTGTCTCTGTCTCTCTCCTCACCCTCTTCTAACTGGTGACTGTCTCTGTCTCTCTCCCCAACCCTCTCTACCTGGTGATGTCTCTGTCTCTCTCCCCACCCTCTCTAATGGTGACTGTCTCGTCTCTCTTCCCCACCTCTCTAATGGTGACTGTCTCTGTCTCTCTCCCCCACCCTCTATAACTGGTGACTGTCTCTGTCTCTCTCCCCACCCCCTCTAATGGTGACTGTCTATGTCTCTCTCCCCACCCCCTCTCTAACTGGTGATGTCTCTGTCTCCCCACCACCTCTAAACTGGTGACTGTCTCTGTCTCTCTCCTCACCCTCTCCAATGGTGACTCCCACCACCTCTAATGGTGACTGTCTCTGTCTCTCTCCCCACCCCCTCTAACTGGTGACATGTCTCTGTCTATCTCCCCACCCTCTCTAATGTGACTGTTCTGTCCTCCCCCACCCTCTCTTAACTGGTGACTGTTCTGTCTCCCCACCCTCTCTAACTGGTGACTGTCTGTCTCTCTACCCCACCCTCCTCTATAACTGGTGACTGTCTGTCTCTATCCCACCCCCTCTAACTGGTGACTGTCTCCTGTCTCTCGCCCCCACACCCCCTCTAACTGGGACTGTCTCGTCTCTCTCCCCACCCTTTCTAACTGGTGACTGTCTCTGTCTCTCTCCCCACCCTCTCTAACTGGTGACTCCCACCCCCTCTAACTGGTGACTGTCTCTGTCTCTCTCCCCACCCCCCTCTCTAACTGGTGACTGTCTATGTCTCGTCCCCACACCCTCTAATTGGTGACTGTCTCTGTCTCCGCTCCCCACCCCCTCTAAACTGGTGACTGTCTCTGTCTCTCTTCCCCACCCTCTCTAACTGGTGACTGTTCTGTCTCCCACCCCCTCTAACTGGTGACTGTCTCTCTCCCCACCCTCTCTATACTGGTGACTGTCTCTGTCTCTCTCCCCACCCTCTCTAACTGGTGACTGTCTCTGTCTCTCTCCCCCACCCTCTCTATACTGGTGACTGTCTCTGTCTCTCTCCCCACCCTCTCTAACTGGTGACTGTCTCTGTCTCCCCACCCCCTCTAACTGGTGACTGTCTCTGTCTCTCTCCCCACCCTCTCTATACTGGTGACTGTCTCTGTCTCTCTCCCCACCCTCTCTATACGGTGACTGTCTCTGTCTCTCTCCCCACCCTCTCTAACTGGTGACTGTCTCTGTCTCTCTCCCCACCCTCTCTATACTGGTGACTGTCTCTGTCTCTCTCCCCACCCTCTCTAACTGGTGACTGTCTCTGTCTCCCCACCCTCTCTAACTGGTGACTGTCTGTCTCTGTCTCCCCACCTCTCTATACTGGTGACTGTCTCTGTCTCTCTCCCCACCCTCTCTAAACTGGTGACTGTCTTGTCTCCCCACCCCTCTAACTGGTGACTGTCTCTGTCTCCCCACCCCCTCTAACTGGTGACTGTCTCTGTCTCCCCCACCATCTCTAACTGGTGACTGTCTGTCTCTCTCCCAACCCCCTCTAAACTGGTGACTGTCTCTGTCTCTTCCTCACCCTCTCTATACTGGTGATTGTCTGTCTCTCTCCCACACCCTCTAATGGTGACTGTCTCTGTCTCTCTCCTCACCCTCTCTGGTGACTGTCTCTGTCTCTCTCTCACCCTCCTCTATACTGGTGACTGTCTGTCTCTCTCCCCACCCCCTCTAACTGGTGACTGTCTCTGTCTCTCTCCCCACCCCCTCTAACTGGTGACTGTCTCTGTCTCTCTCCCCACCCCCTCTAACTGGTGACTGTCTGTCTCTCTCCCCACCCCCTCTAACTGGTGACTGTCTCTGTCTCCCCACCCCCTCTAACTGGTGACTGTCTGTCTCCCCACCCCCTCTAACTGGTGACTGTCTGTCTCCCCACCCCCTCTAACTGGTGACTGTCTCTCTCCCCACCCCCTCTAACTGGTGACTGTCTCTGTCTCCCACCCCCTCTAACTGGTGACTGTCTCTGTCTCCCCACCCCCTCTAACTGGTGACTGTCTCTGTCTCCCCACCCTCTCTAACTGGTGACTGTCTGTCTCTCTCCCCACCCCCTCTAACTGGTGACTGTCTCTGTCTCTCTCCCCACCCCCTCTAACTGGTGACTGTCTCTGTCTCTCTCCCCACCCCCTCTAACTGGTGACTGTCTCTGTCTCTGTCTCCCCACCCTCTCTAACTGGTGACTGTCTGTCTCTCTCCCCACCCCCTCTAACTGGTGACTGTCTCTGTCTCTCTCCTCACCCTCTCTATACTGGTGATTGTCTGTCTCTCTCCCCACCCCCTCTAACTGGTGACTGTCTCTGTCTCTCTCCTCACCCTCTCTGGTGACTGTC